TAGTTGGAAGGAAATTAACCGTTTTTGCTTTGTCTAACTTTGTATTTGAGGGCAATTTTCCAAGTACAAGACCCCGGGGGGCTTATATTGGGGGGGGGGGCGATTTCACGGAGGGTTTTTTATGTTAGGAGTTTGGGGGAGCTTATACATGGAGGGGCTTATTTTCGGGATTTTACGGTAGTTTCTGCATGGGATTCAAATATGGCTGCATACCAGCAGTTTCAAAAGCGCATTTACTAGAATTTTGAATGAAATATTGGTCAATTTTTTAGTCAGTGCCAGTAATAAATTAGCTAACCGGTTTGAGAGGAGACGGAGGAGGAAAATCTAGTTCCTGTTGTAAAAATAGTCAAAGGGACGGGAGAAGATTCAGGAAGAGGATCAGTAAAATTTGAAGAAGGCTTTCTCCCACTCACTCAAGCTTCCCCTCCCTGATCGGTTTCTTACAAACTTACTCACCGGCTGGGACTATTTATCCGCTCTTAACAAGCGACTTTCAAGGACCCTCTGTACTAATAAGCCCAGACAACCGAGCTGGCTCGGTTTCATAGATCTCGAAACATTCAGTTTCGATATATAGCCAACTTCTGTAAAGTATTAGTCACAAGTGTGATTTGTTAGCGCACATAGAATGTTTGTAACCGGTTAATGATATTTACTGTTTCTAATGGAGCCTATTTGGCAAACGCAATCGATCGTGGAATTGCGTTTCAGTTCAGTAAAAATCAAACAGTTACGCCGGTTTGGAAGGTTTTATCTTTTACGTGTCTCAACGTCGAAAAGAAGCCCTAAACGAATGCAGCTGTCTCTAATTGTTGGAATTACCTTCGGCCCCTGATTGATTTCAGATTTGCCGATTTCCGGATTTCCGGTTTTCCCTGTTTCCGGGTTTCAACATTTCCGGTTTACTCGTCAACACTCGGCATTTGACCTTACAGAGCCGGTTGAATAGAAGGTTTATTCGAGGTTGTAGCTCTGAATCTCAATTTTCCGATCCAAAATGAGACCTGCCTAGTTGATTTTCTGATTCTCGAGCAAACTTTCACCTCTGAAAGGTTGTTTTACCGAGCTATTTAGCTCGAAACGCGACACAGTTTCACCTGTTTTGAGCTTCGGATTGTTAGCATTGGATTCAAAAATGGCCGCACACCAGCAGTCTCTAAAGCACATTTACTGGAATTTTATGGAGTCCGGCATCTCAGGGATTGGAATACGGCTCAATTTGTGAGTCAGTGCCAGTAATGAATTAGGTAAGCCGTACTTTTGACAAAATCTGCTTGAGGTAGATCCGTTACGCTAAATCTGAAAATATCGTATTAGCTCGCGTACGCGTTGATACAAACGGTCATAACTTTTAAAATACTGAAATCGTACATGGGGTTTTGTATATTATTAATAACAGATGGTCTATCTTTGCGTCTATTTAGTCTAGAGCTTTCAACTATGTCCCAAAAGTCAGAAATAAGCTCCTAAAACAGGGTAATTTTTGGCCTTTCGCTCCAAGGCAATTAGTTGGGGTCATATTTTGCTTGATTTCGTCTTTCCAGCTAAATTTAGCGGATAACTATTACTTTCAGGAAAAACTAGAGATGTTTACCTCTAAATAGGTATAAAATTCATTGATAGATGGTGCAAATCAAACATTTTAGAGCGCCGCAAAAAATGCCAAATTTTCAGTTTTCAAGACATGCAAAATGGCCGTGGAGGGACAAAATACTCGGCGTCCCCCAGCGCGGCCGGAAAATTATTGTGAATCAAAGCAAACCTATTTTAGTTATAGTCTCGATAAAGCCTTTCACTCGCCAGAGTTTCAGGCAAAATTATTTTCCACGCGAAATTGAGTGGGCGGTTTTTACTGAGACAGCCTCTTAAGTGCGCGAATTAGCGACCGGGGCGCTGAAATTAAATTTTCCCAGTGAGATGAGAATCAGCGAGCAAGGGGGGCTAATTTAAAGGGGGCTGTTTAGTTTGAAAGGTGGGGACGCTTTTTTCGATCTTCGCTGGTTTTCTAGCTAAAGTCAAACCTGTATTAAGCAGACTTGCTCTAAGCAATCACACTCTATTAAGAGGTCACTTTGTTTGTTTTAAAAGTACCGAAAACTAATTTTTTTTTGCTTACTGTAAAATTGACCTGTATCAAGCGGTCACCTTTTCCGTGAGTCCCAGCTAGTAATTTCTTATTTATTGCCCTCACCTCTATTAAACGAACACTTTTTAAAGACGTGTCTTTACAAATGCAATAAGATACACTGAGTATTGCACTCACCGGTCTTTTACTCCCTTTCGTTTGGCACAAGAAGAGGTTGAAAAGTACAAAGACGTCAATTTGTCTTGTTATAGATATTTTGATCCAACTGGATCTACTACCGCTTAACTATGACCGCGTTTCTATTTTTTTGTGTGTAAGTCACGGGCATAATCGACGATCCCGTTGACAAAAATCACTTGGAAGCGCCTGTTGTAAATCAGTTATTTATCAGTCCTCCTTTTTTAATCGCGCTATTAAATTATGGAACTTAATTTGTTAATTAATTCAACCCATGACTTTCTCAGCATCAAGGCTTTTAAGAACAGAATCAGAATAACTAAATTGTACAATTAAGAAATGGAAAACGTGCAGCGTGCAACCATTGAGTTATGGATGCACGAGGGAGGTTGCTAAGCACGAAAGAAGGGTAAGAGTCGCCTCGTGCGACTCTAGCTTCTTGAGTGCTTAGCAAACCTCCCAAGTGCATCCATAACTCCATGGTTGCTCAGCTACAACGTTTACCATTTCTTTTATAACATAATCAAAAGAGAAAAACATTATTTTCCATTTGCGTTCGGTTGAGTCATCGGTCCGAGTTCGTGTATGCAGCCATCTTCCCGCCCCCTTGAGTTTTTCTTTCACTGACTCAACCGTTCTCCGTCTTCAGGTAAATTGCAAAACGTTTTTTGTTGTTATTCTGAATGGCATCTGTCTACTTGCTCTTAATATTAGGGTAAAAAACTTTGAGGGAAAACTATAGCTGCAACTAAAAACACCAACTAAAAAGACTCTAAAAAATAAGCTAAAACTAGATAAATGAAATAATTATCAAGCTTATTTATGTGACAATTTTTGAAATAAACGTAAAGTAGAAATGAGAAAATTTGACTGTAATTCCTTTATAATAACCGGTAACACTAATTTTAAAAAGAAATGAACTAGCTTTGTATCGAAATCTGTCTGGGGAAATCCAGCTATGAAAGTCAAAGTTGCAACTGAAATTCGCCGACACACAGCCCGCGCTGAGGCTGTTGTTTTTCGACCGTTCTCTGAACCACTGTTGTGAATGATGAACACTGAGGTACAGAAGTTATTTTTTGAAAAATTTATTTTAAAACCCAAATGTTTCTGTACTCAAATGAAATTCGCTTATTCCAGCGTAATGTGCCAGTTTAAACTCAACTAAAGTTGTTAATCGATGCGATGAAAACTTCACAACAAAGCTGTCTCGAATCTTAGCGTGTTTCCTAAAATATTTGCTTGAATTTAGCATCAGCTTGACCAATAACACAATGCTAAATAATTGATAAATTTACATTTCAAACAGACTTTCTCTTCCATAAAAAACACACAAAATGTACCTTAAATCTTCGCGCGCTCCAGTTTCCTTCAGCCGATTCTAGCCGCGAGGAAAACAGTGATTAATTCATCCAGGGCAAATTTGTCGCTTGATCTTTTGTCTTTTTTCCTTCAAAACGACAGCTTAGTATTTTCTTCAACTTCCACTTTTCATCTGTGCATTTCATCGGTGTATTTTACCGTCAGGAGAGGAGATTTGTTGAATTTGCAAGGTAGATTTAGATAGATTTAGGTAGATTTTGAGACATTTATTGTACAGTCATACTTCGACACTCTTTTGCGTTACGTGTTATATATGACATTCTGTGGAGCAGTTGTTTCAGGGAAAGTTATGGACCAAAATTTTAACGACACTCGTTAAGCGCAGAAGAAGTTATAAGGTGCGTATAACTGTGTATACATAAACACTTGGAGAGTTTGCAAGACACGAGTTCACAAATCTTTCATTGGAAGCCTTGCCAGACACTCTTTCTCTATCTTTGACCGGAATAGGACTCAGCCTCAAACAAGCAAGACGAGTGAACAACGGCTAGCTTCTCACTAGCAGAACGATGGACGATTACAGAAATTCGCCGACAAACAAATTCTATCTGTGCTGACTTATTCCCTACTCACAGATGTCCTTCCGCTATAAAGTTTAAAATAAGACTAGAATGCGCGAGTGTCAAAATCAAACGTCCTTTTAATTTCTAAGCCTTCCTTTCCGGCAAATAAGATGAACTGAATGTAAAAAGTGAAAGAGAAATAGAGAAAAATTCAACTTCTAATTAAATATTTTCTTATGGTTTAGAATAATCTATTCTTGAAACTGAGAATGTTTTGATCAAAGGCGTGTGTAAATCGACCTGAAACTGTGCATGGAACCTTGCGTTTCCTGTATCTATCTCACCTATTGTATGGAATATGTGTGAAAATCTTCCTTAGGAATCGGTATATTTCAAAGAGCTACACAACGAGCAAGAATGCTATTGACCGACAATATAAAGAGCGGGAGCAGCTGTATATTGTCAACTATTACTAGTTTAGAAGTGCTGAGACTATCCCCGCAAGGTAGCCTCAACACCCCTTAGAAGTTAGAGCACCAGTGCCAAACTAATTTTAGTACGGATGCGTTTATACGTCGGTCATTGTGAGTGCAGTGCCCAAAAATTGCGAACATGGTACCAAAAATTTGGGCTGACGTGCCGATTTTTTTCTGCGCCTGTAAATGGGTTTTGTTACGTTGAAATCAGAAAGTCTGGGCGGCTGGCCGGCTGGCTATGCATTTTTCACTCAAACAAGATGAATTTCCGCCTCTTAATCATAACATGTTGCATAACGTAAAAAAGAAAACCAAAATGAGGTTCCCGAAGTAATTCTTGTGCTGTCTCATTCAATAGCGTTTGGTTATGGTGCGTTACAAGCAGGAAACACTCTGAGAGGGGTTATCTATGGTGCCGCCGCAGTAAGCTCTGGAGTGCTCTGCCACAATATGGCAAAGAAACTAGGTGGCTTCAAACACGTTTGGAACGAGGTGAATACAAAGCGCACCCAGTACCAAGAAATACACATGGGGCTGGAAAGCCTAAAAGAAGTGGTTGGAAGAGAACTAAAGGAAGGTATTCACCTCATCGGAACACCCGACTTCTCCGTGCTGTTTATTTTGGTAATATTGGTCGCCTTTTGCGCTGTAATGTATGCTTGTTTTACCAGGGTTCGCACAGAGTCTTATTGAAATCTTGAAAAAGTCTTGAAATTTGCAAAGCAATTTTTCAGATCTGGCAAAAGTCTGGAAAAATTGTAAACAGTTTGGAAACTTCTTTCCAAGAAACAATGAGTGCTTAATAAGTGGATTTTTCCCCCTTGCTCAAACCCCATTGAATCTTGCCCGTAACCAAGACATTCAATCGCAGAATGAGAAGTTTTAGAACTCTCGTATTTCCGCATTGGATCGTGCATGGTTACTGTTCTGTAGCGGTACATCATTAAAAAAAAGCTTGGTTCTTGCGCTTTTCAAGGTACGTATCTGTTGCATGATAACCTATTTGGTAAGATAAGATTTAAGATAATTTATTATATCACTTCAGGATATCTCAAATGATCAAAAATAAAACTACTGTATTTACAAAATCATTTATAATCACGTATTGAAAATTAAAAGAATTTAATATTGTAAGCTAAAAGCTAAAAGTAAGGTATAAGAATATATACAAAAAGAAAAAGCAATAAAAATTAAAACAAGATATTTGCAACATCGAGATTAGCTAATAACATGTAATAAATAATTCACGTGATCACTTTTGTCTCCAATTCTATTAAAGATTTGTTCCGATAGTTCCCACAAACCATTTGAATCAGGTTTCGATGATTTAAAACAATCGAGACCGGCCTTGAGACGTTGATAATTGCTAAACTTCGAACTCCTAATGGTAGCTGGTTGCAATATTTGATAACTCTGTTACTAAAGAAGTCATGCGCTGATCTTAAAGAATGATGCAAAATGACTGGAGGATTGCGAGTCTGGTAAGCTGAATTTTTCCTGAACATATTTTGGCCATAATCTACTAAGCCGCTCATGATTTTGAAGATCTCAATTAAGTCACCACGCATTCTACGTTCCAGTAAAGTCGTTAATCGAGAGGCTGTAACCTTTGACAATAACGGAGTAGGCCCATGCCTTCAATTATATATCCGAGTAAACTGTCTTTAGCAGTCTTCAATTCCATTATGATACCCTGGTTTCCATTTTTCGCAGGTGGGGTCCTCACCTGCACTGTGTGCTGCAAATGGAGTCCAACGATGCTTTGTAAAATGGTATAAGTACTTCTGGTCTTCTAGATACTACATTTCTAATGATCCATGATGTCATTTGTTTTGCTTTTCCAATCATTCCTCGTATATGTTTTTCCCAAGGGTATCCCCAGCTGAGGCAACCACTCCCAGACCTCTTTCCTTTTCTACCACTCGTAAGGGCGAATTACCCTTTGTGAAGTTACTCTTAGTGTTGTCCTTACAAATATCAGTAGCAAGACGCTACACTTTGATTCATTTTAATGAAATTTAAAAATTTCATTTGCCATGTATATATATAACGGCCCAATGGGATAAGCCGTGTAAGTCGGATTGAATGGTTTCTGGTGATCATGCGTTCCCTATTAACCATCGACAAAGACAAATAGCATGGTTGTATTCGTTGTGATAGCAGGCATATCGTTAATGAATAAAAGAAATAGTAGGGGCCCAAAAACGGAACCTTGAGGAACTCACGATAAATTCAATTTTGGAAGCAAGGACCAACGTTTCAAAATAGAAGGACCTGATCCTAATAAAAAGTGTCGACACGGGAAACAAAGCAAGACCTCCAAAAAAACAATTAAATTTAGGGGCTTAGAAATGCCATTTCCACGTCACCGGGTAACAATATTTATACTAATTGATAACTTTTACCCTTTCAGTTTACTTATTTGATGTGAATTTTATTTGCCATACAACCTCTTCATTTCCCAAACAAACTCTTATGTTATGCTTGGGCTACCTGTGGTTCAGAGAGCACTCAAGTAAAGTCGCGGCCTAGCAGGGCGATCGCTTTTTTATTTCCTAAAATCCCAAGCGGGAGTCGCGCAAATTTGCGGATGCCTACGCGATTTTATGACGTTGAGGGTGGCGCGATTTGTTTTTAAAATAGCACACTTGACTATTTCGATGGAACCTCGTGGATTCCGCGCTTGCGGTCTTCTATCCCGATTATGACCCCGGAAATCGACGGATGACAATTTGTATTTGAAGAATATCTGCGACCACAGGCGGCCCAGACTCTGTGGGAGTTCGTTAGACTTTGAATTTATAAGAAAATGTATGAAAATATACAAAAAAAGTCCTAAATTCCATTTTTTGACTACTTTGCATGATTTTCTATCTGTAATTTTAGTACCTTTTTTGCAATGAAAGTGAAAATTCTATATTCAGGCAAACCGTACCTTGTAACTTTTATATTGCTTCCCTTGTTTTAAATTGAATACTGGAAAAACCAAGCGTTTTGAAAAATCATTTCGACGGAGTTATTACATCTGGAATGTCTAATGCTTACATGAGCACTGATTTGGTTTTCTGGTCACTATAAAAATGCGGTGACATAACGTTTGCCAGAAAGAATTGTAATAGTTCTAATGCCAGTGAATGTTGAGAGTCTCAAAAGAGGATAAAGCAGTCAATGAATATAAAGTCTATCTTTTGGTGAAGTGAAAAGTTAGATCTCCCTTAATGATTCCCTTAACAAAATTGGTAAAGAATGCGGATTTTTCCCGCTCTCTGGTTGTATGCCTATTCATTAACAGACGTTATGACCTATAATTCGCAATAATATGTATTATTAGTATATACACACTCAGTGATCTTGGTGATTTAAGCAATCTGATTGGTTCGCTATCTTGGACTATTCAACAATATTCACCTCCTAGCGAGTGGATAATGTGTGAGCTCGGTGTTTTTCCCATTTTTTAGAGAACGATCTTTTAATAGTCGACAAAATCCTAGGGCTGACTTTTTTTAAGGCAAGAAAAGACTTGGAAGGATTCAATACAGAGTTTTTCAATTTACTGTAGCTGAGTTTTGTGCTCGATGGATTGTTTACAACTCCCGTGTATTCGTGCAGAAGAAGCCGTTCCGTGAACTCAGCGTCTTCTAACAAGAAAATTTTGGCTCAAAAATCGAAGTTTATTTATGACAAACAAATTTGAAAGGAAATGTTTGCAGAAATTCTACGTTTCAAGTAAACAGGAAAAAGGATGATACAGCAAGACGTCTTACGTCGAGCAACCGAGCTGCCATTGTTGTCAGCACTTTATGCGAAGAACGACACAACAAACCCTTTTGGCTAAAAACTTGGCGAGTCAACAGAAAACAACAAAGTTCTACTTTTCTTCTCAGGTAAGGAAACAGTTCAAACTTTTAGCGGTTCCATTTAAGCCATTACACTGTTGTTTGCGAAACCGGATAAACTTGAGAATTGCCATGTTTGAAAATTCTGCAAAGATCTATTTTTAAACTTACGCGTGATTTGATCTGTCAATCAAATCGTGCTTTTTAATGGTTTCCTCTCTGATTTTGTTGAGATCACTTCGTGTGTATATACTAAAACAATTATTCTTTTCAATCTCGTTGAATAGAGGCTTTGGGAATATTTACCTCGCCGCTTTCGCGGCTCGGCAAATATTTAGCAACTATTCACCTCGATTTCAAAGAATAATTGTTAATTATTCTTCAAAATATTTCTCCGTTTCTGATTGGCTAAAATCACACGCATAAACTGCTGCTGTCGACCAAATTTGGAAGAATTTTGCCATATTGAGCCGATGACGTCAAAAGTGCAGCAAAGATGCAGATTATTGAACCGATAACTGAGATAACCTGGGGACCAGTTTAAGTTTTTTCAAAGTGAGGTGAGTAATGGCGGAACTTTTTACTCGTTTCTCGTTTCACGTTTCAAGTATTGTCTAAAAACATAGCAAGAAGACAACTCGACGGACGACATCTGCTATTTGGAGTACATTTGCATTAACATCGATCGACGGAGGTAAGCATGTTTTAGCTTGTTTTTAAACGGATGTTACTAAAACGGGAAGCAGGGAACGAGCACGGAGAGCAAGAAAATGAAAAAATGAAACCTAGCTCTATAAGTAACTTCAGTTCCCAGTTTTAGTAACATCCGTTTTTTAGACTTAGAATTATTTTGAATGAATAATAATTAAAAGCAATTATTAAATTCGGCTTTCGTAGGATAAGACGAATTCTGCAGATCGAGGAGGGTGTTATCCTCTTGGGCCTTCAGCCTTGGTAGATACCACCTTCGTCGATCTGCAGAATCCTTCATATCCTACTCAGCCTATCTTTATCTGTTTTTCTGTTATTACATATGGATATTTTTAATAAGAGACACTATTCTACTTCACTTCTGCAGGCTTTGTGAATCGTATCAGCTTTGTCCCATCTCAGAGCTTTACATGATGCTATCCGGGAAACTTTTCTCGAGGTGACCAACAACAAAATATTAACAACCTCAAAAACAAAACACTAACAGCGGTGATAAACATTGTGAGAATGAATACAAAAGGCAACAGCTAGTAAAGTTTATAAAAATGCGAAAGCTCACAATGATTATCATCGCTATTTGTGTTTTATTTGTGATCAAACTACGATGCCCCAAGAACACAAGTCTCTATTAACAACCTCGTTCCCAGGTTCTCTCTTCGTAGGAGAGAACCCTGGGAACGAGGTTGAAAAATAAACTGCTAAGCGGCACCGAAACCAGCTTAAGGTGCGCACTGATTTCAAATAACTGTCACTTGTGCAAGACAGAGAATTGGGTAGGGACGGAAAAAGACCCTCCAGGGTAGGCCTTGATAGGTTGTGCTAGCATAATTTTTGGCATAGTTCGTCAATACGAACAAAGTTTTTATCTATTTTCCGAAAAAGCACTGCTAGCAATATTGGCACTTTATGCTAGTTTTTAAGCACAAAATTGTATTTATTTATTGATCATGCAACCAATTTTTGGGCCTGAGATCAGTGTTACAGGCAAATTTAAGTAACAAAATTAATCTTTGTTTGCTTATTGTCACTTTCATGGGACCTGGGTTCTACAGGAAATGACCCTGTGCCGGGTTATTGTCACTTTCATGGGACCTGGGTTCTACAGGAAATGAGCCAGTGCCGGGTTGTTCAAAGCTGGTGCGAAGTGTCAATTGAGATATGAAAACTTCTAAAATCAAATGCACTTTAATTTTTTTTTCGAACAATGTAATGATTTGCTGCTCTATAAAGAATAGAGAAAATTATCCGAGAAAATGCTTTTGAAGAAACCCAGATTAAAATTCAATCCCGGGTTAGCATTAATCGACTATCGCACAACGGGGCCCTGGGGCCCGTTTCTAGGAAGTCCCGTTAACTTTTCGGGCCCGAAATCAAACATTCAAATCGAAATAAAAAGAATAAGAGCACGGGTCCTGGCTAGCAAACTACTCCATTTTGTTTCATTAACTGATGTTTTTATCTTGTTAGATGCAAAACTATTGCAATCTTTATCTTGCATGTAAACAACAACAGCTTTATGGGCTTTTTGATTATCGGGACTTTCGAGAAACGGGTCCCAGAACTCTTTCCACTAGACAACGCATGCGCAAAACTAGGTCGCTTACCCAAGATGGCGTCCACGTGCTGGTTGCTAATTTTTTTAGTTTTTAAAATTGCTAAACTACGAATTATGCACTCCAGGAGCCGATTATCGGCTCCTGTGCACTCTTAAAATTTCTAGACGTAAATGGGATAATTATGTTTGCCATTTACTTGTTTCTTGCACAGTTATTGACAGAGGTCTTTTCACCAAATTTAAGGCAAAAAGTAGAAGCATGATTTCTGCAATTATTTGCTAAAATGAACATAATTATTGTTATAATTTTAGAAATATACGAGCACTGCTAGTAGCATATTATACTACTTTTGCGAGCTATATAACCAAGAAAAGATGGAACATAAGCAAACATTATAATAAACAGGCTGAGACGGGAAAGTTGAGAGAAATTACAAAATGTTTGCTAACCCAGGTTCATAAACCCAGATATAAAAAATTTCTGTAAATTTGGCATCTTCCTAATAAACCTGATGAAGAATGGTATTGGCCAGTCGAAATATGGTAACTACAGTCTTTTCACGTTGTTTTGTCAGTCCTTGCAATAATATTAATAATAATAATAATAATAATAATAATAATAATAAGTCACCAAGAAAACCGCGCGAACTGACGATGATAATGACAATAAAAATAATAATTAAAATTAAAATTGGAACCCCGTTAACACGGTCTCTTTCAAAATACCGATAACGGGTTTCACTGTAAAAATAATAATATTATTAATATTAATAATAATAACAATACTAATAACAAATTAAAAACAGCCACGTCATTGCTATATCGTAATGTTCCCAAAGTAAAGATTCCCTGAATTCGATAGTCCTTAGCTGCAAAACTCTAAAGTACCCACTCCGAGGAAGTTATGACTCTCCGCAAGTAGTGATTTCAGTCTTTTCAACAAGAGATGACAGAAATGATAAATTTAAAAGCTATAAGTTAAGGAAAACCAATAATTAAAATTAAAATTGGAATTCTCTTTCAAATACATAACTCATTTAGTGCATTCACCATTTTCACATAGACCAAAATGCATGCGTCTTGTTTACCCCCCCCCCCTACCAAATTTTGCATAACCATTGTTTCCAATTTCTTCTGTGTATTACAATCATCCCAAGAGAAATCAAAAACAATGGTTATACAAAATTTGGGGGGTAAACAAGGTGCATTATGGTCTATGTGAAAATGGTGAATGAAGCTGTTTTCAAAATTCAAGTATTCTTGTCGAGTCTCGATACATACCCAGGGGCGGATCTAGGGGGAGGGTGCAGGGGGGCCCCCCCCCGAGATGACCTGCGATTTTCTAATACAACTGGTATTCTGCAAAAAAAAAACTATGTGGTTTATTGGTGTTAATAGAGCAAGAGACGAGTGCACCCCCTCCTAAAAAAAATCCTGGATCCGCCCCTGATACCCGTTGCAAATGTGGCTATTTGTTTTACTTCGAACGGCCTTTGAAACGGCCCAAGCAAAGTACACATATTTGCTCACCGAAAGTAACAATAAGAAAAAGTCGGAAAGAACCGTGCGTCTCGCCCGCTTTTCCTCTCCGTCCTATGATACCTCGCGCTTCTCCTTTTTTCAGTCATTTGATAATTTCTGTATATGTTCTATTTCATTACTTATTTCTTAGTAACTTTTTAAAGAAGATGAAATATATATTTTTGTATATATATTTAAGTTGTATTGCCTCTGAGATGCTAATATTTCATTATAATTGTTTATTCAGTTTATATCAACATTTGTTGACACCATTTATATAATGCATTCAGGCTTTTTACACTCTAAAAAAGCCAGACGGAGGCTGTTTTAATGCGACTTGGAACTTGAGATAAACGACGTTATCTTTGCAGTAACTGCCATGACATATATCTTCTTGAAGTACAAATCTTCGGGCGCCCTTTCCCAGCTGGCGGTCGGCGGAAGGCCGTGAAATGCACTGAGGCTCAAAGTGGGCAGAGATATCTTTTCTTTCTTTGTGCTCGCCTCGTTGATCAAGCAGCGTGAAAGTATATCGCGGATAAATTGGCCACTTATGAATGGAGTCGTATTCTCCAACTTGCACCTAACATATACAAAATACAAACGCTTTTTGAGGATTTTTAAAAGTGTTTTTTAAAAACTTCTAGCGTGTTCCAGTATTAACTATGAATACTTGCAAAATCAACGGATGCGTGAGATTCACGCCAGGGAATCAGAAACATTCATCACAGGTATAGAAGACAATTTCTCACGTCCGACTCATAAAACAGGATCCGTCGTTTATTATGGCGTAAGAAATTGTCCTGGAAAATTGAAGTTTTTAAGCAGAAAAACAACGAAACGAAACAACGATTATTCTTCCCGTTAATAAGTTTATGAACTATCGTTCATAAAGATGAACCTGCACCTATCCCGTAGTCATGGTGACCGTTAGGGCGCCACGGACCTGGCAACCCTTTCACTCCAAGCTGTCAACGTTGTTCAACTTTTCACTGTTGATTCTGATGTCAATGCTGATTCCATTTGTGTTGTTGGTCATCAGTTTAGTCTTCTCTGCACTACTTTTCGTGCCAAAGGCCGCAGAGGTCTTATCCAGGCGATCCACCAGGGAGGCTAGTTCCTCCTCTTTTCCTGCCAAGCCATCGATGTCATCGGTAAAACGTAAGTTGGTAATTGTACTGCCTCAGATGCTGACTGTTCCTTGGCGATAATCTAGTGCGTCAGTAACAATTCTCTCCAGAAAGATATTGAAAAGAGTTGGTGAGAGTAGACACCCTTACCTGACTGCGACAGTGGTTCTCAACCAGTCTCCTATGCCGCCATTAAGGTAGACTGCACTATTGGCCTTGTTGCAGAGGTTTTCAATGACTTGGATCAGGTTGGCGTTAATGTTATAAAGCCTGATAGTAGACCAAAGAGCTTTATGCCATACTCCGTCAAAAGCCTTTTTAAAATCAATAAAGACGTGATAAAGGTCTTGTTGATGTTGGAGATACCTATCACACAGTATCCTAAGATTGAACATCTGTTCTGTCGTACTGCGTCCTGGTCTGAAGCCTGCCTGTTCTCCTGCAATGATTTATTCTGCCTGAGGCTTCATCCTGTTTAACAGCATCTTCAGCATGACTTTACTCGGGTGGCATATTACGCTAATTGTGCGGTAGTTCCTGCACTGTTGAAGGTTACCTTTCTTTGTATGGGCGACTCTCTTGTCTGCCATATCTTACTGCAGATTTTATGCAAGGCGCTTATCACGGCATCTCCTCCTGCCTGAACAAGCTCCCCCGGGATATTGTCTATCCCTGGAGATTTTCCCTTCTTAAGCGATTTCACAGCTGCTTCGACCTCTTCCGGCAAGATTGGGTAGTTATCAGTGTTGCGTATTGGTGGGACAATCAGCACCTCTGAGTCACCTTCGACTGTATGTCTGTACAGTTCTTCGCAGTATTCTGTCCACCTCTTTAGAATGTCTAAGGTTTCGGTTGGGCAATTCCCGTTTTTGTCCTGTATGGTGTTGGTTTGTCCTTGTTTTGTGCTAGTTAGAGTTTTTACTAGCTGATATGCTTTCTTGCTATTGTTCTTCTTGACGGTATCTTCAATATCTTGACACTGTACGTCGATCCAAGACTCTTTTGCCTTTTTTATGCTCTTCTTAATTTCCTGGTTCACTGCTCGGTACTTTTCTTCCCCTTCTACTGTCTCGTGTCTTCCCTAAGATTTCACTAGCTGTTTCCGTCATAAACACATTATCGGGAAAAATAATCGTCAGGAAAAAAATATCGCGCAGTTGACTATAGGGAAAGTTGACAGGGTATACCATGTGTTCAATTAGGTGTTCGTTGACTGTTGTGATGGGCCATCGCAAATGTACAAATCCATAAATAACATTAAAAATGTCGTCTCAAAGAGTTAGACATGCACTTAATGACTAGTTCCGAGAAGGGGGCGAGTTAAGGGGGCAGTCGTTGTTTTTTGGGCTTAATAATGTTGACTTGGGAAGGAAATATATAGGGGTAGAAAAGGTATACACATAACCAGTTAGTCCGCTATTGACTATCTGGTATTTGTCTACAGATAGACAATCCAGATTTCTAAGATTTTAAACATCCCCCTCATTTTTTTTTACATTTAAAACATTCGAAAAATCACCCAAAAATTCTCAAAAAAATGTTTGAACCAAGGACTCCATCTTATTTTAGAAAAAGGGCAGAAATAAACGAAAAACAATGCTGTTAACCAGACTGCCCCCTTAAACTCAGAGATTCCATGACGGTAACATGAATATAATTAACCGCGGGATTGGGTAAATGAGGAATGTTACGATTAACTTAACTACGATGAGCAACAGGAAGGTATACCTTCAGGTTTTACGTTGAAATGAAACCCTAGTGAGTGAATCCTCTTATGGAATACTTCAAATGCTTTCAGTTTTTACCATCAAAACGGGACTATATTGGTTAACTTACCTGAAGTCCCACGGATATGTACCTTCCTCTTCCTGTACCAACACCATTGAGCCACAGACCTGCGCACATTTTATACCCGTGGGGGTGGGTGTAGAAAGGCTCACTGATCATCGGCTCAGGAGCGCGACCTGATTTGGCGTCCATTAGCTTTCGAGTGAAGTCCGTAATCCTCCAAATAAATTCTCCATTTGCCGCGCGACTTCTCACATCTATGATCTCCTGCTTTTGAAGAAGAAGTGTTTCCTTCTGGAGTTGGATGTGCTCTTTTTGCAACTGAATTCTTTCCCTTTGGTTTTCCAACTGCTTCTTTTGGGTGTACACTAAATCACACAGAGCGTTCAGATGGGCTTCAGTGCTGTTGGATAAGTGATCCTTCATCTTAAATCGTTCCGCCTGTAAAAAAAGACTTGTTAAAAATAATCGCTTGTCGAAAAGACGAAACAGTAAAAATTGTCTTTTTTTATGTCCTTATCTATTGGTATTCACTATAATTATTTCAGAAGATTATCTTAAGCCGGGTTCAAACATCGCATTTCACATGCGCCGAATTGAAACGCCGAGGAAGCAAATCTATTGTTCTCGCTACTTTGCAATAGATTGGGCAAAAGTGAAATGCGACGTTTGAATCGACCCCAATATAGTAAGTCAATCGGTAACCTATTACGCTCAATCAGTATGCCAAGAACTTAATCCACCTTTCCATTGTCTTAAACAGGTTATTATTTTCAATAAATGGAAGAGCAGGTCACTGAAGTGGAACAGGAGGTCATTATGACGATTAATAACCCACGTTCCACTTCAGTAGCCACAATAATGGCCTGCTCAGTTCGGCCTTCTTAAAAATAATAGAGAGATTTTTCCAAACGGCAAACGTGAATTTGCACAACGTGACCAAGTTTTCCCCTTAGTTTTCGTTAACTGTTTATTACTTGTACATGAAAATAAGTAGTTTCACGCCAGTTTTATACATAAGAATTGTTCTGGACAGTTTTTATCGCGGGTACTTATTTTCTATTCTGAGAAATTGTCAGCTTGAATCTGCCGTTTGCCGTAAACGTGACTCTTAATCTCTCTAATAACCTCGCTTGGTCATTATTCTTAAGAAGGCCACCGACGGAGCTCAGGCATTATCCTATATAAGATAAAAAGTCAAAGCAAGTGATCAGAAGAGGACGACTTAAAGCGTGACAGGATCGTCTTCTTATGATACCTTAAAGGCACATCCAGCTTCATGGAACTTGCATTGTATCACTAGCAAGGGACATTCGGAGTTCATGTGGATAGCGAGCTGTAAAAGGAGAGAGAAAAGAAACACATCCAAATCAGGACTATATCAAATACTTGCAAACTAGCTAAAAGAGTTCTAAATTTGATTTGCCCTAAGCACTCTCAATCAACCACGGTAGTGACTAGACTAAAGCTCCCTTTATATGGAGGAAAGTTGAAGGGTCACCCGCTTACTCGAGTTACCCTGGGCGAGCCAACTTTTCCTATATTCCCTTACAAAAGGTGGCGAACCGTTTACAAGAGAAATAAAAAGATTGGTTTGGCGAGAAGGGTGCGGACCCGTCTAGCCAGATTTCTCTTTTGTGATGGTAGGGCCACTATCCTAGCCGGGCCATCTTTTCTCTGTATCAACACTTGGGCTTGCCGAGGCTATTCTCGACCCCAGTGCTCTGTGGTCGAGATTGCGCCCAGCCGGGTTAACCTGGATATTAAACCTGGTTAAGGTCGGAAAATTAGAGCATGCGCAAGCGCTGTTTTACACAGTAAAGGCAGGTGCGATTGGCTTGGGCAACTGAAGAGGTCAAATGTTTTCTCATATAGACGCTTGCTCAAGTTGACTAGGCTGGGAGGGGGACCCTTCTGCCCGGAACAGGTATTCTCCATATAAGGGGCCTTGTATGTAACATATCCAAAAAAGTTATTGCATTGTAAATCTTTTATTTCGACTGCATTCAACCGTTATTAGGCTGACTCTTGTGTGCCCCAAAAATTGGCGACAGGGTGAAAATATGTAGACACTGTGAGAAGTCATCAATTCAGAAACAACAATGCGACTCGAAAGGCTTTTCTTGATCTGACTTCAAAGTGATGTTGATACCTGTCTCATAAGCAGTTGTTATTTATTAGATTTTGGGGCGATTTTTAAATGCAGCAATGCGCGTTTAACCCGGGGAGTTTTTGCAAATAATTTTCTTCTGTCCCTTGCCGTGTCTCCCTCACTCATTTTCGTATCCAATCTTCTCCAATTTTTTTTTCTTTTTACATCACAAACGCTTTAAGGGATTGGATACATGTCACGAAATATTAACTCGCTCCTTATCATCATTTTTGCCTCATTTATGCAAGAATTGTGCATTACGAACTCTTTGTCCAGTATCTGGTTTGCCTGAAATAATGCCCTTTCCCTATTATCTCTATCGCAGGTTAACATCATGTAGGCAGAGCGCTCTTTCTATAATAAGAGTGGCCAACCCTGACGTCCATATCATAGCCATGGTCAAGGGACGGGAACCCTTTTTTGTTAAAACTGTGCTAAATAAGAAAAACCCTAGGAGTGGCTGTCGTCAGTTGATGTTCTGTGAGGTCCTCTGTTCTTGCTGAGTCGAGTTTGTCTGACAGTCACTGTCTTGATCGACACGTCTGCTGAATCAGCTTACAACAAAACAACATTGACTGATACACACCACCTACAAAACAACTAAGACAGATACACAAGACAGAGAGACAAGCAATAGTTAAGGAAATTCTTCTTGATATACCGAGGTCCATATTCTCATTTTTCCCTGCTTGAGAATCATTCTCTATGAGTTCATCTCAACTAACAGCAATTTTCGTAAGGTAAACGACTGATCAACATTTCCATTCTCATCACCTGACTTCTTGAGTCTCATGGAAGGTTTTATGAGAAAATGGACGAAGATAATAACTGTCAGGATAAAAGATGTCAGACCTATCTAGTGGGCCACAACACAAAAATAGCAAACGAACAAAACAACTTTCAATACAAAAATTAAATGCAATCTGTATCGATTATATAGATATTTATTTATTTATTTACTAGTATTTAATAATCTAGTTAAAAATGTCTACTTGTTTACTGCTATCATTAAACACCACCCACAAGAGGTAAAAGTCCAATCGATAATACTGCGATCAGTTTCATCGGAAATCTCACAATTGCTCACCTAGACTTTCAAAAAAGTCCTTCGTTGGATTTCATATGGCGCGGGACCCCAAATATGCGAGTCACGCCACTCCCCATTTTTGGCGCGAAATGCAAATGAAAACCCTGCAAGCGAGACAAGTCGACCTCTCGCGACTTCGTCGCTCGCGGTCGGCCGCTTCACGGCGAATTGGCCGCTTCGCGGCCAAAAAAGGCTCGCTCCGCTCGCCAAGAGGTCGACTTGTAGCAAGTCTATTAATTGCTCACCCTTACTTAAACTTTTTTATTTCTAGTAGGAATCACAACGCTGCACTGCCGGTACATTTGTTCTCTGGTTACTTAATAATTTAAATACTCTAGCACTGAGAACAATCGTTTTTTCTAAGTGAATTTATGTGGGACAAACCTTTTCCTTGGTGAGGTTTATTTCGCCACAGTTAGCAGGACAGGACACAGGGAACGAGGCACAAGTTTGGAGGTGCAACTACAAAAACAAAAAACAAAGATTACAAAGTTTCTAGAACTAAAGGTCAATTAATACGGGCAACTATGAAATTTGCTGAGCGCCCACGTGGTAATACCGGCAACAACGCTTTTCAACTTGCAATGTAATAATTTTGCGCGAAAAGTTGAACGCACGCACTGAATGTTGCCCGTTTGCTTAACCGTAAGGCTAGAAGAAGACGATGCCTGGAATCCAGTTTTAGCTCCCCCAACACAATACAGGAGGACAAAATTTGAGTTGAAGATAGTCACGTAAGTGTGAAATATATTCCGCACTTAGACACAGTATCAGGAATTCCAATTAATCAATGCCTTATGATTGATTAAACAACTGCCAAGTTCTGAACCAATCGGAAAGAAGTAGCAGAAAGTAAGCATATTTTTTCCCGCGCTTCAAGCATGGTTATTCTAGCGGGCCGCATTTCCTTGCACCATAGTTACTATGCTTCTACGGACCGCTAAATTCAGTTTGTTTTGGTTGCAATTCATGACACTTTTTAAAAACACTTTTTCGTTTTAAGTAATCTTGGGTTATGGGTATGTTCACTGTTACACGAATGTCTTTGACTACTCAGTCACGATTTATACAGTACACTCAGTTGATTAGGATTTGAGGACATTTGACGCGCGTCGATCATACCACGGCTCGTTCCACTTATATTGAAATCTTCGATGCCCTTTCAATCTCGACTTAAACACAGACTTAACAAACTTCTTACTAACTTCGTTTTCTCATTACGTTTGCTGACAGTAAGGACCGGTCGAACTCGGTTTAGTAAAATATAATGTATCAGTCTACTTCTGGCTGGATCAGTGGACTACCTCAGTGTTTTTTACGACCGCAAGTATTTGTATTTGTCTTTGCTGTTTTGGTTAAAAAGTAGTGGACTTACATTCATGTGACTGAAGACTACTTGCTGATCACAGTGTGTGCAAATCGTTAATCTGTTTGCACATTCGAGGGAATGATCTGGCACATTCCTACGTTCCAAAGATGCTCCACAGTGTTTTGGACAGGCAACCTTGACATAGCTGCATACTTCCTGGTGACTCTAAGCAAGAAAGAAAAAGGTAATTATTGCCATCATTGTTCTTGCCCGCGTGGCCGGCGCCGGTTGGCTTTTTCGGCTTTTATAGAACGCGCGAGGGGAACAGGCCTCGTGTGCGCGGGCGTCCTCGAAACTTCTCTCTACGCCGTTAAAAAACCGGTGCCTGCTAAACAGGCTACCATTATTCTATTGCTAAGAGACCTTGCTGGCTGCTCAGGAGACTGATTAATTGAGAAGAGAAGGGATTAAAAATGTTACTATCAGCGACAGGGTTTGGAGAAATGGTTAGTGCAAAACTGCTTTTATGAATGCCTCCTCCCCTCCCCTTGCAGTGGCCCACACGCCTTTGGCCTATCAGTATGGACGGAATTGAGGTCTGAGTTAAGTTTTCAAATTTATTCTGTCGGAATAGTGTGGAAAAGGTCTGCAGTGTCGCATTGTTCTTCTAATTGCCTATAGTATATATGTTTAAGGGGGTGAATACGGTTTACCTCTACATCACTAAGCGGCCCAGTCCATTCGCATCCTTTTTCAAGGTTTGAGCAAAGAACTTGTAAGTTGAGAATCTGTCGATGACAGCCATTATCTTCGAAAACCTAGGAAGAGGTGTATGATTAAATTAAAATAGTTCCAGAACTGCCTGAAGTTTGCGCTTGTCATTCTAGCTGTTACATTCATCACGGAAAAGGTCTGTAGCGGGTTTCAAAACGCACTTCATGCTGGCGCTTAGCGCCTAGCCTTCTTAACCTAGACGTTCTTAGGGCTTCGTCATGCTTTGCTCCTCCAAGAAGACAGTGGAAGTAGGCGTCGTTAAGGTGGCTCCGTAATTAATACAAGAGCATTTAGCTGTGACAAATTTTTCGTCGTAACTTTTTCGATTTTAACGCGATGGCTGCGAAACTTTACAAAAAACAACAGATATCATTCGGCAATAATACGAAATATTCCGATTTCATTGATGGTAAATATTTCTTGAGAAATTAGCGCTTAAAAGGACCCTACTGTTCAAAGAAAATCGCGTCTAGTAAAAAAATTTCCTGATATTTTTTACTGAAATTTCTGGTATCGGCTTTAATTGATATAATAAATATGCCAGAGGAATTTCAGAAAAATCGTTGGAGCAGAAGTCCGTAACTGAAACTCGCTCAAAATTCAGCTGTGAAATTGTTTTGGAATTTCAAAAATAAATTACTATCAGGAAGAAGGAGACACCAGTTTCAATTTTCGGGACAAGTAAATTCAACGTTTGCTAATTCTGAAAACAGAAGCCGATTGCCTATCGTGCTATTCTTTAAAAGGTACTTTTCAGTTTTAAAAGCACTATAAATTGCTCCAAACTTTGCTCTGACGTCGAATGACTTGTTCCTCGACATTTTTAAAATATCCCTTGGCAGTTTTGGTTCAAACTCTTGCTACATACATTTTGATGTATTGCAATGCATCCTCAACGGCTTTTCCTGCTTTACGTTGTTTCCAATTCAGGAAAAAGGTATTGGGATTGTATGCTACCTTGTATCGAAGCTCAGATAGAACTGTCCAGCACCTTTGTTTATGACCAGAAAATGAGCACGAGCGGCAGCTCTGCGAGGAATTCGCACCTCAGCCAGGGGGGACGAATGACAATGATGCCCATGTCTGTGAACCGATCTGTATAAACATGTATTGCAGAGCAAAACATAATAATGAAGAAAAAAATACCCATTCATTGAAGGAAGGAGTGACAAAAATTTCAGAGTTATAAATTTATTCACGGGCAGTATTTTTGCGATAATTTTATTTTGCACTGTGATGTTATTCGCTTCACAGGCATGGTCATCATTGTCGTTCGTCCCCCCTGGGTGAGGTGCGAATTCCTCGCCGAACTGCCGCTCGTGCTCATTTTGTAGTCATAAACAAAGGTGCTGGACAGTTCTATCTGAGCTTTGATACGAGGTAGCGTCCAATCTCAATACTTTTTTCCTGAGTTGGAAGCAACGAACAGCAGTAAAAGTCGTTGAAAATGCATTGCAATGCATCAAAATGTATGCAGCAGGAGTTTGAGCCAAAACTGCAAGGGGATATTTTAAAACTGTCGAAGAACAAGTCATTCTACTTCAGAGCAAGGTTTGGAGCAATTTATAGTGCTTCTAAAACTAAAAAGTACCTTTTAAAGAATAGCGCGATAGGCAATCGGCTTTTGTTTTAAGAATTAGCAAACGTTGAATTTACTTTCCCGAAAATTGAAACTGGTGGCTCCTTCTTCCTGATAGTAATTTAGTTTTCAAATTCCTGAACAATTTCACAGCTGAATTTTGAGCGAGTTTTAGTTACGGACTTCTGCTCCAACGATTTTTCTGAAATTCCTCTGGCATATTTATTATATCAATTAAAGCCGATACCAGAAATTTCAGTAAAAAATATCAGCAAAATTTTTTACTAGACGCGATTTTCATTGAACAGTAGGGTCCTTTTAAGCGCTAATTTCTCAAGAAATATTTACCATCAATGAAATCGGAATATTTCTTACTATTGCCGAATGATATCTGTTGTTCGTTGCAAAGTTTCGCAGCCATCGCGTTAAAAACCAAAAAGTTATGACGGAAAATTTGTCACAGTAAAATGCTCTAGTATTAATTACGGAGCCACCTTAAGCCCTAAGACCAACTGCGCCCAGGGAATTCTCTGTAAATGTTTGAATTGGTTGCGGGAGGTGTGCCCCTGGGACCCTGGATTCCTTAGCCTATACCACTCTTAGCTGTAAGTTGCATTGCAATCCTATTCGATTCCATGGATCACCAAAAATCTTAGACCTCTCCCAAACTGATAGTAAACTTAGACATCTTTTTATACCACGGATTAATTTTTCTCGATTCTATATCCTATCACGGACCACACTACTTAGGATCCTACCCAGGCCCCTGAATATGCCCTATTCCTGAAAAGATCAGTCCTGCAATGCAGGTTAGCGAAACAATCCTTTCAGTTTTATTACAGAGCACCGTTCCAGAACAATTACAAAAGCGAGGTTATAGCGACTTACCTTCACAGGATCAAAGTTCAGATTGTCGAGTGGGCAGCGAGGCCTTTTATTTCTGTGGGAAAATGAACGTACATTGAGCATTGGCAGGCCGTAAAGACTGCTACGGAACAAGATTGAAGAATCAAGATCGATCAAGATCGAATTAAGTGTTCGAAAGTCTCTGAGTGTGCATTTCTACTAGCAATTATAATTATAATAGTTTTCTTGACTGAAATATATAAAATATAGAACATAGGATACATTGGAGGGTTTTCTCTATCAGAAACCTTAGGAACGGTGAAAATAAGCTTGCGAACGCGGGGCGAGAGAGAGCAGCGCAAGGCAAAGACAGTTTAACCAGCTCGTAGGACATTCCTATTTTTTCCGCGTATGAAAATCTTCCTGGAAATTGTCTGTGTGCGTCAGGTGTCCGGTTTTCGTGGCAAAGTAGGTATAAGACATTCATCGAGCTTCAGAGACTGAATTTTCAATGGCATGAAGTCGTAACTTACCGCTCTCGTCATGGAATCATGCAACTTATTGACTTCCACTCAGAATATACCAGAATTAGAAGGTTCATGCACAACTAATAAGAAAAATCCTGTCTCTGTACTTACTTTAAAATTGGTTGTAGGCAGGTACTACACATTCTATGTCCACAAGGAGTTATTTGTACCGGTTCTCGAAGAGCTATCAGGCAAATCGGGCACTCGAACGCCTTGTCCAAAGGCGATGTAAACTTCACCTCGTATCCCGGCATATCTGTGAAATTTCCTGTGTTGCAGTTACCCGTTTGGCTTTAGCAGAGGCAAAAATCACCCCCAGACAACTAGCAATCGTTCATTTCCATACATACGGCAAAAATTCTTGCTGATCCCTGCTGTGTTTTTTTGTAGCCTGCCAACTGCTATAGCGTTAATTTGCGGAGATGTCGCTGAGAAATTTTGCTTGGCACTGTTATACAAAGCCTTCCCTGGTCGACTTCCAAATTCTTCTTTTACGAGAGAACAGTTTTCAAAGAGTGCTCCAAATGCCTTAAAACGTCTGGCTCTTGCGGTTTACTGTTTCAAAGCACAGACAATTGCAGGACACAAGCTAATGTAGTTTGTTTGTGGGAGTATGCTGGAAATAACAATTCAGTGTAAGCCGCACCCTTAGCTTCCCTTCACCCTGAAATGTCATGATCTAATAACTGACAATTGAACGCTCTCTACTCAGGAGATATTTTGACCACGCCTTAGAACTCCTATTTGTCAAAAGAAGATAAACAATGACTATTTGGCACGCCTCAAGCGGCTTTTTTTTGGACAAAATAATTCTCCCTTCTTCTTTATCGAACGTGAGGTCCTGTTTATGCAGTTTTGTAACCAAAAAGTACCATCTGATCTAAGACACCCTCCCGCAAAAATAACACAAAAAAAAAAGAAAAAAAGAAACCTAAAGCTTTCACTTATACTGGTCTCGTTATCAACAATCTTGTCTGTTTATATTTATATTAATGCCATCTCACTATAAATTCTTTCACAAATTAAGTTCTCCATAGCTTTGATTTAATTTTGTAAGTATTAAGTTTTTTTTTGTTATGAAAGCTAACGAGCTAAGGAAGGGCCTAACCAGTGCTACCCGCATTTTATCTTATTAACAGAAAACGTGAAACTCCTATCATTGGCCAAAACGACTAAAATATGATTGTATGTATTGTTTTACTGAGCTGGGCGTAAACTATATAGTTTCAGTTTAGATACATTGGACTTTATATTTAAGTCTCCAACACAACACCAAACAGTAAACGCCTAAACAGCTGGTACTTCGTTGCCACCTGCGAAACAAGCACCTGTTGTCTGTGCTTATAAGATTTATCAGGTGTCAAGGGGACTCTGTAATTTTTTCATTTTTAAAGCGGTTATTAACATAAATACTCTTGAAATGTAATCTAGACAATTACAATGTATATAAAAGGAATATGATAAAAGTTGGTAGGTTCTGAGTAGAATGTCATCTTGTGAAGCTGCCTGAAGGTCGGGTCCGATTCTTAATTTTCATGTCCAGGATGGATCAGAGAGAGGCTCCTAATTATTTTAGGCAGGGTGTGTTACATGTTCTTGGGCAAACAGACACACAATGTTGTTGCATTCACTCAGCAGAGTGTTTAATTATAACTTGTTTACTACTGATGTTGAATTTCGTATTACGGTTTTGGAGGATCTACTTAATCTTACTGTGCTATGGACTGATGCCAGGCGGGATACAATTACACTTCAATATCTGTATTTTAATACTTTTTTTCAAATGCAGACAAATTTACAACCAAAGAATAAATTAGACTAAGAAATTGCTTAAAAAGGTCTATATAAACATGTTTACAGCTAAAATATATCGTTAATAATATATTCAGTCATGCGTATGGAATAACTGAACGCGCTGGCAAAGCTTTACTTAAGAGGCAATCGCGCTGAGCATCAGGCAAGGGAGGGAGGGGGTATGGAGGTGGGAAAGTGAATTGTGCCCTGCTGCCAAAGCATTTTTGGAGCCCTTCCTGATCTAATATCAAAACGTGCTTCTCCGAAAGCAACGTAGGCTATCAAAACTGACGGATATGAAATAAAATTTGTACAGTTACTTTCTTTTTGTCTTTCTTTGTTTGCATGTTCTTTATATATGAATTGTTATGGGTTGTTTATTTAGGTAATACGACAGTACGAGGCCGACGAATGCACGGTTGAAATGGAAGTTTGCAGGGAAGAGCTGCTTAGCAATATTTCTATGTACAGTAACGTAAGGTACCTGTATTTTGATTCTGGCTATCATTGTTGTAAAAAGATTGAAACAAACTCGTTCGATAAATTTAAGATCAATCTAAGCGTAGAAAGTCCAGAAACAGCTTACACCAATCAAAGAATGGTAAAGTCATCGTTCAACCAATCTTACACATTCAAATATAAAAACCATCAATGTTCTGTTCAAGACAATAAATTAGCTTACATTTATATTTAAAAAATATATACTAAGGAGTGATTAGAATTGTGACCACAACTGTCTTAGTAATATTTTACTATTATCATTGGTATCTGAAGGGGGGAGGGGGGGGTAGGGGGGGGTAGGGTACTCAAGCAAGTTTTATACGGGGAGGCTTTGCCTCGACGTCCAATCCCTTATCCTTTTATAATTATTATACCATTTTTGGTAAAAATGGTACTCCTTTCTTATACCTTCTTTTGACAAATGGTACGCTGTAAATGCACTGACTGTAAAATAGGAATAAGTCACAAAATCAGAACGTTTTCTCCACTTTGAGTTTCACGCAGCCATAAAATGCATCTGTCAGCCCATTTGGTCCTTTTTACAGACCAAAATTAGCGAAATCCCTGCCCTTTCATGTACCTGAAGCCTGAAAATGGTACCTCTTTTGGGCACAGCCTCCCCATGTAGGCCACCCACACCCCCCCCACCCCAAGCTTTAACAATGGCCTGTTTAGCACCAACAGCAAAGTAGCAAAGAGCAAAACACAAGAGCTTAACTTTGCAACAATTGCTCTTTAGACTTCAGGGCCGAGTTGTTCGAAGGCCGATTAATGCTTAAGCCGGGGTTAAATTTAACCCGCGTTTCTTTTTCTCTTGTTCAAAAGAATTTTCTCCGATAATTTTCCCTGTTATTTTTAGAGCTTCCAATCATCAACTTGTAGACAAAAAGAATTAAAACTGAAATGCTTTTTAAGCTTTCAAATCTGAATTCAAATGTCGAACTAACCCTGGGTTATCTTAACCCAGCTTTGAACAACTCAGCCCTGACTTGCACCTTGAAAAGGAAGGATGCCACTATCTTTATATCATTCTTGATGTTCTTTCTCAATCTTCAAAGGTACTGTGGTCACCACCTGGTTTTCAAATACAAATCTCTTAACTCTACCAAATACAAAGAGGAAAATCAACAAGATTGCTAGGTACTGAATCCAAGCCATCTTGATAAGCTGCCAGAAGCCTGGTCGGTATCTTGATTTGAAGTGAAGGATCAAAAATGATGAACAATGATGGGGGGAGGGAGGTGTACTGCTGGGGGGGCTGGAGGTACATGCAAGGCAAGTTTGGTTAGAGATGTGCCAGTAAGGCCTTTAAACCCTGACCTTGATTTTTTTTAAAACTTGAATCATGGAATTAGTGTAGACCAGTCACCACCAACCTTCACACTCTTTGAAAGGCTTTCAGTCAAAAAAGAGACACTATTTAAGACATTACATAGTGGAATAAAATAAATTATTGTATACCCTGCTTAACTGTCTTTCCAGGATTTCCAGGACCTGTGAAACCTGTCTTTCCCTTGACAAACAGAGTTACCAATCAAAATATCCAGGATTTCTCTACCATTTCAAAGCTAAATTGATAAATAAATACCTACTTTCATTCCTTTGAAATTCAATCACATTATTGTTTGTATCAAAAGGATACATGATGATCTCTTCTGGATAGAACACAGTTCCTTGTAATGCAAATGGTTGCCCTGTGGCACGCCCACTTGTCCACACTGGATAATCTGATGCATACTCTGTGGTGACTAGCAAAACCCAGAAAGGATCAAATCATCAGTACAAATAGTTATAGAATAAGTGTACATTGTACATACACAAGATATCAAGCAAATAATTATGTTGCTTACACTGTGATGCAACAATGGCTGAATTTATTCTAGAGACAAATAATTATTATTCGACATCTAAGATGAATAATTATCTGTCTGAGAAGGATAAAATCATCTAGTACATATAAGTCCTGTGTTCAGACAAATTGTGGCCCTAAATTTGTATCGTCAGACAGCACATCTGTAAGAACTGATGGCAGATGAATCAAGTGAAGACGCTGTGAATCCGCTGTTGAGACAAATTTTGGCTCCAAATTCACCTCTTTTATCAGTACGTTTACAATACCTGCTCAGACAAATCAAGTGAAGAAAAATTTGGGGCCAAAATTCATCTAAACACTGGATTTATATCTACTGTAGTTGATTTATCTGTCTGAGACTCGTGAATAATTCGTCTCAGACTGATAATTCATCTCTGGTACAAATTCGGCCAATATTTGGTGACATACAAGGGTTGATTAAGTGACGGAGGCAAAACATTACTGGATCATCTCCATCATAAGTTTTAAGACAAACTAGTTCAACTCCATGAAGCACACCAAGGTAATGCTAAATAATGTGTTGTCTGAGAAACAAAACAGAGACAAGATTAAATACAAAAATATCCAAATGGTTCTTGACCATTTACTGCAATTTGGACATACCATTTCGCTGAACATAACTTGCAAAAATGTCATACAAGTTGTATGCCTGAGCATTTGTGCTTGTACCATTGATAACCGAGACCTACAAAAATCAAAATTTAAATCACCAATAAGTAAGAAAGTGAAATCAATCAATGACCTAGAGGGATCATGAACCTCATGTTTCACTTTCAGAGAAGTTGCAAGTTAGGGTTTTACAAACAAAGAACAACAAACTCTCATTTAACTACATATTAAAAAAATATTAATATTCAGACCTAATAAGCTGGTAAAGTTTTTCTACAAGCAGTATCTTTGATAAGATTAATAAAATTATATCTAAATAAAAATAAACAAGCTTTAAACAAAAATCTACTTATTTACTAACCTAGTAGGCCGATTAGAACTTTTATTTAAAAATAATGCAAATTGAATTAACTTTATCAGTGCATAGATTTAATTAAGAAATAATACTAACTGTAATCAAGAAAAATTAAGCTGAGGAACGTTTTTCAACAGTTTGATGTTTCTGACATCAAGAATCAAAACCATTAAAAGTGTCAGAGTTGTTAATAGAGTTAAGGTTTGAATAAATTAGATTGCATTTGAATTACCCTCCTCAGCTTAATTTTTCTTGTTAAATGCTTTAACAAGATCATGCGATATCTGTAATCAGCAATACATTATTAACATCAAATAGTGTTGTATTTAACAATTTGAACATTATTACAATATTATCATACTATCATACACCATTTACTTACATTATAGACATTATGAATTCCTTTATGAGGTAAAGGAGAAGATTGTTGTAATCTGAGTTGTCCTGTTGTAGAAAACTGTGCTCCTGCCAAAGGAGATGAGTAGTAAATGTAGGCTATGCTCTCCATCTGCAGGCTAACATATTTCTAAGAAAACAATCATAAAAAAACATAAGGGACAACAAAGTTGTGGGTGTTACAGAAAAGACAAGTGCTTCTAAAATGTCAGACTGTGCAAACTAATCCGCAAGAGACCAATGGAAAAAACAGAGAAAACTATTAGATTATCTGACTATGGCATTTAAGTTTGAAAATGCATCACTACTATCTGGAATTCCCTGGGCCTCCTACCTCCCCAGAATCTCCAATTTCCTTTGAAGTGGGCTGAAGGGAAAGGATATTTTCTGGAACCACACAATTCTGGTTGGTAATAGGCTTGATGTGTCTATTGGTGACCAGAGCAGAATTGCTAGTAACTATTAAAGAATTTAAAAGTTGATGTCTTTGCTAGTTTGACCTATCTGGTTCTTTTCAGATAACCATGACAATGCAACAAATTATCTGAACAGAACCAGAAAGAAACTTTCGCTCCCAATCAAAGTTATTTGATTTGAGGTATGCAACTGGCATCATCCCTCCATTTCCCTTCATTTTACCAGCCCACTGACATGAAAAAAAAGTAGACACAGCACAAGCCACACTCTCTGAATGCATGCCTTCCAAAACAGACATTTAGATTTGGTCTCTACCACTCTTTAGTCCTTTTCTTTGACATTTTATGAGGTAGACACAACTGGTTGGGATTTGGGATTCACCATATTTGAATTCCGGTAATTCGGGATTTCAAAGGATACTGGGGGCGAGATTCGGGATTGAAAGTACACATGTATACACGGGATGCAGGATACTGCAAAATTAATAACCATCAGGATTACGGGATTGAGGGAAAACTTGGGTTGGGATACCCTGCGAGCAGAGGCCCTTCCTCTTCTGTACTTATCTAGGAAGATCGGAGGGCCTCTGCTCGCAGGGTAGGGTTGGGATGACAGGAGTAAAGAACCCTATTAGGACCCTCATCTACCCTCATCTAAGAGAGGATGGCCTCGGGGGGGGGGGGGGGGGGGCTTCTTATTAGTAGGCTAATGGGTATGTGCGGCTAGATGGGGTTGCATTTTCAGGACTGGATTGACTATTATGGGGTTGCACATTTTCAGGATTTTGGGGTCAGAAAATTAAGGAATGTGAAAAAGAAATATTTACACCACATCAAGTTTAACAAATGTGCCAGTTCATTTTGCGAAAGGCTTTATAAGGTAGATGCATAAACAGAAAGTGACTAAGTTGGGATTGTGAAAATTACCTTTATCCCAAAGTGACTGAGATGGGGTCTATAATATGACCATAGAATAGACTACAATGGGGAGGGGCTCTTAGAGGCCAGTGGCACACAGCAAAAATTAACCCAATTAACCCCCCCGGAGATGGCCTGTACTGTCTAAATTCAAGATCTCACTTACATGAAGTTGATAATCAAATATCAGCAACAACTGTACAGAGTGTATTGCCTCAGAGTCTGCCAGAGGTACCTCGATATTAAAGTGAAGGCTGTCATACTTTCCATCCAGGTTCACATCCTTTTCCCAAGACTTGAAAGATAAAGATGTTGTCTTTATTTAGAACTAAATGATTGGGATTTGTGAATTTGCAAATATGGTGCACAATAATAATCCGTTTGAGTGTTATGCTTACCTTTATGAGGGGAATTCTAAGATTTTGCTGAAGAAGTTGGTTAAAATTTTGAAAGGTGCTGTAGGCCAGAAATGAACCAGGGGTATTCCCTTGAACTATCAGGAGAATTTCATGTTTGAATCTTACATCAGGCTGTTCTCTATAAGAACTTTCCTTAAGCCAAAAACCTGCGATTTAACATGGCAAAAAGTAAGTTAGTATATACCTAAAGCTAAGATCGGGGTCGCTGAGATCTAAAATCCAGCTGCAAGTTTAGTTTTTGCTTACCGTGAGTCACATACGCGATGATAAGAGGTGGTATAAATGTAAGAATGATGGCAAAAAATTGAAAGAGAGTCGCTCTGCTACAAATGTGAGTCTTGTACTTTTGCCTGACAGGATGAGAATGCACTTCGTACATCACCATGTTGAAAAATAGTCATTTCAAGTAATACAAACATTTGCAAACAAACATTCGCGCTCAAAAATCTTTCTTCCTCTTCGCTATAGTTGAGCCTGCAATCTCTCAAATACAGTTGCCAAGAGACGAAAAATTGCGGCCTAACCGGGATATGGCAAGTATCAGTATAGACATTTTTTTTTAACTAAAAGACTGTGCCTTGTATAAGGAAAAGAAAAGATAATTAAACTATTTTCTTATTTTATAGAATAGAAAAAAGTCTCAGTTTTCATCTCTTTCGCAAGATAACCGTTATTTGATCAAATATTCATATGCGCGACGTACCCCTCCCTCTCCAGTGATTGTTGTTAAGTCCAGTCTCCGTCGCGTTGGTTCCGGCCCCGTCAAGATGGTGGACACAATTTGGTTCAATTCTTCAATTATCGTCTTTAGCATGGTGATTTATTCTTTTTAAACGTCATGGAAAGTTGGCAGGAAAATGGAAAGTTTGCCAATAGTCTAGCGCAGTTGTGCTGTGAGCATTTCAAGAAATTAAGCAAAAAGGGGAAGCCTCAATCAAAAAACGAATGGACACTTCTGGCCGCCATTGTACAAGTGCAGCAACAAGGTAAACCCTGATTGGTGATTATATTCTACTTTCTTTGAAAATAAATAGCTCTGATGTTAGTTTGCCCCCTGAGCATTCTTACCGCCCTGGCGCTAGGCTCCGTAATAGGTGAAAAAGGCAAAACCGTGGTGAAACAGTTAGAAAAAAGGAAAAAAATGGTTGAGAGAACCGAACCCCCACTGCGGGAGCCTGGCCCAAGGCTATACTAGGTGGTAAGACCTAATTTTTCATGATCATGATTGTTATTATTATAATTAAAAAAAATATCATTACTATAATCAGATTTCAATGAATGCTCTATGGATGTGATTGCCATGGGGACTGGTTCCAAATGCATTGGGAGAAGCAAAATGAGTTATCAAGGTAAAAAGAATAATAATACACTTATCAGCAGTAATCCCAGAGAACTTTTGGGCGTTTGCATGACAACGTTTACAAATCCCACTTCCCCTGCCCCACTCCCACCTACCCCAGGATGGCCCCTGATTTAAGGGCAGAAACATGCAGTGTTTGATTGGCAATGAGTTTATGATGTGCAGAAGAAATATGAAAGTTATTTTAACTACTTCCCACCATGATTCTCCCTCTGAGAAGGGTGCTTGAGATTTTCTGATTGAGGGGTGTGTTATAAGGGGTTGGGTGGATAGTCAGGTCTCTTAGTGCAAAATATAGGCCGGATCGTTACAGACGTGACAAAAGTGTCAAATTTGGCACAGAGCTTCCTTAGCACCTGCCGATTAATACTGGAGGGGGTGCCCGTTACAAATGGTCCTAACTACAGATAAAAGGGGGGGGTTAACTTTCACCTATAATAGCAGATTGGGTTCCCTGTGGTGAGTACTCTTCTTGTTTGATTTGGCTAAAAAGCATTTGTTTCAAATTTTTAAGTTTTTAGCGGAGCTCTCGTGCGCGAAGCACCATGGGTAAGAAAATGTGGTGAACTACCCATCCAAGAAAATTTGGTAATCACGTGACTGTACACCGAGCGAGCGAGCGAGCGACCGTCCGTCCGCACCACAGGAATACCAATGTAAAATAACTCAATCAACAGGTATGGCAACCCCAATACGACTCAAGGTTTTATTTAGAAGAAAAAACAACAACAAAGTCGTGTCTTTTTCGGCGTTATTTTTTATGTTTACATTAACGTGGACAACAGAGAAAGAGCTAGAGCGAGTTATTGAAAACAAAGGAGACGAATTTCTTAGGAAGAAAAACATGGAAATTCAAAGCGGCGGTGAGAAAATGAGAAATGCTAGCGACCAGCAAGGTGAAAATGAGCGGCAATGAAAATTAAAAGCGAACATGAACACAGGAGACAAAATATTGGGTAAGCACATACGACAATTCCTCCATGAAAACAATGTGTAACTAGGAAGTTTGACGTTTTAGCCGTACAAAACAGCGTTGTAGTCGTGCAAAACAACAACAAGGGAAAGACAAAAAAGCGTGCTGCACGTGCAAATTTTTTTTTGCTAATTACATCTATTAGTCTTGAAGCCATATTCATTGTCGTCCGCGTTTAGCATGACACGATTTAATTTTTTTTGTTTACACATATTATTAACCAGAGCTTCGCTTTTAGCCCTGGCTAATTCTATATATTAATTAGGTAATGTTTAGTTGTTGTTATACTATTCAAAATAGTTTTACAGGTACATAATACTGACTAGTGCCCAGTCTCCACACGGTAAGTGTGGCCATGTTCACTCTGCGGCTATCAGTGTCACTGCTAAGACTTGCCAGTGATAATATCATTACATATCAATTTAAACAGATCACAAAGCCACCTTTCAAAGATGTCATACAATAACATAAAACCCAAATGTATCACATCCTAAACGACAGAATCGTTAAGTTTTGATATGCCACATGAATGACTTCATGAACCGTGACTGACAAAGCGCCCACTTTGTAATTGTGCAGCTAAGATCAGATTATAATTTGCTTCATTGGTAACCCTGTCCTTGGGATCGAGATAATGATTAAAACATGTCAACCTCGTCCTCAGGGGGAAAAGGAGGAGCAGGGGTGGCACAGTTGGTCAGTGTGCAACCTTCGGTGCGCGAGGTCCCGAGTTCGATCCCCGGTGTCAACACATCCTTATTTCAACTTCTCTCCTTTCTGTGTAGCTTTGACTAGCTTTAAATACCCTTAAAACAGAGCATTAATGGAGAGAGGGGGTAAAAGGAGCACACCGTCCACCTCAAGTTTATCAGTTATTATTACTTTCACGAGTTACTGCCCTAAAACATGGTTGCTTTCCCTTTTTCTACCTTTTTATTAAGCTCTGGGGACGAGGTTGTAAAACATGCCTCTCCAGGAATCTTTAACACTCTTTATTTTCCACACATTTGCATTTAAAAAGGAGCGTATGAGGTCCCTGCATGCCTAAACACCTGTAAGGAGCTCATTCACTTCAGAGACCTTGCACCAGAGTGTTAATGATAGGTCTATACGATATTTCAAAAAAAAAGGATGGTCGTCGCGTGCGTTACAATTTACAAACAAACTAACTTCAGAAGAGCTGAAAGTTGCAGGAACAAGGCCTCTTTTAGCCAACCAACGATACATCATTTATGAAAATGAATGTAATTTGTTTGATGCAATTAGGCGAATAACCGGTGGTTACGAAATCTTACAATCATGAATTCCTCAAGAGCAATTCAGTTACCAACGTTTCACTTAATAATGCTGTGGAAAATTACAGAAAATACCAAAACAGCAAGGGTCAACCATAATTATAGCCTGGCCCCTTGTAATAATGGAGTGGTTATGATAAAGAAGCCCATCAACTCCAACTTTGACAACTCAAACAAATTAATGACAGATTGCATACCGCAAAACTTTGCATTCACTTATGCCTATGTTGCCACACCAGGAGCCTAGAAATGGGCTCCTGGTAACACCTTGTTTTTATTGCTGAATATCATTCTAAATAGCTTTACGAAATATTTTGTTAATAGGGGTCCTTTGAACATGATTGAAATTCAGAGATGGTGACAAAAACGAACACAAACAAAGTCAAAAAACGAGACGCATGAAACAATCGCGATCTAATATTCGTGTTACACCGATATAATTGTTCCTTTGGCTACTATGCTGACATTTTTGAGGATATAAGTAGTATCGCAGCTAGTCCCGGGTTAGGTATACCGTTTATTACCAGTTTCACGGTTCCTGAAACTTGGGGCCTGTTAACATAAAGGTGGGGGACCCCAGGTAGGTGAGGTAACCTGCTTAGGTGGGGTAAAAAAAAATACGTAACCCTCCTTTACATGCAATCTTACAACCCCGCCATCCTGGGGTGCACTTTCTCGAGATTATTGAATGGTAGCTAAGCACGTAAACAAGAAAAATGCTGGCAAACCACATCTACGCTCACTCGCTGCTCTTGCTGCAACCTTCAGTGTTGTGGCTTTCTATTGTTACCTTTAATAATATTATGTGCAGCCACCCAGCGCCAAAGTGAATTTCGCGTGAGTTTGATGTATTACGAATCCGACCCCGACTAGCCTGGTTACCTCACCTTGAAACGTTGACATGGCAAAATTTGACCTCAGCTGAGAGGGTTACCTGGTGTGGCAGACTGGGCTACCCACCTTGAAGGGTCACCCCACCTATCATGTAAACGTGATCAAATTAAAATTAGAGATTATATGGACAGGCGGGTTACCCCACCTAAGTGCATGGGTTACCATTCCTACCTGGGGTCCCCTTCCTCCATGTAAACAGGCCCTAAAAGTTAGCCCGGCCCCCTTTCTACAGTTTCAGAACGGTTTGAGTCAATCTTGTGCCACTTGAGCCTCACAATTTACGACTTGATAAGCTGTTATTATTTTTGGACATGAGCTGAGTGCTTCAGTGCCAAATGTAGAGGCTTCATGATAAACTGTGTTGTTTTTTGAAGCTTGGGCTAACTTGTTTCTTTTTTTCATTTAAGAGACCAGATTTTTTTTTGTTTGTTTTTGCTTTGTAAAGCTTAGACAAACTGTGGGAATTGTAAATGATATGACTTGTGCCACGGTGCTTGCTTCTCTGTCAAAACATGCATGCGCGTCCAGCAGATAAAGAGAGACTGAAAGGCATCCAGGCCTATGTTAAGCTGAAAAATTAATAACCTCCTTAGGAAAGAACTATTTTGGGCTCTGTCATTTCGTTATTTGCTCTTCATCAATAGCTGTCATAAATCCCTGATAATATGTGATACAACAGACTGTTTGACAAATTCTGTTTTCTGAAATTTTGTGTGTGAATCGCTATACCGTACGCTTTCTTTAGCATAAAGTGACATGTAATGACAAGTAATACTTGATAAATAAGGCTTAAGCCACACAATAAGGCCTCCTGTAATTGAAATACATTAGGAAAGGAGAAGAGAACCCCAAAAGCTGAGTACTTGCAAGTTGTGAAGCAAAGAGGAGGCCATCTTAGAAATGACTTATGAAAATGTGGGCGGACTGTGGACTTGCTTTAAGGGCACAGTAATAATCAACTTAATTATACAATCAATAATTTAAAAAAAGCTAATAATGGATGGGAATGCCAGATGTTCGAGTGAAATTGTTGTTTACAACATGAGAAGAGCATTCTAAGGGATTTAAGGTATTACATAACAATTTTCAATCAAAGCACCACAGGGGCCCCAGCAGGTGAAATTTACAATAATTAAATCCTGTTTAGCACGCTTCAGCGACATATTTGCATTGGGCACCCCCTCTAATATTCATGGTACTGCAATAAGCTATCGCTGTGCAAAGTTTGGTGCTCTTGTCAACTCTGTAACGATCCTGACCTTAAGAGACCTGACTAGGAGGGGAGGGGGGGGGGAGTGGGGTTTGAGATTGGTCAGTAAACATTTAGGAGAGAAAAACTAGCTTATTTCTAAGGGGAAAATGTGTGCCTTGCACTTGCATGAGAAGCAAAGGAAAGGAACTTGACAATCCAAAGTCATTTATTGCTTTTTGTTTTCTTTTATTAACTGCTGCATTATTAATTTCTATTTCCTACTAGGAACGATTTTAAATGATAGCCATGCAGAGGTGATTGCTAGGAGAGGTTTTCTTAGGTAAATAATTATTTAAATCATATTGTTAAAGTACTAAACATTGCTCTTGAAAGTCATATAAATTTCAAGACAACTGTCCCACAATCCACTCTAGAGAGCCCACACCATTTGAGGGGGTGAAGGATTGGCTGTGGACAATTTCCAACAAGTTACTTTATTTTTTGAATGCAAGCTGGCCATCGAAATGAAACCTCTGTTTACAGTAATGCAGGACTAAAGATTGAATTATGTTTAAAGCTTGATAAATTTTTTAATAGAATGTTGCAAATTTGCCACTTTACAAAAACAAGGAAACAAAAAATCACCATCTTATTTCTGTCATTTACCACATTGTTTAACTTTGGTTTTAGGAGCTATCCAAATGTTGACTGTACAGTACTTTTTAACTGGGCATTTTACAGTCTCTTCTCTCAAGTTTTGTCAGCTGTTTAATAGACTTGAAAGGTATACAGAATGGCTTATAACCCCATACTTGTGCTCTCGTCCCAAAGGTATCTTTATCAGCAGTTGCAATATGCATACAATTTACAGAAGAGTATTTTTGAATATCAAGAAGACAGCAACCTGTGCAAGTTAAAAGATGGAGTGTCATTTCACCTCTTTACTTCTCATACACCTTGTGAGTTTTACTATTAACATTCTGTTTTAAGTTGAGGAGGGGATTCAGCATGAACAAAACAAAGTTGAATTCCTCAATGAACAATTTCCTGTCCAAAAGCTTTCCTCAGTCCGCAAAAAGAAAACTGGACATTCTTTAGAACTTTCCATTTCCATTTTGTGTCTTTTAATGGTGTATTTTTAGCATTGAAATGTGAAACTTTGATCTTGAAAACCACCGCATGGTGTGAAAGATAGCGTGACAGCTTTAGCTCCATGTTTTATACTCTCATAAAGCACAATTTTTCAACCAATCAGAGTGTGTGTTACATCTCAACTTTGGTATAATATTTTCTATCCTGAATAGCTGGCGGTATTGTGTAGTAGTTGAGTGAGATTTAGCAGTGAAGCCGTCACGAGCGGCGTATTAAAAGCTCCACTCCCATTTTTAGATCACGGCTCTGCCACCAAAACTTTAATCCCGCGCAGTGACAATACTGCCAGCTATGGGGGCTAAATGTTTTCTTAATATTATTTTCTTTAAATCTTGAGAACCGGTATAAGTGCCTGTTGAATGTAAGTACATGTACGTTTGTTTTTAGGTGGTGATGCATCTATATTTCCCAAAGGAGATGATGATGACACTTTGATAGTTAATCCACCAAAGAATCAAAAACTTGGAAATTCAAAGAAACATTGTCATGATGGTCATGAAACTATTGAACATCCAGCTATAAAGAAAATTTGTTTGCAAGAGGATGCAATTTATGACAGTTTATTGCAGGAGCCATTAGAAAGGACAGACAAGTTATGTATTGGGGCAACAACGGATGTGCAGAATGTTTCAAAAGAAGCTAATTTACTGACCAAGTTCTCAGATCATGCAAGACAATCAGACTGCATTCATGTAGAAAGTACCAACAAAAATGTCAATAGAAGTCAGCACAGAGAAAATGGAATAAAACTACTAGATACTACTGAGTCAAAGAATATTGGAAGGTTTCTTCAAAATAATGAAAATAAGTGTGAAAACGATAGATTGTGCAATGATTTGTACAGAACTGGTGCAAAATGTGCACCAGGCGGAAAACAGGATCCCCTAAAACCTGGCCTTGGATACCACACTATTGGTGTTTTGCGTACTAAACCAGGTCGTGGTGATCCAACATTATCAATGTCATGCAGTGACAAAATAATGAAGTGGAACATTCTTGGTTGCCAAGGGGCTCTCTTGTCACATTTTATGATGTGTCCAATATACCTCTCATCAGTTGTGCTTGGCAGGTGCCCATGTGATGTGTTGGCTTTAAGGCGTGGCATCTACGAACGTGCCCTAACCATGGCATTGGATTTGCCAGCAAATTTCATTGTCAGCCAGCCCAACATTTGGCTTACTGATGTGTTATTTGAGCACAGCAAAGGAAAAGCATTGGAGACAAGCTTTGTGGAAGATAATAGTGAGCCTTTTACACAATCACCTTCAGCAACATGTATGTATGTCTGAAATGCAAAGAAATGAAAGTGTTCACATGTGTAGATTATACTTAGTCACTGGGTAAGTGTATGCAAGCTGTGACAAGCCTGAAAGAAAAAAGCCACGAAAATGAAATAAGTGAATTGACCAAAAGCTTAACCTTTAACCTCCTTTCAGGGGACACTTTAACACTCAAAAAGTGACTGGCCACAAACATTATTGAGAAGTCATAATTTAAGTGTACACTAGTCACAATGGCAACAGCTTTCAAAACATGAATCGACATACTGCACTTGTGGGAATTGAACACACAACGTCAAAGAGATTAATCATGAGTTTTTATACGTTATCCACCCCCTTGAAATAATGCCTTCAGGAGCAGATTCCGAGGAAGAATAAAAGAAAAATACTTTATTTGTTGGTTAATTATTAACAAACTCCAGCCCAACCATCATTCAAGGGTCACTTGCCTTGGTACCAGGGGTGTCCCTTGAATGGAGGGCCATCAAAATCCTGCAACCACTGTTTAATTTAATTTTTCTTATATCAGGCTTATTAGTTATGGAAAGTTTACAATTAATGTTGCATTTAAGAAAAAAAGTACCTCTCTCAAAAAGAAAAGTGATAGTATTACTTCACTTAGATATAAATAGTTTTCAAATATCCCTCATTAGAGCAATTTTTTCATTTATAGCTGTTATTTGGATCAAAGATCCTTTATTGCATGAAGTTTCTGTTGCCGGCCTGAGACAGGGAGTTACCAAGAAGAACCTTTCTTCATCAAAAGCTAGGTACATGGTATTTCCTTTCTATTATATTGTTGTTATTATTATTTACTGCAACCAAAAAAATATTGGTAAGCAATTCTGAATTTGCTGAAATCCCTGAAAGCATCAAGCATTTTCCTGCCATTCCTCCAGAGGTTTATGTGGGATCATGCTGTGAGAAATTTTAGTTCTCAGGACCTTTTCAGGTATTGAAGATGACTTGATGTAAACCTTCCATCCTAGCAAGGATTTCAGATTAGTGGTACAATTGCAAAGATCATGTTGTTTGGAGACAATATCACCAAAATGGAGTAAAGGACCCAGGGTGGGGGTGGCCTATAAAGGGAGGCTCCCCCCAAAAGGGGTATAGGGATTTCACTAGTTCAAGTATAAAGGGATAGCAAAATCTGTAAAAAGACCTAAAAGGGCTAATAAAAGAATTTATGGCTATTCAAAAGTTGAGAAAATTTCCCGCTATTGTGATTTTTTCATATTTTAAAGACAATGCATTTACAGCAGTGAAAAGGATGCAATGTATTAAATTAGGTATGTGAAAGGGGTGCAATTTGTTGTTGGAAGGCATATAAAAAGGGCACGTTTTTGCCAAAAATGGTATGTAAATAAAAAGGGTATGGGGTTGGACCTCAGGTTGGAGCCTTCCCAAGTTGGGCTTGAATTCTCATTTCCTTTAATAATAAATTATTTTGAAATCCAACTCATAAGTGTGCCAGTGAAAGGAGTTACATTTTGTTTAAATGTTTTTTCAGGGTATGCATTAGCAAGGCAAGTTTATTTGAGACATTTAAAGTACTTGTCAGCCACATTCCATGTGAAAAGCTTCCGCCTACATTAAGGTACCTACTAGTCAGAAAACATTCTAGCACTTATATGTTGATTCCCGGTGTTTATCCAAATGTGAAAAAAAAAACTTAATGGATATTACACGAAGGAAAAGCTTTCAGGTGGTAAAGATCACTTTTACTCATACGTTTGCCATATAGTCCTGGGTCAAAGCCCACCCTTGCATTTGATCTCAAATAATTGCAACTATGCCCTTTTCCTGAAGAGTCCCCATATAACTTTTTGGCCATAGCCATATATCAAAATTTAAATCCAAAGAATAGTTGTATTAACACCTGAATCTGGAGTGCAAATTCACAGCAAGATTAATACAAAACAGCTTTCTTGGCCTAGTAATTGTGGAAACTTGAGAAATGGGTCCCTGATCATGTAATCACTCAGAATCTCATTCACCATTCGCACACTTGAACGCAAATGTCATGTAGAGCCTCTAAAACATTCTTAGACTGCAACTGTGCAACTGCTGTGTGAGAAGTGGCTTATTCAATTTAGCAAGGCAGGGCACTATACTGCCCCCTAGTAAAGGACTAGAAACAAAGTTGAAATGCACAAGCACATGAAGTCGGAGGTCCAGGGTGCAAGGAAAGTCAGTTTTACAGCTTGCCTGTGCAGCTGGCATGTACTAGGCGCCAAAGGGCCATTTTAACTGTACTGAACAAATTTTTTGATGAGCAGGATCAACTACAGTTCTTCTGCAACTTAATGTGCCTTTAGGGCAAGTTAAGAACAGAATTCACCAGCTCAACAGCAAAATCTGCTAGCCCTGGGCAATCAGACGTGACTTTCTTTGCATGCTGAGGTCATGCTGCCTTAAATCCCAACTTCCAGTCTGTGAATCTGGCAAATAAACCATCCTGGAACAGTCATACCCAGTCACTATTAATTATTCACATAAATAGCCACTGGGTAGGAGTCTGAGTCCACATGAAGTGTTACAGCCATGATAAGTGGTCTTTTTTTAACTTTGTTGAAGTCTTTGAACAATGTTTTGCATGAACTGTGGGCAACAGAGAAAACAAAACAAAGATAACAAAAAACAGGCAATAAGACTTTGATACTTTATGACAGGACTATAGAGACACAGTTGAGTAGAGGGTAAGTAATAAACCTTTAATTGGTGTACATGTATCTAAATTCCTTATGTATTTCGCTGTGTGATGTGTTTCCAGGAAAAACCTTGTAACAAGTTACAAAGACACTAAGACAGGTGCAGTTGGCTACAACAATGCCAGACAGAAGTTCAATGCAGCCTTTCCTACATGGTGTCTAAAGCCTGAAGAACTCCTAACATTTGCTTGATAGAAAAGACTGAGTAGAGATTTTTAAATATCTGACTTAGAACAGTAAATTACATCAAAAAAGAGCAAACACCATGTAACAGCATTTTCTTCATTTTAAGTCCTTACTTCATGGCAGATGAATATCCCTTTGTAAAGTTCAGAAATGAAGACATACAGTAGTCAGAAAAGTACATTTAGTTTCAAACTGTTAAATGTTTGAATGACCTGTTTTCCAACTTGAGACTAAAAAAACAAATGATACAAAATATGCAAGGATTGACTAGACTCATTTTCTACTCCAGCCTGGGTGTGTATAATTATGTATTTACACAAATCTGCAGTTTGTTCCAATACTATGGCTTTAAAATCCAAGCTTAGCACAGATATCATACTTTGAAATAATACCATGCAGACTTCATCCTTTTGTTATAATTTAACATACAGATTGGAGTTAGAAGGTGTCAGCCTTCTAACTCTAACCAATACTGTATGAGACCAAAGATAACAATGACCTAATTAACTATCATAGCTCACGATTGTGCAACTTTTTTTTCTTAAAACCGCATAACACTTTACTAGGCCAACCTTATCTCCCCCCACAAAAAAATAAATTCAGGCAAAAAAACACAGTTGAGTAAAAGACATGTTAATTTTGAAAATCTTTCATCACATTCCAAAGGTGTTCTCTCCGCTGTAGGCAATGTACAAGAAGCCATCTTCATCTTTATGTTCCTCATAGATAGCACCCATCGTTGAGCTAAGAAATAAACAAAGCAGAATTAGGCCAAATATCAGTAGTGTATCATTTCTGAGGAAAATCCCAGTACATGATTACAAAGGTTAAGAATATGGTAAGAAAGCCTAAATACTGTAGAGTTCACATACTAGACCCCGTTCCCTGAAAGTAACCAATTTTTTAGTCACCCACACACCCCCTCTCTCTTCCCATCCAAAAGTAACATCAATTTTTGGACCTTTCTTTTCTTCTGCCCTAACTAACACAATGTGTACCACCAAATGCAGTGCCATAACATTGAACAAGCTTTACATTTATTATTACACTGTATTTCTTAATATAAACAAAGAGAATGGAAGTGGCTCGCTCTAACAAGCATTGTTTCAATTCATGAGAGCTCTATCTACAACCCTGGTCAAGACTGAGTCTTGGGACACTAATGTAATTGTTCATCAAAATGATACATTAATTTTTCCCTTTGTCCTCCTCCCCCTAGATCCAATCAACACTGCCTGGGGGAGAGGGGACAGTAGATACAGGCTCTTAAAACATTAGTAGAATATGATTTAATTTAGCAAAGAGCATCTCTGTGCCTAATTTCCTCAAGTGTCCCAAGATGTTTTGACCAGGGCTGTACAATGATTTGGAACAGGAAAATTTCCTAAAAGCCTCCCTTTCAGCAATTTGAACAGGAACTTTAATAATTTCAATTTTTCCCACTTATAAGTGTTTTCCAAAGGACCAATTTCAATGTATTAAAACTAAATGCTTGGGGGGAATAAAAAAAAAAGAAATCAGCTTTCAGGTTAAGGGATTCAAGAACAATACATTTGTAAATTTTAATAATACAGTGAAACTCCGTCAATGTGACCATTATTGGGCCATAAAATCCTGGTCGTAATAATGAGGTCATCACATTACTAACAGGGTCTTCAAGTAATAAAATAATTCAGTGATTTTCACATTTGGGTTGAAAGAATATGAATATAATAACGAGGTGGTTGTATGGTGGGGTTCCACTGTAAACTGAAATAATATTGGTCTATTACTCATGCATTGTAACCTTGAAAGTTGCAGCCACTTTGGACTGGTTATTCCAAAAGTAATCATGGCCATTACTTTCAGAACTCTCATGACTTCTCATGAACTCTTGTGTGTTTTAATGATGTTAATCTAGATATACATGGTTGATCTCAAAATTTCCCCACTATTATCGATGACTCAGTGCAAAAAGTTGCAAATTGTGATCTCCATGTGGCCTTTTATCGAAAGTTTTATATACATGGAGAATAGCAATTAACAGGGTGTCTGTAAGCAAGGACATTAATAATATTAAAAATTAATAATTAATTAATTAACTCTCAGATTCATGGAGTCAGTGTAAAATTTCAGTTTAGTCACAAGTGGCCACTGAAACAGAGTCTTCTGCAGTGCAGTACCATTTAATTTTTTGTCATTCATTTTACTTTTTTCATAAAAGTCACTATTCTCATTATAATTAAATTATAATGAGTATATTGACTTTCATGAACGAAGTGAGTGAACGGTTAGAATGCAATAGCAGTGTAACTGTTGGGTAATAAGTCAAAGGTGAGATTAAGCAACACATTTTGGAAGTAATTTTACAATACCAAGTCAGTGATAAAGGGTCCCTAAATAGTATGAGGAATTGGCAAGATAAAACCACAGATCCACTTGTTCACGATAAGACGCACACAATTCAGTGTTAACTAGCCTTATTTATCATGAAAATTCTCCCTCATTTAAAGGCAAAATCAATAATGTCATCAGCATATTACAACTTTTCCTTTACGTGATGCAAGAAAAAAAAACCTAACATAAAGAAACACAAATTCATTTTCAATGAACCTCACAAGGGGTTAACAATAAGTCTTAAGTCACGAATAAATGTGTTGTCAATTTCAATATCGGCTTGAACCAGAGCTTTAAAAACCCAATTAAATATAGGTCACCAGTTAATTTTGTGTATATTTGGCTCGAAACAAACCACTCCCTTTATTTTTACTTTTACTCTGTTCGAGGAGACCACAAAGTCAATGTCCATTGTAAAATCTTCTTAAAAAAAGTCACCACGAAATTCGGGCCGGCAAGACATGTTACGACGAAACGACATTTTGACATTCATGGGCATAAATGTCTGTAACAAACTTCAATAGCTAGAATATTATAAGCTTATTTTTAAATATCTTTATGGCAAGCCCCTGTCGCTTTCATTCCAAATTAACGATATTTAGCATTCATTTTGACAAATATTTTTCGTAGCTTTACCAGTTATACCCGAGTCACGTAGTACCCCGCCAGCATTTGGAAATTGCAAAACTGAAAGGAAACTTGGGCATAAAATTTAAAGCCAATTTCTCTTTCCAGACAGTTTCAATACTCAACAGACGCATGACTTGCGTCATTGTTCTATAAACTTTTAAACTTGTGCAAAATTTGAGCAAAAAGGTTAAATGAAACTAGACAACGAGCGAGAGATCCGACAGATCCGCCACTCCAATATCCAACGTCGACAAGCGAGCGGACACTGTAAACAAACTTCTCACAGGATAACCCGTTCGTTGCGAAATGAAAGAGCCCACCACACAAGACATTAAGTTTCAACACAAACGTGTTGCAAATATAGACTAATGTGGTAAGCTAAAAACATTTCCTAAAAGAAAGTAAAAAGGCCTTGAAACAAACCTTGTTGTGGGAAGAACCTTGTTGACAAAAAGAAACATCGCTTTTTCGGGAGGAAGTTGAATTCTCTTTCGGATGATGTACATGAACTGTGCAACTGTGAATTGAAGGTAAAAGAGAGACAAACGTTTAATCATAAAATATCTACCACTTATACTAGAACGTACTCTAACTATGTGAAGACTCATAGAATTTCATGTTACCTAATCAGCTAAACAGCTAAAAATTCAGGAAGTACAGCACACAACAGCAAATTTTAGTTACGGGCATAATAACGACTTTATTTCCTGCTTTTCATACCTGTCAGATCGGAAGGGACGAGGAATTTTCTCTTGTCTATATCTTGGATCGAGGACTTGGGCGCTTTTTCCACAACAACCTACAAAAAGAAAATAAGTAATATAGCTTTGTGCGAACATAAAAATCGACCAAAATTTACAGTACTTACGGGAATTCTGTCTGGATACTTCGACCTTATTTTTGCAGATTCATGGCATCGGGACTCTGCAAAAGCAAAAACATTCGGTTTAACGAGTGGACAAAAAACCGCAGAAAACGTTGGGATTATTGACGTTAGTACCTTGGGAATGTTCTTCCTTAAAAGTCCACTTCATTTTGGGCTAAAATTTTAGCTAAAATCAACGCAAAATCGCTCAGTTTTAGCGTCAACACTCTCCTGCCGTTCTATTTCTGCTGCGCAAATAAAATGGTTCCAATGTTTGAACACGTGACTATTGTGTTTTGCCTAAGTGACGTCATCAAATTGAGTAATCTTCCATATTTGGCCCAATAGTTCGGTCAGCGGCTTCACCAATGTTATTACAGCATTATGTTAGCTAAAAATAGAATGTACTTGAAAGCACAAAGTTCAGGTCATCACCGTCTCACAAGGAGCCCACCCACCTGTGGGGTCTGAGATACAAGAAAAGAAGGAAGGAAAATAAAGTGTGGTGTTTTTTTTTTTCATCATGTAAATTCGACGCAAACTTTACTTTTCTTTCTTTCTTTCTTTTTTTTTGCTAAGAATGCATTGGTTTAGGAAAACGCAAAGACATGTGGTAAGTGCGGGCAGTATCCGTAGGAGTCAGCTCGCTTTTTCCTGATCCAGTGCATACCTGTCACGTCCATGTCATGCTTCACGGTGTTTTATTAACATCAGCAAGAATCGCAAACGACCCGTTTTTTTTTACTTGTCACAGAAGCTTGCGAAGTAGTTCGTGAAAATTACAAGCCAAACTGGATGCTATATATGTATTGACAAAGGAGGAGTATACCGTGTGGCTTACAGTACAATCCGTTTTCTTTTCTTTTCTTTTTCTTTCTCTTCATGACAGCTTCGGAGAACGGGATGGGAGGGGGCACTTATGAATAGACGTACGCCGCGAAGGTGTTGGCCTGCGCCTACCCTCCCACACGTCACGTTGTTCGCCACTCCTTCCTTCCCCACGTTGGTGGAGGAAGAAGCGCTTAGGACCCAGATGAGAAGGAGGAGCCCTGGGGCCCGAGAATTTGTTACCGGTAAAAAAAGAAGGTGAAAGCCAATAAACTAGACTAGGGCTAAATAACATACATGTAAAATTCGCTGTTAATTTTCCACGTGCACTGTGTGATCTTTGTTATTCTGTCTTCGATCGAGGGGTGTGCACGAGCTGCATTTCATTCCAATTCATTTTTCCCAGAACTTTAATTAGCCACCACAGGCAGAGGTTAACTTTTATACAGTGTTCAGTGACAGGAATCCTCTTGCCAATGATTCGGAACGCAAATGTGATAACGAAATTGAACCTCGTCCCAGGACTTAACCCCTGGGGACGAGGTTGAACGAAATTACCATGTTGAAATCAAGAGAATATATAAAAAGCTTCAGATAGTTATCCCCTATCCCCATCTCTTGGTGCATTTATTGAAACTTGTGTCTTTTTAATCGGATGTTTACACAAGTGACAGTGCTCATCTTTTCTCACCGGTACAGCGCTGTTCGACTTCCAATACTACTACTACAAACGCTTCAAAAACAAATTCGAGAAATCTCCTAAGAGAAAGCGAGAAAAAAATAAAAATAACCTAGCACATCATTGTTGATGTGAAAGGCAAGAACGCACCTTTTCCGGAAACTTGTCGATATGAGAACCGTATTTTGACTAACCTAACAACATTCTGAAAAGAAAATGGTAATGCGCAGGCGCAAGAGAAAGTTTTTTCTTTGTGGACTGATTTATTAAGATTTTTCCCTTTTACCCCAGTTAGCAAATGTATAAACGACTGAAACTGGCATGGGAACAGGGAAGTCAGCTTTTGACAAGATGTTAAGTCACTGTTTGATAATAAAGTAGGAAAAGATGTATGCGTCTCATGTCCCACAATTAATGCAAGCCCATGCTCCATTTATTCAACTTCGTATCACCATATTTCTTTAGCTTTGCGCAGTGGCATTACCGTAGCCAGTGAGGTTCATCCGAGGCGCGGTTATTGCTGATTGAAAACTTTTCCCAATACCCCGCAAGACGGCTTGAAATACAGCCGGCTTTGCAATTTTTGACGGTCCATACGTGGACCCTACACACAATCAAAAAGAATTTTCCACAACAATACAACCACAAACGTCTGAATAACGTTTGACCCTTTGGGACCTGGTGCTTAGGCGAATACAAGGTTTAGCGGTCAGCGGTAACCGGATGCATCATATAAAACAGTCTCGGAAAAATGGCGGACGAAGAGGAAGAATCGCCCAGAGAACGCCTTCTTCAAAGGCAGAAAAAAGAGGCTAAAGAACTTCAGGGTATTCTTTCTACTTAAGCTACTCTTTAGGTTCTAAGTCTAGTTAATAGTCGGATTCTGATGCACTGTTTCGATAAAAACTGATAAATAACAAAGCTCATGATCATGCTGTTTTGTTTCTAGCTCAAATACAGTCGATGAAACATTCTGTTCCCAAAGGCGACAAAAGAAAGAAGAAAGAAATAACTCTTGAGATTACCAAGCTCGAAGAACAATTAAATACCAGGCACAAGGAAGAGCTTGAATTATTGGAACGTGAATCAAATTTGGTAACTTGAAAGACAAATCAGTCTTTTAATAACCCTTTTATTCCCGTGAACTTTATCATGGAAACTAACTCCAAAAGAATATGTAACCCTGTGCTCGTGTTCGTTTATAATTAAATTTGAACATCTATCTGTAGGGAAAAAAAATAATGCAGGTTGATTTCTCTTGTGGCAAGCTTTGTAAAGATCATGCTAACAGACCCTCCAACTGCTAAACCATGCAAATCTGGAGTGTTTGAAAGAAAGCCCCCAAAACCCTGGAGATTGGGACCTCAAACCCTGAAATTTATTTTGCCATGGTATTCTTTACCCTACACGTGGTCTCTGTTGTATTCTCTTGTTGCTATTTGGGCAGCGATGAGAAGATTCTGTTTTACCATCTAGGTTGATGGGACGGCGAGTAGCCAAGTGAGTTTGCTATAAGGCTCTCCTACAGGCATTAGTGAACCTATCTTTTATGCATATGAGGTTGGAATTGGACTCAAGTCTCCCCTAAAATAATATTGTTACAATTTGTGCGGTTCTTAGTGGAATGGTCTAACGATTTTAAGTGAGATTTGGAGGTTAAATTGTGAGACCATAAGTTGACTTCCCAAACTGTAAGTCTCATGGTCAAACCATGAGCGTTGGAAGGGTTGGGCTAAGAAAGATTTTTGTAGAATTTAAACATTGTTTTCTTTACTTTGGAAGGATGAAGTTGTCTTTGGGTATAAACATAGGATGATATCTAGTCAATCAGATACTAGTGTTTTCAATAGCTTGGCTATTCAGTTTGAATTTGTGTACCAGGAGATTTCACAACTATCACAGCCAGCAACCCTAATATAAACTCACAAAACGACTCCTTTAAGTACACTCAATAAACGTTTCACTGAAACATATTTTTTGTCATTACATCACATTTGAAACTGATTATTAGTTTACTTCAGTGGAGCAATCATAACTACCGCAATATTCATTTTCTTCTAGAACAGATCAATGCTCTGACTTAAGAGAACAGCCACATAAACAGAGAGTGGTCTGCCTTTGATCTAACTTTTAGTCTGTTGATGAAATCCTATTACAATATCCGTGTCCAAGTTATTGATTATTGGATGTTTATAAGTAATAAAATGAAAGCACAGATAACAAGGCTGCATCATTTTCTCTGCTTAAATCTCTTCTTTAGTTAATTAATTGTGTGGTTTAATTTTGTAGAATGAAGATACTCTTGGGTTGGTCACCGAGGAAATGGAGGCTGTGTCTGTTACAAATGAACCTGAACCACAGTCAAAAGTTTCAAAGGCTCAGAAAAGAAGGGTAGGTTATAATATAAAGATATACACAGTTGTTATAAAAAAAATGATTAAAAAAATGATGATGATAATAGTAATAAAAGTGGAAGCTGACGTAAGAGGACACCCTCAGGACACAAAAAAGGTGTCCGTAATAACTGGAGCTGGCCACTTTTGGGAATGTAAAAATACAGAGTTTGTAAGGCAGTTGAAAAAAACGGTGAAGGTGGCCATAAGTAGAGCTGTCTGCTTACGAGAGTGTTCTTGGAAGGCTAACTTCATATTGAACATTATTTTGTAGGAGTGCATACTATTATTTTATTATTATTATTATTTTTCTATTGTTGTGCTACAAGGACAAAAAGGCTGCTAAAGAAAAGGAAAGAGAACAAAGAATTGCTGAGGCTGAACTAGAAAATGTACATAGTGCAAGAAATATAGAAGCTGAAAAACTAAAAGAAATCTTGACTGCCAAAGGCTTATCAATCAAAGAGGTAATCTTGATAATTTTGATCCCATTTTTTCAGTTGTCAATGTTTTCAATAATATTATGACCATGTTGTATTACTCATTCACAGAATGAATTTGTTTTCAGATCACCCCAGATGGAAACTGGTATGTAACTCCAACTGATGTAATTTTTTGCCTTATATAAGCCATTAGGATGGGCTTTGTGTTGTGGGTGTAAAGGCAGCATGCAATAAAGCTGTGTCCAATAGGCTAGAGCTAGTGGATTTTGCAATTAGGCTGGATACTCAGACTGTGTGGCTGGCAGGATTAGTGGGGGAGTGCTTTTGTCTTCTGGCAGCAGAGCTGTGAGATGTTTGGGAGCAAGTCAAATTTTTTCCCCTGACGTTTTGTCACTTGCAAAAATTCCTCGGATCTCTGCCACCAAAAAAGTACCCTGCACATAAGCTACAGTGACTTCTGTTCTTCACTTGCCTAACAGGCAAGTGAAATATTCTGGGGAATTCAAATTACAGCACAAAATTAGAAGAAGAGAAGGGCTAAATTCCCTCCATTAAAGAATAAATTATTAATAATTTTATTGTCTGGGTGTTAATTTCTTACCTGAAATGCTTTTGAAGATCAGACAGAGGTCTTCTTATTTTGGATGGTCACACGCAAGGTAACACAATGTAGCAGTTTTTGCAGAGGGTTTAATTTGTAGGTTTGCAGTTGTGACATAAGGTCCTGTGACCGCATCCCCATTTAACCCTGATCTTAACACCATAAGACGTCACGGTATGCACACCTGCATCTGCATTTAATTTTTTGGTACTCAGCGAAGATTTTGCCCGTAGACTTTAAGACTATATCACAGGTTATACACTAAGTTGGAAAAATATGAAGTAGGTGAGTCGGGGTTTTAGGTGAAGTTCTTGTCCATAAACCCTTTGGCAGTTGTTTCACTTTGTATCTCGTAGCCTGCGAATACAGCTGCCTCTCCTCGCTTCCTGTCGGTGGGAACGTTTCGTTTCTCTCTCGGGAAGTGTCCCACCAACCACGCGTCATGGGAGGCGGTCGTTTTCGTAAGCTATACATTTCTTAGTGTAAAGACGAAGTTTATTGTCAACCAACACGTAAGTAATGTGGATTGCTCACAGTGATAAAGGGACGAGATTTCTTTTTCTTTTCACAAATTAACTTAAACAAGCGTTGAAAACGGCAAGTTTGGTATTAACTGATAAAAATTGTGTAAGTGGTAAGCTTGTTTTGACCGATGCCGTCTCTGACGAAAACTTCTATTCATTCATTTCTGTAAATCCAAGCTGTGGTTGAACGTTTTTAGTAAAGACGGATGTTTCTTTAACAAAAAGTTTTTGAGGCAAACGGTTTTGATTTTGTTTCTTGTGTTACGTTTGATAATCGGAAGAACGCCAATTGGTGAGAAGGACTGAATGATTTTTTAGCATAAGATAAATGGTCGAATATCATCATGAACTTCCTTCTGTAGTAACATTTTCATCTCTAATTCTTTGTTTTCTTGTTTTTCACCAGTTTATATAATGCCATCGCAGATCAGCTGTCCAGACGAAATCAACAGGTACAATTCGTTTTAGTTTAGCAAGCCGCCGGGAATTTTCCAACATAACTTGTTTAAAATTTCTTCATTCATTTCCTTTTTAGACAGAAATGCAAACGTTAAGAAAACTTGCATCAGATTATATGCTGAACCACGAAGAAGACTTCCTGCCCTTCTTAACGGATACAAAGACCGGCGAGGTCTACACTCCAGGTACGCTGACATTAAATAGACCGTTCCACAATTTTTTCAACTTTTGACATGAACCAGTTAGGGAAAATCGGTCGACACCACTGGAAAGAGCGCCTTTAAATTGGTGAACTTGCTAAGTTTGAAAGTGTGACATCTTAAGCGAGCGAGGATACAACTCCGCAACGTTACGAAAATTTACAGACGTTTTGTTTGGTGAGGAGCAAGTTTGCGTGGCCACCATACAAACGTCTGTAAAATGTCGCGATTTTGAGGAGCTTTTTCTTCGTTAATTTTCAACAAATCACTTTCAAACTTGGCAATTTTACCAATTTTAGGGCGCTCTTTCTAGCTGAGTTGACCTTTTTTTTCTTAACTTGTCCATGTTAAAAGTTGAAAAAAAAAAAAAAAACACGTTGATGGGTCTATTGGAAACTACAGTCCACTTACACCCTGTGGTCATCCTGCTAAGACAAACGGCAACTGAATCCCAGGCAAAATAGACCGTTTCACGTCGTTTTCAGTTTTTGACTGGGACCACTTGGTGAAAACCCGTCATCATTGCAGGAAAATCGCCTTAAAATCAGCAAAGCTGGCAAGGGCAAGAGGGAATTATAAAAGCTGCCTTTCCGATTCACTTCGCCTCATCCCCCTCCTTTCCCACTCATCCATTAAGGCCTTACAAAAATACAGACGTTAACGTACGAAACGTGGAAACTCTCGATTCTACGGACTCCCGCGGTCAACTTTTTTTGGTTTCTACACTCCAACTGTAATCAACTGTATTGTGTCAACTCTCGTGATAAACAACACCGAACGCAATCTTTAAGGAGCTTAGACACAAGAAAAACCTCTTTCTTCCATCTTGTGCCATGACCTTTATCATTTTGGTTAGATTAACACCTGTCTTTTCTATTGCTTCTAGTTCTTTTACCTTTTAAGACCAACTTTGCAGTCTCAATGCTTTCAAGCAAGTTCGTCCAGCATGACTAATTATTTTCTGCACAAGAAGTTACTTTGTGTTGCTTTCAAATCCATGTGGCAGTCTCGCTAATGTTTCGACAACAACGAGGTTGTGTGTAGTTGGCTGAACTAGTCAGTAAAAGTCGACCGACCTCTTAACATTTAGATTTCCTCAACTGATACTAGTCAGTAAAGCAGATACCTCAGAGGGACTCAAAGAACCACTGAAACTGAGCCTGATACGTTCTTACGCGAGTCTCTCTCTTCTTGACGAAAATAATACCTGTAATGGAAGAACACTAAACTTATTAAAGAGGTCTTGAACTAGAAATCAGAATTCACCAAAAGGTCACTGTAATCGTCTGTCCCGCCCTTCAAATTTCACTGATGAGCTGTAGTTTTAAATGTTCACTGTTTTTTCAAACTACCTGTTCTATTCTGATGTGTAGTGTCGTTTTAACCGTTTTGTTGGTAATTTTCCGCGGTGCGTTTCCTTATCTAAGGACCGGGATTTTTCTTAATTGGATCTTTCCCTTGCAGATCAATTTGTCCACTACTGTGAAGAGCTTGCTAACTCGCCTGTATGGGGAGGGCATTTAGAGGTAGGCGACCTAAGGCTGTTATTTCTAACGAGTAGTTGCTATTTTCATAGACGGATAGATACCATTGTGAAATACGGTTCATTTACACACAGCCACGCGACTATGCAACAGTAATTTGCTCCACAACCATCAGAAACGTTTACAATGATGACATATCTAAACCCTAGCCCACAGACAAAAAGGAGAAAAAATTTCTTGAACCTTACAAAGGGCGGGAGGGTGGGAAAAGCTGTTGCCCAAAAACTGAATCACGTGACAAGTATACAGACTGGTACTGTACCTCGTGCCCAGGTTCCATTCAGAGTGAGAGCCAAGGAAACAATAAAACATCTGGGCCGATTTGTTGTTATATTTGAAAGGTTGATTTAGTTTCGTTAAAGTGTTCTGCGCGCCTTACCTATCCAGTCTTCTCTTCCTCTAACCAAATAAACTAGCTATTGAGTACAAGAACTAGGAGTTCCTAGACCTCATTCATTCTATCTTCAATAGATTCAAGCCTTATCTCAAGTGTTAAAAATGCCGATAGAGGTTTACCAAGCGAACGCACCAATACTCAGAACAGGGGAGGAGTACGACTCACAACCAATCTTACTGTCGTAAGTTATAATAGATTCGTAAATCTTCTTCCTGGTTTTTTGTCCAGTGTTATGCTCGACTTGTAGCCGATCTCTGTACATGAATCCTTGACGTTGTTCGCGGCTGCCAAGGAGATTACCCCTTAGTTTTCATGAGTATAGTTCGATGAGCGCTGACGATGAATACAGTGTACGTTTTTATTTTCCAGGTATCACCATCATGCATATGGTCTTGGTGAGCACTATAACTCTGTCGTCCCTGCGCAAGACATCGTGGAGAGCTAATACTCTTTTGTTTTTAAATTGTACCGAAGAAAAACAATAAAGTACACGCCTATACTTTTCGGTTGAAAACTATCTTTGTCGAACCAGGTTTAAAGTTAAATAGATAATTTTTCTTTCCTTACCTGTCAGATCCAGTTATCATTATTTGATCCCCTTCTCTCGAGCCCTTGTTGATTAATATTGATACCTTTCTAAGGGCGTAACTACAAAACTGCCCTATTTTCTTGTTGGCCAAGAATGCGGACTCCTCAGACAAATGGTTTAACACATGGTTCGTACTCTTTTGAGCTCTTCAGATTCCATGACCATTTTAAGTTTTTCAAGACCTTAGGTTTAGCTTTCACTTTCAAAAATGTTTAGGACTTTCCTTATGTTAGGGTATTTTGGAGCTTACACAGTTCAACAGACACAAACTCTGGTTTCCTCCAAAATGCGTGCCGTTCGCGCAGGTCAATCGCTTCTCTCTACCTCACATTGTCCTTGCCTTGTCATCGGCAGTAACTAAGCTATCCACTGGCGGATCCAGGGGAGGGGCCAGACCCTCCTTTTTTTAGACCAAACTGAGGCCCGAAGAAAAAAAAAAAAATTTGGGGAGACCGTGCCCCCCCTTTATCTCAAGGTCTGGATCCGGCACTGCTATCAAACAAAACTTTCAGGGACCGACTATTAAATTCCATGACTTTTCAGGCCAGGAAAATGAAAAGCTTAAATTCCATGACTTTCCAGGTTTTCTATGACCTGTACGAACCCTGTAACAAGAGGGAGTGCCAACCAAGTTCCCTGATTGGGACTTGTCTCGCTCTTCCAAATTTGGGATTTTTGTGGGTATTCTTTAAATACCCTAAAATATCCAAAAATGGGAATCTCTTATTTTTTCCTGTGAATAAGATATTTTTGAATCCACAACTTTTTCTTTCCGGATACGGTTTCGGTCCACACGTATCCGGTGAATCCGACAAATGAATCCGCAATTTTTTAAATCAAGTCTCCAGAGTAGAGATTTTTGAACACGTTATGAATCCGGAATCGTGTGGACGTTAAAATCCGGATGGAGATCGAGCCCATTTCTTGACCGTGAAAGGCAGAGCCATCCTCGTTTCCAGAGCCCGTCGTTTCTTGGTCACGTCACAAATTAAGCCGAGTGGCTTTGAGGAGGAGAATGAGGCAGAGCAAGATGCAAATTTTGTGCGCTTTACGACGCATGCTCAGTAGCCAATATTCCCAAAGGAGTCCTGGGTACTAGAGTGAATCCGGATAGGTGTCGGATGAGTGTCGGATACGTGTAGATGGGCAAAATGTTATTTCTGACGAATGAGCCCGCGAAGAAGGCAGAAATAACATATTTTGACGGCACGAGATACAACAGGGCCTGGGTACTAGGCCGGGTGCACCATGGGTAGCCATATCGGGGGTATATAAGGCTGCGTATATCACGTGTTCGTCATCTAGGCTTACGAACCAACCTCTAATTGGTTTTTCTTAACGTTCTTATCGGCTCTTTCTTGCGTTATATCCGTCAGCAAAGACGAAGTGTCCGATCTCATTGAGGAGAATAACAAACAGTTAATGGACTCGTTTAAAGTTTTGTTAACAGAAACCGTTGGTCAAATCAAGCGCGCTAATGAATATTTGGCCGAGCAGCAGATGAAGGAAATTAAGAAACTAAAGTATAACGAACCACGTAAGTTCAAGAAGAAGGCCAACGAAAACCAGTTTTAAAGGATCCACAGTGCATAATTTTGCGGCCGTGTAGCGTACTAGGCCCGTAAGAAGAAGAAGACCACTCAAAAACAGATCCTCGCCAGTGGGAACGCCGGCGTCCACCTCAACTTCACATATGCAACCCCAGCCTCATGTCAAACGTTCCTGTTTTAATTTTCGCCTTCTCGACGACCCAGTGTCGGGACCTGTTTTGCCCGTGGAAAGCGTTCCTGTTACCCGACGATGGACAAGCCAAACATCCCAAACTCCCAAATGGCTAGATGAAGGACAACAATCAGGTGCAGTCTATTCTAATTTAGTACTGAATTTTTTAGGCGGCAAGCCGTAATATGGATCAGGATTGTCTCGATATTTTACCAGTTTCTTCTGACGTTCACCCCGCTAGTTTTAGGCGCGGTTTAGAGCTCTGAGTGTTCCGTTGATATTTCTATTCTGCCTTCAGTTTGGGGAAGATTTTTCACAGTTATCTATTTCTGGCATACTTTGCTAGTTTCTCTGTTCATTTTGAATGTTTTTAGTCTTAGTTACAAATTCCCTTCTTCCAGCTTTTTATGTTTTTTTACAAATCCTACAATGCCTCTGCACTTGTTTACAGTTCTTTTTGTCCGTAGCTGTTAATGAGCTTCCCAGCCTCAACCTTCTTTTTAAAAATTTTTGCATTCCAATATCATTTACCCGCTTTCTGTTTGACGCGCCGCTCCAGCTAACAAAGGTTAATCCTGGATTTTAGGCACGTTTGCACTTTTTTCTTCAAACAGAAATTCAAGTGCGAAGACTTGTCCATGGCCACTTATATTTTTGATATGGGTTTTTATTTATTCATATTTTACCTCTAGTGCGGTTATCGTAATTTTCCCTGATCACCAGTATTTCCTTGCGTTCACCTGGGATCTCGGCACCTGGGTTTTTAGGTATTTTCTACTTTGCGCGCTTCCCTTTGGGTTCTTGTCAGCCTCCCTCGAACCGCTTCAGAAATCTAGAAGAAGCCAAGGTATCCCTATTGCCATTTTTCTTGACTATGGTCTAGCTATAGGAGGAGGAGCCTATCGCGTTCAGGCCTTAATTTACAGTTTGCGGGCTGTCCATGCCGATTTGCTTTAGTCTCGCTTTGTTCGAATTCCTATGAGGAAAAGTCCCTGTGGGAGCCCGTTCGAATTTTCTAGTGGCTTCGCGTTCATCTCAGCATAACACTCTGGATGGAAGTATTAGAGCCACGGATGAACGCATTGCTAAATTGTCTCGCGACCTGGCGAATTTGTCTTCATATTATATTAGTCGTCCACCACAGTCCACGTTCTACGCGTCCCGTGTGTAGTCGCCCATAGTATTTCCCTCTCGAGTAGCGTGGGATCCGTCGCGTGCATTATGGCCCGATTTCTTTTCTCAGTTGTTTACTCAGCTGTTTCCTGGGATAGCTAGGTTTTCCTGTCCGTTGATTCTTTGTATGAAATTGAATTTTGGTCGAATTCTGTTAGCCTCTCTACGACAAAATTTATCGAGGGGTTCCAGTTCGCTTCCAGTGAGAGTAAGCTCCGGCTTCTCCGATGCTTCCGATTCAGCCTGCTGCGTTTAAGTGGAGTCTGAACCTGAGTTGATTTTTTATCAGAATTGGTCGGAAAGTGTTCGTAGATCGACTTGAAGAGAGCTCAAAGTGGTTTGTCTTGCCGTACTAGCCTTCGCGAGCCCTTCATCTAATTCCAAGGTTTTTTGGTATTCTGACAACCAGAACGTCGAATCCATTCTCCGCGACGGCAGCAGGAAATGCGATCCCAAAGAATTTAGCCCTAGTTGCTTTTCAAATTTGCTCCCATCATTGTATTTCGTTCGAGGTCAAGTGGATCCCTAGGGACCTGAACGCTAGTGCGGTCTGTATCTGCAAGCTCGTTGACTTCGATGGTTACGGCCTCAACGATTTTGTTTTGCTAGGGCTAAATCACCTCTTAGGTCCTTACATTATTGACAGGTTCGCCTGTAGTTACAACGGCGAGTTGCCTTAACTCTCTATTTTTTCAGCCAGGCTGTTAGGCTGTTTATGCCTTCGCTCAAAATTGGGGATAGGACAACAACTGGCTTGGCCCACCTGTTTGCCTCATTGTCAGAGTCATGTATATCAGACACATTGGGCTCTGCGCGCTCACGGGAGCCCTTATTCCTCACGTATGGAAGTCAGCTATTTTCTGAAATGTTTCTACTAGAGATGGAGTGCATTGGAATAGTTTTGTTGTGGACTGGGTTTTATTGCTTAAGTTCCAGGGATTATTTGTTCCAGGGAAGGTCCGTAATTCCCTTTTCAGAACCAGGCCTTTATTTTTTGGCGTCATAGCGCTTCGAGTTTATTTTCGGCGCCCCACACCTCCCTCGTCCCTGGCGGGCTTCTGCTCTACGCCGCCTGACGGAAAGTGTTGCCTGTGCCTCTACACGCGTGTTATGCGTACCTTTAGGTTTGGACCCATTAGGTTTTTGCATGTAGCCTTTTGACCCCCCACTTCCCTTTTCTGGTGTTTTTTCTTTTTTATTGCGTGATCCTCACATTTTCTTTTGTATTTTCGATTACTTTTCAGATATATTCCGCTCTGGTTTCTAGCGCGGGCCCCAGAATTTCCCACCAGAGGGTTGAACCCTGAGGCTGACAGACAGTCTACAATGCAATCGAAGGTTCTCTCCTCAAAGGCAGTTAGTACGACAGTGGTGTACCTTCGTGCTTCTCGCAAGTAAAAATGTTTTGCTGCCAGTAAGCTTCATTCCTGGGCCTGTCCTGCCAGTCCCTGCCATGTTGCCTTGTATTTGCAACACCTCATTGAAGAGTCGCACTCCCCGTGCGTCGTAGACTCGGATGTTTATGGTATTAAATGGGTTCATACCATGGCGGGTATCCCCTCTCCCAGGGATAACTCGATTATTGAAGGGGCTAGGTGTGTTTTCAAAACGATTTTAGGTATGATGAGGTCTCCATAATTAGGGGGTATTATATTTGTTTCATGATCATTAAGGTTCTCAAAAGCAAGAACGACCAACTTTGTAAGGACGATGACTCGAAGTGATTTTTTCGGAAATGTTTGGCCCTGCTTGTCCTGTCAAGCTTCTAAAGAGGTACCTTGCTCTTTTTTCCATCCCCTTTAGCTCTGGGGATCTCATTTTTGCCCCACGTTTCGCGGGAACAACTCTTTTTAGTTAGTTTCCCAGAACGAGCCTATCAGCTATACCACAATTAGAGAGGCTTTTCGCGAGGACCTGAGAATTGTCGGGGTTGACTCTTCCACTTTTGGTTTATATTCCTTGCGTTCGTGAGGGGCCACCTTCGCTGCTTATAATGGGGTTTGTGACAGTGTGTTTCAGTGGCTCGGCCGCTGAAAGTCCGTTCTAGCCAAGGGCGCCTACCGATGATGACCTAGAAAAAAGGCTTTCAGTTTCCAAGTTTCTTGGGCTCTAGGAGCTTTCATTTGTCATTTCGCCCAATACTTTGTCACTCTACGTACTTTGTAGGGTTGGTTCTCGCCAAGCCGTCCCAAAATAAACTTATTTGCCATTACGTTTTGTCTGTTGATGTTGTGTAGTGGAGTCAAAATATGTTATTTCTGACGAATGAGCCCGCGAAGAAGGCAGAAATAAATATTTTGACGGCACGAGATACAACAGGGCCTGGGTACTAGGCCGGGTGCACCATGGGTAGCCATATCGGGGGTATATAAGGCTGCGTATATCACGTGTTCGTCATCTAGGCTTACGAACCAACCTCTCCTTGGTTTTTCTTAAATTTTTGTTTTATTTATTTTTAGGAGCAACATATTCTCGATTACATTGTAAAGTCCCGTAGGAAGGGCTTTGAGCTTGAGCCTTGGTTCCTACCCAGATTTCCTGCCCGCATTTTTTTTCCCTTCGGGGTTTTTTTTTGGGCAGTTTTTTCTGGCCTCCGTCTGACCGCATTTACTTCAGTTTGTAAGCGGTAGCTCAGCTCTGCTAGTTTTCAGCCTTTTTCCCGTTTCTTATTTTATGTACTTGTACACTAGTTATCTCAGTTTTGCACCTGCTCCTTTACTTGATATATTTAGTTTCCATGTATGCTTAGGTCAGCTGTCCCGGAACCGCTCTTTAGGAGGCGACGTAAGTCTCGTTTGACGCAGTTAGGTTGCAGGCAATGTTACAGACCTCTAGCCAGGGTCGTTATTCATTGTTTACCCTCAATGTCCCGCCCTAGCCTTTTATGGCAGTCTTACTGGTTATTGGGCTACGTGCCTTGTTGGGTACATTAGTGGAGATAATTCCCAGTTTTCCTGGCACTCAGCCTCTGTGCTCCTGAAGTGTTCCCGGTCCCAGTTATACGTTGATCACAGTTTTATTAAATTTCCCCGGCCTAACTGGCACTAAGCCTGCGTGCTTATTTGGGGGATTCAGGTCGAGATCGACCAGTTGTAGCAGTTTTTTCTTTTTGCTTAGCCTCTGTGCTCCTACCGTGTTCCTCATGCCAGTTATGCGTTGTCTGAGTTTTATTAATTAGTTTCTCCAGCCTAACTGGCAGCCTAACTGGCAGCCTAACTGGCACTACGCCTGTGTGCTTATTTGGGGGATTCAGATCGAGATCGACCAGTTGTAGCAGTTTTTTCTTTTTGCTTAACCTCTGTGCTCCTACCGTGTTCCTCGTGCCAGTTATGCGTTGTCTGAGTTTTATTAATTAGTTTCCCCAGCCTAACTGGCACTAAGCCTGTGTGCTTATTTGGGGGATTCAGGTCGAGATCGACCAGTTGTGAGGAGTTTTTTCTTTTTGTTTAGCCTCTGTGCTACTACCGTGTTCCGTGTGCCAGTTATGCGTTGTCTGAGTTTTATTAATTAGTTTCCCCAGAATGACTGGCAGCCTACCTGGCACTAAGCCTGCCTGCTTAAATGGGAGATTCAGGTCAAGAGCGACCATTTGTCGCACGAGTTTTATCTTTTTGTGAAAGCTAGTTTACAAGTGTTGTACATTAGGTATTCACCAGTATTCACCTATTATTGTATTTACATAAATACTTTGTAGGGTTGGTTCTCGCCAAGCCGTCCCAAAATAAACTTATTTGCCATTACGTTTTGTCTGTTGATGTTGTGTAGTGGAGTCAAAATTTCGATTTGACTACGGATACGTGTGGACGTGGAAATTTTCGAATGCGGAAAGAAGAAGTTGCGGATTAAAAAATACCTGGAAACTTGTGGACGGGGCCTAAATATCCTCTACAATTTCAGTTAGGGGGGCACATTAGGCCCTCATTGGCTAATTCCTAGAATAAACCAAACCTGCGATCAGGCGGTCCTTCTTCCTTTATTCTTTATCTCACCGCCGAATTTCGCGCTTCCCCGAAAGGAAGTAAAAGAGCGCATGATTGCTGCTCGGATATGTTATGGGTTCCAGGCTAATCTAAACTCTGGATAAGCTTCAGGCTTGTTCTAGTTTTCAGTAAGAAATTGTAATTTTGTTGTGGTCAACCCTCGTTTCCATGTAAACAACTCTTTTTTTTTTCAAGTCGGTTTCTTTCAAGGTCTAAAAGTTACAAAATTTATTTCATTTTGTAAAAGACTGGAAAAATACTACCATGTGGAAATGCTGCCAAAGCTCTAGGTTTCATTGAAAATGGTCGAACAGTTTGGTGTTCATCCACATATGCAAAACACTGAACTTAACAAAAACGATCCATATCCATCACATTTGACAGTGCTAGCTGTAGGACATTTTCATTTTCAACATAATTATTTATAAAAAAAAATCACCTGGTTTACAAAATGATCGCCACAATCGCTGAAAACTTTCCGGCGATATGAACCATCGTAGCGATAATATGGAAACCAGTGTCTAGGCTATAACAATAAATAAATGCTATACATTAATTTTTCAAATTAGCATTTAACCAGTGGCTTTTTTTTGCTTGACTAATGCTCCGAGCATTTTCTTACATGTGTACTAAAATGAAAAGGAATACCTCATTGTTTGCCGTATTTTCATAATTAAAAGTCTCCAATGTTATTTTGAACATAAACTGGCTCGTGGACTTGATCAAAGATCAGCTAATCCATCTTTGTTTCTTTGTTTCTGTTAGGGGCTGTTTACATAGAGGAAGGAAGATCCTAGCACCAGGAAGATCCTAAAAGGCGGATCATCCTTGCGCCATATGTTTTCTGTATTCAGTTTACATGCAAAGTGTTGTCCTTAGAGCTAAGATCTTCCTCGTACTAAGATCTTCCTAGCTGAGACGTACATGGTGTAAGGAGAAGATCCTAGCACCATGTAAACTGCCTTCGCTAGAAAGATCCTTGTACCAGGAACAAAGCAGACAAAATGGCGGGGGTTCGTTCTGTAGGTAATCACGGCAAAATAGGCCAACCGTTTCGTTTGGCTTTATCAGGAGCTGATTATTGTGATAATTCTGCTGAAAGGTAATTATTAACGCCAGTAAAGAGAGGAGAAGAGCCCAAATTGCATTTTTTTCTCGCCTGAAATCTTTAACTCCTTCTCTACTTGGGCACCAGACGGACAGAAATTGTTGCATGTAAACCCAACGAAAAGTTGTTCCACCTTCAAGGATCTTCCTCCCTCCAAGTCGACAGCCCCTTAATGGACCACAGAAAAATTCTTATTCTCTCAACTAAAGTCTTGGACCATCTTATTAATGCATTTCCAATCATGTGGAATTTCTTTTCTGTAGCTTCATAACATTTTCTTCCAGTTGGCAGAATTAAGTCTATGAATTTGTCTCTTTTTCTCCTGGATTAGCTCCTGGTCCGCTTTGTTCTGTTGGTGCTCCCTCGTCAGGTTTCATAGCTGGGAAAAACAGCACCTCCTACGACAAAACAAACAGCAAATTGGTACACGTTTTCACTGACTTTGATTGTTTTAGCCTGTTGACTTCTTTTAGTCTGTTCCCAATGTACGAAACAGCATTAATCCATAGAACAGGAAGTGCTGTGATTCAGTTAGCCTCCCGGCAGACGTCCTTTGGGATTCGTTCGTCACGCATTCATTTCGTCCGTGGGGGAGAAATGAACGCGTGACTAACGAATCCCAGAGGACGTCTGCGGGGAGGCTATGATTAACTTGGGTGTTGATTTTACCTCACATGATTAAGTTGACAGTTATAGCTCTGACGGCTGTCACATGCCCAGTGAGGTTATTAACAAACCCAAGACATAACGAGTACGAGAATTTCTCAATACCAAGCAGTGGCCGTGCGTTTGGTGGGAAACCGTGATAGCCGTTGTCATTCTTCTACGAGTTTTAGGCCCCCTCCACATGCATCCGGATGTTTTTGTATCCACAACTTTTTCTTTCCGGATTCAAAAGTTTCCACCTCCACACCCAAGACTCCGCTGGGAAAATTGGCAACAGAGCATGCGTTGTAAAAAAGAGCCCGCGGCCTTGAGAGAACCTGACAACGAGGTTGCCATCTTGAATACAGCATTCAAGGAAAAGAACTGGGCTCGATATTGTTACGTCACCGGATGAAAAAGCATCCGGATTTAGCGTCCGTCAAAAATTTCCTCTCTGGAAATGTCCAGGTACTTGTGGACGGGGCCTTAGCTAATATGTGTTGTAGTGGCGGTACCCTGGGTGCCAGAGACTTTTCATGCGCGGTTTCCTGTCAATTGACTTCGGCCGAGAAAGAAGATCTTTCAGCCTGGGGCCTATACCGAAGCATCCAGACACGGAAAAAAACCTCTAGTAACCAGGGTATAGTGGCGGAAACAATCAATTCAATAAAATAACCATGTTAACATTTATGGTGAAAAAAGAAAAGTAATGAAACTCTCCAGTGTGTCTCTTTTTTTTGAGAATACGCGAAAAAACTTTAAGTCAAAACTCGTTCTCGTTGGCGTCGTCATCATCGAATCTAAAGGCCTCTAACATAGTTTCAACACTGCCGACATCGTTTCAACACTGCCGAGGGACAAACCTTGATGTTATTGGAATCAGTAAGGAACATTGTAAGCCTGTCTACTCCTAGACCCCAGCCCGCTGTCGGTGGAAGACCATATTCAAGAGCTGTACAGAAGTTTTCATCAACAAACATGGCTTCATCATCACCGGCGGCTTTGTCCTGCAAAAAACCAAAGACAAGAACAAGAAACAATAAGACACACTGCCATTTGTTGCTCCTGTGTGCAACTCGTACTAAGGTACATGTATCTGTGTATCTGCTGAGGGACCGGTCCCTGCCTTTCTTTAATCCTTTTAGTCTGACTCTCTATAAGACGGCCACCCTGCTATTTATAACGTACATCTCAAGTTGGTCCCTGCCTTTCTTTGAATCCTTTTTAGTTGACTTAGTAAAAATAAGACAGCCATCAATTTTGTTCAAGATGGCCACGTAGAGCCCAACCCACCAGTGTCCGTCTGGATTTTACTAATATTTGTTATACTTGAGGTCCTAACTTAACAGTCACAAAGAAAAACTAATGTCCCCAAGGCATGAAACAGCTTTAATCCACTGTACAGGAAGAGCTGTGATTAACTTGGGTCTGGATTTTACCCCGCGTGATTTAGTTGGCAGTTATGGCCCTGAAGGCTATGTCACATGCCCAGCGAGGTTACATTAACTGCACGCACAACAAGCAAGCTAGTGAATTAATGATTATTTATTCTATATTTACCATGAAAACCAACACCAAGACAGGGCTGAAAATAACGGACAGCAGATTGCCGGTCATGATGACCGGCCAAATATTTTTTAGCCCGGACAAACCCCGATTCTGGTCGGACAAATAATGAATACTAATAATTTTTTTTTTGCCTAAGGAATATCCAATTATGCTGGCAATAGATCGTTATTACTACATTGACGTTCACACTTTTGACAGCAAGTTGGTGAAAAATGCATTCGCACGTTGTAGAGTTCCTTTCTGCGGTTTTCGCGCGTTTTAATGTTACGTTCTACCTTGAGTATCATTGCACGGCGGTGTCTGAAGTCTCTAGAGGTAAAAAGTGAAGCGGAAATCCTTTTCAAACTCTCAAGGTTCGGGAAACGGAATACACATACAGTTCAGCAAACTTTAGGAATTACGAAAACAAAAACAAAAAACAAAGTCTGCACACGCTTGTTTTAACGTTGATGTTCCGAAATGAACATCGGTGAAACTTGATTTTTTTCCTTGCCTGGCACGTGATCGAAAGTCACCTCCCCGTCACCTCCTCAAAGAAGAATCGTCGCTAATATTTTCGGCAAAGAAGTTGATTTGCATTGGCGAGAAGTTTGTTCCACAAACGGCGTGTTTAAATTTGGGTCATCGCGCAACATTTTACCGCGAAGGGCTCAAATGTCAACAGAAATTTGCATAAAGTTGTTTACAAGAACCAGAATCTAGCGCTGAGATAGACGACGACCTTCCCTCTTGATTAGCTTAAATTTTTATCAGACCATTCTGGAATCGAGTCTGCAAACGAGATTCACGTTCGGCATAAAAGAAATTATTATTAATCGATGCGCTAACATTTATTCCCGGAGAAACACAGGACGACCTGTTGAGAATGGCGATCGATTTGCCCGAATTCCTTCGAATTCCCAAAGAAGGTCACATTGCTGATTACAGCAAAGCAGAAACTACAGTACGACTTGCAACGTTGCATTACTTTTCAACTCAGTTTGTTATTCACTTTGTTGTGTTTCATTACGACATGACGACATGAAATTAATGTATTGCGGCGATGTTTTTCTTGGAAGGGTTTAGAGCAAAGCAGCAAAAAACGCCAAAGACGGAGAAATCATTGCAGTGTTATCGAGCATTAAGCAACAACTGTATGGAAAATAAAATGTTTGTATCCAAAAATGACCATCCAAAATGACCGGCAAGACCGGAGTTTGACCGGTCAAGTCCGCGATCAGGCCGGACAATGTCCGTTGACCGGCCGTTATTTTCAGCCCTGCAAGAGACGTACAGTTAAAACCTTTTAGATATTACCAGTTTGAAACCTCAACATTATTAAAAAGGACACTTTGCCAAACCTACAGTGCTACAAAATCAACCTTTTTGAAATAGTTCAGGTGTTCACAGTTTTCTGAGTGTGACAGTAAAGGGCTTCAGACCGATTTTTATTAATTTGAACTAGGAACAATGAGCCATTTTACAATGCTGCATACCAGGCACTTGAAAGTAATATGGGTGCAAGGAAGGACGGAGCGCGTGAGGGGGCCATGCACTCACCTTTGTCTGAAGTCGGAACATTTCTCGTTGTATGACAGGGTCATTTAACTCAGTGTATGCATTGCACACCTCTTTACGACAGATGAACAACTCAAATCTCTCTGAGAGACCCGGAACTGAACGGTGCCTGAAAAAAAAAAGAGTTTTTACATTTACCTGTATGGCCATAAAGAAAAACTATTTATTTTTCTAATAATGTTCACACCAGCTAAAAATAATGACTCTGTGTTTGTTAGAAGCAGTTAAGCTAAGGGCAATGTATGGAAAGTCTTAAGCGGTAAGGGGCCGACCATTTGACTGTTGAGTAGTGATTTGAGGTATGGGTGATTTCAGAAAAAAATATCCTACAGACTGATTTTGAGGGAAGAAAAAATATAGCAAGGAAATACCTGGGCTGAAAAAAATATCTCTTGTGGGATATAATCCTGTAAAAAAATCTTACATTGCTATACAGGGCATGACAGGGGAAAAACAATACATCTCCAGAGGTTTGGGAAATAAAAAATCTTACCCAAACCACCCCCCACCCATCAAACGTCAAATGGTCGACCCCTAACTACATTACAGTCAATTTGCCTGGTGATGATGACAAGATATTTAGTATTGTCAGAAACTCATAAGGGGTTTCTGGTATTGTTCCTGAAGGGAGTTTCATGCAGACCATTTATGTTTTAGACACAACAAGAACAGTGATAAGTTACAATGAGTATTATTAGTAACAAAAACTGCAAGTGATAATTCCCTCAAGTAACATCCATTGACATTTAAAATTTAAGCAGACAAAGTAGTGTTTTTGTTAGAAAAAGTTATGGTGAGACATGGGACTCATGTTGTGAAAAATCACGAGTCCCAGTCCAGAACCATTGAGTTCCAGTTGAAAAAACAATGAGTTAAACAACAACCACATCAACAGCCGCAGAAATCGAACAAACAGGATTTTTCTTCAAAAACATCTTCAGATGGATCGATCTTTGCGTCCTACAGGATGCATCTATTGAATTATTTTGCGTCTTTGGGGATTTTTATGCGTCAGGGACGCAGGACACAGAGGTAACAAAATCACTGACATTTGTGTTAACCTTTTGTGTGCGTCACTGTGTATGTGTGCATTGGGATGATAAGGAAGGACAAAAAAATGAATGAATGCACAGCTATTACACAAATAACATCAACCTCTGTTTTCATAAGGGACTGTATTCAGGGTTCAGAAAAACATGGGTATTACTGTGATAGGTGTAATAATTATTTTAGCAGAACTGGATGAAAAATACTGGAACACAGTACTCACCACTTTGACAATGGACTCATAATTTGAGGATGATCAATGAGGAATGTTGGACTGACAAAAGTCTCTTCAAGAAATTCACCTACAAGCTGATCAAATATCAACACAAGTCAGGCAAATTTATGAGGACTATATTTTGAGCAGTCTAGTACTTAACACACATTATGTTATGTTCCCAAGGCATGAAACAGCCTTAATCCATTATACAGGAAGAGCTGTGATTAACTTGGGTCTTGATTTCACCTCACGTGATTCAGTCGACAGTTATTGCCCTAAAGGCTATGCCACATGCCCAGTGAGGTTATTTTTCCAATGACATGATGTATTGGCTTTCTCATAGCTGCTACATGTTTGAAATAAAACAAAGTATTTTTCATGTTTATTCGGAGAGAGGGAGAGACTAACTTTCTTTGCAGAAACAACAAGTCACAAAAAACTATTTTTTCAAAAAACAATGAATCTACCGCAACAATATAATGTGAATAAACAGAGCTTAGTGGATGTATTACATAACCAAGCAGTAATACTGAGATAGTGGAACCTCAATAATTATAATGAAGCTCGATATAACAAAACCTTGATATAGCAAACAGATTTTGTCAGTCCATTGGCCCTTCACTATATCGAGGTTCAACTGTACATAATTTTCTCTTTGTGTTGAGAATAACTCCGGAGGGATAAAGTTGAAAGAAAGAGGGGCTTTTTCCTAAAATGTAAGCACAAAACGTGCATCCATCAAGGGCATCTGGGAGTTAGGGGCAACTGGGTTGTGCATGTCCAGAAAAAATAACTCATCACTGTAATATTAATTCCCGAAAAGCTGCCTGCTGGTCCAGATCTGCTCAAGAAAAGGACATACATACTTTATCTAACAGTCTTGTAGTTGTTCTAGGAGCACTGCAATCGACATTATGCTTGACACACAAGTCATCAAAAATTTGTCTGGCCTCTGGAATAAAAAAAAAACAATCGAGTTTTCTCATTAACATAACAAATCCTGAAAAGCTTGATTTGTCAACAGTAAAACATTTTGCTATTAAATTACAAATCAGTACCTGGAGTTCCAAATTCTGACGGGGGAGGTAACTTGACATTCATGGCCTTTTCAAGGTCAGGGACCATACGCACTCTTCTAAAGGGCGGGGTGAAATCAACTGTGAGAGGTTCACCCAAGTTCTCTGGATCAGTTGCATTGGGATGATATGTAACCACATAACCACCTGTCAGAGCCTTGACCATGCCTTAAAAAAGGTAATACATGTAGATAAGAAAAAGGTGCACAGAATGCTTGAAGCAAGCTAGGAGCAAATTAGAAATTTTGTATGTGAGCTGAGCCACAGCTGAGTGAATACAAGTACCTTTTGTACTAGCACAAAGCATTCACTACTCTGTGACACATTTGATCTGTTTTCCTGTATTTTCAATGGTTTTTGAGGTGAAGGAAAGGTATTTTGGGTGAGAAAGGGGAAGCATAGAGAAGGAGCACCCAAGGAGCCTGTCCCAAGTGAGATCTACCCTTGAGAAGAGTGGAGACTGTGTAGTAAAAATAACGTTCAACACAAACTACTGTTGAACCGAATAAAATGAAAGAAAAATTTATTTTAAATCTATTGGAAGAGCCTCCAGGGAAAAAGATAATAAAATAATATTCAAGTGCTTGATGGGAGAAAAGGTTAAAATCATGATTCTGCCATGAAATCTAAAGGCAATTCAATAATCCCTTTAATTCTCAAAGGGTTAGAGGGAGCATGAAATTAAAGCCCCAGGTGACTTCTGATAAACTTCTAGATTCTCCTTCCATTTTGCCATGTCTATCTTTGCAAATCAAAGGAAGACTTTCTTATTACATCAGGAGTCACTTAGGGCCTTATTTCACTGCAGCATCAACTGGTTACAAACCTGATAACATAACTTCTGTTAACTCCATAAGGTCATTATAATCCGCATAGGCCATGTAAAACTCACAAGTGGTAAATTCTGGATTATGAGTCATGTCAATGCCTGTAAAACAATGTGAGGTAAAAGCTTGCCAAGTGCTACAATGGACTACTGCAAGGGAGTGGGAGGATGTAGCCAGAAAAAAGGTGGCTCCTGCCATAGGCTTCGTTTGTAAGCTGTAGCCTCAGGAGTTATTTTACCATTTGGGTAAAAACAAACATGTGAACTAGCGTTCCATAATGTGATCCTACAAATGCAGTAGCGATGGAATCAGAGTCTTAATCAGAAGCACACAGTGTTATGATCTTGAGGAGAAAACAGCAGTCTGACTCTGCTTACAAGTCCAGATTGTTGGACAGCAGTAAAAGAACTAACTACACCAACCAAAATGCGTGGTGACAAGAATGGTGATCGGTTTATTCTTTAAATTTTGCGTGCATCTCCAAGAATCTGGTTTTAGCTTAAACCTAAGCCACAGAGTCATAAGCAATGTTGGAAAAAAGTGGACCTGTTCTGATTCTTTCAACTCTAATTCCATCAAGCCAAAGCCTTTTTGACTCTCTTGCTGGTGAAACGCAGTCTTACTGTACATGTAAGAATTAGTGGCTGTGGTTTTGCCAGGTGTATCTTGTATGGTTCAGTAATAATTGTTTTAAAGTCATTATGGACTACAATAAGGTGAATTCATATTGTGCAAAAATAATGACATTATATTGTTTACCTTCATTTCTAAACTGCCTTCCAATTTCATACACTCTGTCAATGCCTCCAACTACAAGCATCTACATACAAAACACAAAAGTGTTTTAACAACTTAGTAAGTCAACAATAAGTAAAAAAAAAACAAACTACCAGTTTGTTCTATGGACAACATTCAGCAGCCTGACCTCTATCAAAACTTGAACAATAATAATATTACACACACAGGTGACCTACATGTACATAATTATTATACTATCAATTTGTTTTTGAGAAGTAAAGATTATGACAACAATTAATTTTAATCTATTCCTGAAGAGAGGCCAGTATTCACTATAACATTCAATACTCTAATTTTACTTTCATATTATATTATTTTCATTGTTGCAATTTATCATTAAACAAGACTGATTACAATGAAGAATGTTGTTGTTGTTAACATGAGTCAATTTAAAAAAAAAAAAAACTTGGTTTGATCAGCAGAAAAACAAAAAGAAGCAAAGAAGAAGAAAAGGAAGTAACATTTGCTACTGGAACAGCTGTAGATGGTTGTTAATAACGTGCTTTGAGTACCAGACTTGGCAAGATTACTAGTTACACAGTTAATCCAGTTAATCTTGTTTAATACCTTGTGGTAAAGTTCTGGTGCTACTCTCATGTAAAGATCCATATTCAGCTCATTATGATGAGTGATGAAAGGTTTGGCAGCAGCACCACCAGGAATCATGTTCATTAGAGGTGTTTCTACCTGTTTTAACAACATGAAAAAAACACATTAGATCACTCAACTTTAGGTTACCTGCGTTTTAGTTAGTTCATGACACTGCACCATTCATTTTAAAACAGAACAACACCAGAAAAGTTCTAAAGCAAATGCACAATTTGCCCGGTTTTTCTTGTACACTGTAATTGGACTGCACATGTGGTTCCAAAACATTTGATCCATGCCCTCCCCACACAGGGGATTGGAAATTCCAAGGGGGGGGGGGGGGAACAAAAGCCCAAAAGGGTAAGATGACATAACTTCCAGTAGGTTTTGTAACTTACTTCTAAGAACCCTAAACTGTCAAGAAACTTTCTGATGTAGTTGATGATCTTTGCTCTGACAACAAATTTTTCCCGCACTTTGTCATTAAGAATGAGATCCAGGTAACGCTGTCTAAACCTTGTTTCCTGAAAAAAAAATATGAACATGTGATACAGCTAACCATAAAGAAACAGTACTATTATTCAAGAGCTGGGTAAAGAAAGAATCTAAATGCATGCAATGATCTTGCTTATTGCTCCACACAACTGTAAATTCATGCAGAGACCGTCACTCAATAAATCCTCCAGTGACAGTCTTGAGGGAACATGCAGTACTGTATCTCCTTTTCATAGATTTTCTAAAGCCTGTTTGAGTGCGAGAGAGGGATTTGAAAGTAAATTAGTATTGTAAAAACCAAGTGAAACACACTGAAAGAAGGTCTGGATCATAATGAGAATAAGAACTCCCTCAATGTGAGCGAGTTGAAGAAAGGTTGAACATCAATAGCTTTTGTTTCAAATAGCCCTGTTTTGATAAAAGTTAAAAACTATAATAAATATTTAAGGCACTGAAAAGAAAATACATCAACACTTTAGTGTAAGGTAATGTTAATCATTTCCTTTATTCTATTCCCCTTAATCTTAGACTAAGAGGAATATAATAAAGGCACTTGTAACCAAACCTGAATTTTGAACAAAATTATACACCTTTTATAAGTTTATGATGTCAGAAGGGCGACACAGCAAGACCACAAAGCAATATGGGTGGTTTCACAAACATTTACTACACTAAGCCATAAAGTAATAATTCTTCTGTCAGGTAATTACTACACGTAACTGTTTGCACGGCATTGAACAATTGCAAAGAATTGACAGCTACAGTAACCCACATGACCTTGTGGTCTTCTAACACAGGCTTGAGGTGTTAATATCTGACAAAAGGGATTGATACAGCTGAAAACTGAAAGTGGCCTAATCTAATCCTAATCATTCTCTACATGGGTCAATTCATATTTTTCTTAGAATGGTGGCACATGAAGACAGTATAATAAATAAAAATTCAAATTTTTAAATACCTTGTCTTTAAGTCCAAAGTGGAGATGTGGAAGCATGTGTAGACAAGGTGACAGCAGTGAAACAGTAGATGGCAGAATACTCAGTTCACCTTTCTTTGTTTTGCCTGCAAAAAAAGAAAAATAATAAAAAAGTTACAAGACTTTAATTTGTGGGATACGTTTAGAAGTCAATGACTTTTAAAGACGACTTTTTTTAACCCAAGGAGTTGAAGTTGCCACTTTACTAGGTTTGAAAGTGATACATCTGGCATACTGCTAGGGTGTCTGTCAGCAGTGATGAAGACATTGTTAGTGGTTATAAAATAATGACAGATGGCAGTTTTTAAGCTTGGTGTCAAAAGTGATGACATGTTATAACTATTTATATTCATTACTCTTCAGGGCCCAGTTGTGTTTGAAGGCCAATTAGCACTGACCAGTGGTTAAATTTTAACCTGGGTTTCTTTTTCTTTTGTTCAAAAGCATTTTCCAGATAATTTTCTCAATTCTTTTTAGAGCATCAAATCATCAAATAAAACTGAATTTGCTTTTTCAGCTTTCATATCTGAATTGAAACATTGCACTAACCCTGGGTTATCTTAACCCTGCTTTGAACAACCTGGCTCAGGAGTGTTATACTTCTTCACAATTGTGTTGAAATGGAAAAAATAAAAAGATTATTAACTAATATGATTTTTCATTTACCTGGCTTTCCCTTTATTCCAATGATATCCCCACGTCGTATTTTATTATGTACAGCCAAGAAATCCTGCTCTGAAGCCCTGGCATCTGCCATAACCTGAATTTTCACACCTTCTCCTCGTAAATCATAAAATATAAGTTTGGCCCCTGACAAACGCTTTGCATGGACTCTACCTGTATAAGAGAGATTCAGTGAAATAAAATTATTTTATTACAGCTCATAGAGAGACTCTGGTAGAGGAAATGAGATTTTTTTTCTTGCGGGACCAATTCAGGAAATCCTGATCAGGCAAGACGCACGTGGGTAGCTAATCAGATCAGAGGATTAATCATGTCAACTTGCCTGCTCAAAGATTTAGCCATATAAGAAAAGCCTAAAATGACCTACTGCACTAACCCCATAATATTGCTAGCTAAGTTTTATTGATTATCAGGGCTATAATTGACTATGTAAACACCACTTGTACTTTCTCACATTCCTAGGGTTTGCATAAATTAGAAAAAATTTAGTCCAATAATAACACTATTGTATAACCTAAAAACAATTATGATTGATCCCTGCCATGTCAGGAACAAGGCTGAGCTCTGGCAGCACCTTACCAGGAAGACACCAGATTTTTTTGGTAAAAATCAAATACTCAGGGCACCCTGGATTTGACAGACAGTACCAAAAATTGGGCTACCTACAGCACAACCTCACAAGTGAGAATATCACTAAGATTTCAAGTTTCCTGGTATGTGCAGTTAGTAGGTGGAAAATTGAACAGCTAGGTAGTTCTTTTGGTTTCTTTTTCTTTTTTCCTCTGAGACCAGTCAGTAGACATGTTTATCATAACTCCAGAAAATCCCCAGCCTACAGAACTTAATGACAGTTGCAGGTTGAATAATTATTATACTTTCCTTTACTTATGATTAAAATATAATGATAACAAACCAACCAAACAAACAAATTTTAAACTCACCACTAACAGATACAAGATCATCATGCCATGTACCATCCTCAACATCTTTGTATTTTTCAATGAATTCCGCAAGAGAGATAGACACATGGAACTTATGAGGATAAGGCGATTCATCAGTGGCCTTCAAAGCTTCAACAGCTTGACTTCGGATTTTGTAGTATTGCTGAGAAAACAACAAGGCATAATGAATATAACTGTTATGTCAAGGATCATTTACTTTTATTTTACAAATCACCCTGTGCTTTTGATATTAGAGAAAAGTTTATCGCAAACGCCAGATTCAAATTGAGGATTTCCCAAAACAGAAAATATGCAAGTAAAAACAGATCAAAAAAACTAGTGTGGAACTAATAGTTTTGGAGTAGAAGTAATGAATAGTAAACAAAAAAAAGTGACTCCAAATCTCTAAATTACTAATCTCCATTTTCCCCGAGTCTTGCCAGTGAATGGATGTATGCAAGACTTTGATTTAAGGGTTTGTTGACGGGGTTATCAAATAGAGAACATTTTGATAAACTGGTCACCCTGAGTTTTAGATGTTATCGCTCTCTATTAATTTCCCTGAGTCTTGCCAGTGAATAGATGGGGCATCAGACTATGATGCAATAGTTACACGTAATGGGAGGGGATATCAATTTTTATTTCACTAATCACCCTGGGCTTTTGATATCATTGCTCTCCAATCATTTCCATGAGTCTCACCAGTGAATGGATAGGTGTGAGACTATGATTTTAGGATTTGCCGACAGGAATTCATATAGAGAATGTATGCACATACCAGACTGCATCCTAAAATTCTCCATCCACCCCCAAAATCCCCTCCCCCTCCCCCAAGAAAACACATAAAAAGACAAAGCAAGCTAAAGGGAGACAAGATCACCACGGGTCATTTTCCGGGAAATTTTGGAGTAGAAGTAATGAATAGTAAACAAAAAAAAAGTGACTCCAAATCTCTAAAGACAGAGCAAACTGTTAAAACATGATAGTAAATGGGGTTTAATTGTTATAAGATCATTTTTTAAAACAGAAAGCCATCGCAAAATTAAGTGAGTAGCAAAACGAGTTGGAGAGGATAAGCACATAAAAAACGGGGCAACGGATCCTACAAGGGAGACAAGATCACCACGGGTCATTTTCCGGGAAATTTTTGGGTGATGCAATGCTTACCAATGGGCGGAAGAATTTTTCATTTTTAGCAACAAGGCGAGTACGTATATTTCAACTTTACCATGCAAAGCTTAAAACTCACTAAAAGAATTAGCGTAGAGAATTGTGAGGTACAATAATATTTGCAAATTTTAATTATTCAGGCACAAAAGAGCAATGCACATGTATTCGGCTTATGGAGTGAACTAAAAAAACGTGAAAGGGCTTGTTACTTAAGCTTACATTGGGATCCAATGTTTCCTCGTCTACTTCATCTTTCTTCTTGTTTTGGGCCACTGCACTGCTTTGCGCCTGAGAAAAGCAACGCTTTCGTAAGTGCAAAGTTGAAACCAACATTAACCACGTGTTTCACGGTCACGAAACGGTGGACAAAAATTACCTTCAGGGCTTCCTTTGCCTCTTTTTCTTTGGCTTTCTGCTGAGCCTTGAGCCTCCTTTTAAGCTCACTGATAACCGAAAACACAACATCGTTGAATGAATTGACGAAATAGGGGGTAAACACTAAATATCGTGACAAAATTTTCAACAAAATACTCACTTCTTGCTCAGCTTCTCTTCACCGCCGGCATCCTCCATTTTCGAACACGAGAGAAAACCCTCGCACGTCCGTAAAGCTGCACTTTGATTGGCTAACTGCGGAGAAATAAGCCTAAGCGCACGCGTGGTCCGTGCAAAAGCTACCCGCGAAAACATGTTCGTGGATCGATCTCTTTATCGAAAATCCGTCAGTAAGCGAGGCCGTTTTTGGGCCGATTTTTTCACCCAACATCATTCTTGAAACATTTCATGTTCAAATTTTGAACCTAGAAACTCAGCGGTGAGGTGAGTCAAAATATATTATCGTGGAAGGCGCGAGTTGTTCAAAATGCGAGCTCACGAATCCCACTGACAAGATTATTCAAACTCAGACCCCTGCCCAGACCTCACGCTGCAAATTGTACCACAGGCTCACCATCCATGGTCCTCCGGCAGGGATTGGATGAAGTTGAGTAAGTATTCCTGTGGTAGACATGCGTCGCCTAGGCTTCAAATTTGGACCAAAAGCTGATACCCTAAAATCCCCCTTTCTTAGCATGCCTTGAAGCAGCAACATAAGACAGAAGAATTGATGGCAAAAGACAGATGAAATGGTGGCAAATGACACAAAGATGGTTTGAGGCTGGAAAGTGACATACAATTGTAGTGAAACACTGACAGGGACATGGCTTGCTCTTCAAAATGTCAAACAATGGGTTTTGAAATTCAACCTTGGTACGCAATATGTATACCCCCATAAGAGGGCTTCTTTTATCAGACTGCTAAACAGTGGTTTTTTTTTCTCCGGTTAAGTGCAGGCAAAGTGCAGCCTCGTACCCAGGCCAGTTCGCGCTATCCGAGTTACCAGAGGAGGCTTGGAAGCGAGTGCAATAGTGCAAATTTTCCCAAAAAGCTTGACAGGTGACGTCACATCCGAAATCCCCAAGGACGACTGGGAACAAGGCTGGGCGAAGTGCACAGGCCTCACATGCCTGCAGAGCATGTGAGGGGAGAGAAAGTCTATCCCCAGTCTCGCTCTCCATTTTCAGCCTTGCTCCAGACCTTTTGTTAGACTGCTCGCAGGTACTTGAATATGCAAAAATACAGACTGTTTTGCAGTCTACTTTTTTATTAACAAACAAGGGTGTACTTTTATAGAATAGATGGGGTTGAGTTCTGGACTTTGGCTCAAAGACGACCATTTTTCCAACAGCCCATATGCATGCCGGGGTGCAAATTAGAAAGTCAGTTTTACAGCCTGCCATTAGGGCAATGGGTAGCTCGCATGTACTAGCCCACAAGTTATTTCAACTAGCCCCAAAACCCTTTTTGATAATCAGGATTGATTACAATCGGTCTATAATTTGAGTTTCCCCAAAAAACAGCTCTTACCCGTCGGGCAAGTTAAGAACAAAAATTACTGACCCAATAGCAAAATCCACTAGCCCCGGGCTAACGGACGCGACTTTCTTTGCTCGCTGCATGCTGACATCAGACCTACTAACTGCACCACCTTGTTTGTGGACTAAATTCTCTGCATTTCCACTATTTGTGCATTAATATTCTTTTGTCATGGATATATAGGTAGTGAAATTTTCAGATTCCATGTTAACACACATTACAGCTATAATTTACCAACTATTTGAGTTACTGTAATTACATTAACCCAACAGGTCTTTCCCACTATTCTGCAGTTTAAATTCCTCAACATTCCCCAACAAACTTCACTTAGGAAGGTTCTATAACAACATACATGCCCAGCAAACGGACAGGACTTTCACGGTCTGCTATCCTTGGTACTCAACTTTCCAGCTAGCAAGATTTTAGCCTCAGTATTAGGTCTTCTCCACCTTCCTTTCGTTCAGAAATGCCTGATACTCCGGCTAACAAGATTTTCATTCTTTGTAGATGTGTTCTTTTATTTTTCTGGGCTAAGATGTGTTCACAAACAGGCTCAATTTGCAGCTGTCTTAATTTATATGCCATTTACGACAACATCAAATTATATGTTTTTCTCATAAACACAAGATGAGAACAAGAGAACTCTTTATCTGACCATTTATTTACAAATACAATAACATTTTTAATTTTAAATAATAAATTACGTTTCAGATTGTCTATCCCCCTACCGTTAGCTATAATACCAGTATTTTTACAGTCATCTTAAATGAGTTCTTTCTTGTGTGCGATACTTTCGAACTTGAAAAAGTATTGCAATGTCAATAGATATCTGGAGCATTCCACAGATCCAAAACTGAATTGGAGCAACTTTGACAATGAAGTAACAAGTTTTGAATATATCTCCTGATAACCACATCACAACCATCTTTACACTGTGAACAAAGAGAGGAAGACAGAAATGCGGCTACAAGTTGATACAAAATATAATAAAATTATCACATGGTTTAGGAAGCACATTAAGTGAAATATGATATTTTCCTAGTAATCATAACTATAATAACATTCTCAAATCTTATTGGCTATCAACTGTCCTGATTTCAGCATTATAAGACAGTGTAATAGGACAGTACATGTTACGCCTAAGTAATTGGACAGTATGTGCCATTGTGCACACTTAAATGGCTTTTTTCACTGCTCACAAAAAAAAAAACTCACAGCATTTCTTGTGTTTTAAGTTTTAAAAAACCTAAAATATCACAGAATTTGTTATAGTTATGATTAATTGGTAATAGAACTTCATATTGTCCAATTCAGTCTGTAATCATACTCGTGATTAAATAAATTGGACTCCCTCTATGCAGTCGTCTGATTTTGTTTTAAAATCACTCTTATGATTACAGACTGAATAATTGGACTCCACTCAGTCCTATTACCATTTATAAATATCCCAAAAACAGGCTGCATGTCTTGGGGAGGGTATTTTTCAGGCTTCAGCTATATAAAGGGGTAGGGATTTCACCATTTGAAGTACATACACCTAATTGCAAAAACGTTGTCAAAGAAAAATGAAAAAAAGGAAAAAGCCAAATAGGAATTAATTACACTAATAAGCCTAATAAATTTATTTTGGACATCGTATTTCCCTGTTGGAATTTGCTATTGTTTTAAAGCTGAAAGACAATAAAACTGAAAATTCTAGCGAAGAAATGCAACGGCTGCAAATGAATCGACCATGAGAATGTGGCTTAATTAATAATTAGCCTATTTAATTCCTATTTGGCTTTTTCCTTTTGTTTTGTCAACGTTATTGCAATTAGGTGTATGTATTATGAAAGGGTAAAGAATAAATGTACCTGAAAGACAGAATTTCTGTACATTTCAAAAGGGCCTGTCACAATTTGAATTGAATAATAAATATAATGTTAATGATATTAATGAGCTCAGAGTATGACAGCGGGTGTCTTTTCTGTCAGAAAGAGAAAGGGATTAAGCCTCTATGGAGAGCCTTCCTGCACAAAAATTGGGTCTAGTAATCCTCCTCCCTCTCCCTCCCACTCACTCCACCAAGGTACCGGTATGTATTATAGGTCCAAATTAAATTCAGGTTTGCCTCCTAGCCCTAATTCATGAATAATCAGGGTTGGAAGACAAAGGAAATTGAGAATAAACCTAAGTTAATAAATTTTAACCTGAATTTTATTTTGACCTGTAACATACCGGTATATAATAGGAATATATTCAAGGAATATAATTTATTATATTGAGTTTAAAGTCATTTTTGATTATGAAGTTCCTTAAAACTTATTGTAAAAGTTTGTCCTCTTAAAACAAAATTAAACTTTGTAAAACATTATTAAGGTCTTTAAAGAACAACCCCTATAAAGGAACTGTTATGATTGAGAGACCAAGATGGTTGGAGTTATTGAAAAGTACCTCATTCCCATGGTTGACTGATTGATGTAATTTCTGTAAAACTGAGGGACTCCAAGCATAGCCTCTGTAAACACTGCTAGGAATCCTATAAGCTCTACAAATGCAGTAAAGCTCAGGAACAAGTATGTGATGTAACCACCAACTGCAATGAATATCAGTACACATAGCACATAATCTGAAAAGTGCGTCCAGTCCCAAAAGTGTCTTCTGTGAAAATCTGAAGAAAAAACAGGAACAAAATTAATATGTTAAAATTTAATTAAATCAGATAATTTATGTACTTTATGTAAGATGAAATCCTTGGGAAACAGAAAAAGCGTCCATTACAAAAGCAGTTCACCAAAAAAATTAAATAAATGGTTTTGTTATTCTAGCCAAGGCTACAGTAGTGCTGTCCGCTAATGCAAGTGTCTGTTCAAACATATTTTCTTAATTAAGAAAATTATTATAATTGAACATTATCATTCTAGCAACTTGTTCATCAGTTTACTCACCGAAAAAGGATCTTTTCTTTGCACTCAAATCATTCTCTCTTCTGATTTTGGTGCAAAGATGTAACATCATCATCATAGCAGCAATCATGATAAAGCTTTGAGCTAATAGTGGCAGTTCAAAATGACGTCCAAACCTACCAAAAATTATTTAAAAAATGATATTATGTTTCTTTAATGGTTTCACTAGTATAATCTCTTCCAATTAGTATTATAACTATGTGTACAGGGTAGGGCCATATTTGTTCTTGTTTTACAAACAAAGAACATACAAGATTTCTTTCCTTGTTGGGACTTACAGTTCAAGCAGGGTAACAGTCCTGTTGCCAGTTCAAAAAGTGGATAACACTATCCACTAGCAAGATAAATCTATATCTGGTGGTTTAAACACAATAATGGTTTCCTTAGTTGTAACCAATGGACACAGTCATTAAGTAGCTTAATTTATTTGCAATGCTGTGAGAAAATGGTGTGTGACAAAAGTAGAATGCACTCTCGCAGACTGGCTGGTAGACAAGGTAAACATTGTCATGAAAGACATTAATCTTCAAGGATAGTGCATATGAAGGGTTTAGTTTTATCATTTTCCTCACGATTGTCACTTTGATGTTGATTGCTATATTTCGACTGCACACTGCAGGTCTTCATCGGGCAATAATGTCGATTTACTGAGTCAAACTATTTGTACCACCGTGGTTGTTAGTAATTGGTGCATCACAAACCTCATTCAAGGTAAACATTGTTGTGAAATGCTCTCACAGATTCCCTATCGCTAAACTTTAAGTCTTCTAAAAGTCTAGTTTAGGGATACGGAACCTGTAGGAGCATTATGTTTACCTTGTTCACCTGCAAGTCTGGAAGTCTGCAATCTACGTTTGTCGCACAACGGTGAGAAAATTATGTCATCTCAAAACACTTACCAAAAGAAAATTCTTAATATGTTGGCAACAACTAACGCTAAACAAACGTGCATTGAAAATCCTTCGGCATCTCGAGTCTGCCAAATGTCCCAATACTGCGGTACATAAGGAACAACGCCGCCGATAACCATTGCAGCAGATGATATCCACGAAACGAGCTGAATGAACATAGCAACTATACCCATATTCTCAAAGTTTGCTGCAGTATCCACGGGGACATGAAGAGCATTTAGGTCCTCATCCATGAGCCAGCAGTTAAATTAACAACTGTAGTTAAGTTTAATTGTTCTTGACAACAGAGGGTGACGTGTCGATCGCTAAAGAGCGTTTATAACTGTTCCCTTGGGCCCTTGGCCTCTTGACCTCTTTAGCTTGCCTTACGAATTACATACCTTTCGGCACCGATGGAACCTTTGGCTTTCAGCAGAAAGTTGAGGGGTATCCTTAGTGCAAAATTCGATATAAATGAAGAAATAAACACAATTATTTGTCCAGAACATGAGTGAATGATCACGAATAGATTTGATGCTCTTTTCTCTGGTTAACCGACCGTTCACCTCTCATGACGTATCGTACTGCCCGCTGTGCAACATGACTGCAGTTTCTAGTCTCTAGTCTCTCACGGCTAAAAACAATATGGCGGAGTGAGCCATCACTTTCACAAAGATCGCCATCAAACATTAATATGGTAAGCCCCTAGACAGCTTAAAACTATTTGTTACTAAGTTCTTCTCATTGAGTTAAAGGATTACATGGGCTTAGTGATCGCAGTCGTAATCATGAGGGGTTTCGGTTCTTCGTGAAGGTTAATTAACGCACGCATGCGATGAGCTTTTTTTTGTCACTTTAATTTTCGCTGCAGTATAGTGCCGATCGATTTAAAGAAGCTGAAAAAGTTGAGGTGTTCAGTTGGGAACCTAAAGAAGCAAATGTTTTATTTGTTTGGTTGTTGTTTCTGTGTCCACGACGGATTAAATCAGGATACCTGTTATGATTTATGAATCGTTCGTTTGTTTGTGCATTAGTCAATTTTATTATCTGCATGCAAGCCCAGTCTTTAACTTGGCTAAATGTTATCTTGTATCTCAACTCATTTTAGATAGCTGAAGAAATAATTTATCTCTTTCATGCTAAATATACCCTGTAAAGGAAAGCTACAAGCTAGTACTGTAATGCCAATAGGTTGAGTTGCTAATTTTCTCACTCATGTCTCAGCATGGGCGGATCAAAGTGCGTACCACAGCTGAACAGGCTGAAGCAAAGAGAAAAGAAAGGGAGAAGAAGCTAAAGATTTATCAGCAAACTACCAATCAGATCTATGAAAAGGTATATTTTACAACATCTGAAGTAATAAATTAATGCAGAGATGCTCATCACAACTTATGCAGTTGCGAAAAGAAAGTCTAAAGAAAATTCAGGCTTGCCAGGTATATTATCAACCAATTTTATGAGCAGCTCCCAGTTGGCTTGGTAACACAATTGACTAGAGCGCAGCAGCGGTATCACAGAGGTCAGGGTTCAAATCCCAGCAAACCTGAATTTTTTTCAGCCTTTCTTTTCACTACTGCATAGGTTGCATATTTAACTGTGATGATCTTCTCTGCATTTATTTTTTTCATTTCATAGTACAAATATATGAAAATTAATTCATATACTCATCATTTCATCCAAAATACCCTTGATGAACGTGAGGCAGGTATTCTAAATGGGATTTGGATGCTTATTGTCTTAGTGAGTGGTGTAAATTGCAGATTTAGTCTCACTCAGGGTCTTCAGGACAGAAGGCCAGAGATAAAGGTTGTGCTCAAACATATATCTAGAAAAAAACTAATATCTTTGTACTGTGGTGAATACAGCATTCAATGTCAAAATCTTTAGCACTATTAAATCTCCATAAACGTCGGGTATCATCATGCAAAATAAGTCTAAAAATACAAGGGTCAAGCAAATCATTTAGAAATGGATGCACCAGCAATTCTGAGCAGACAGATGTTGCATCATAATTTTTATGGGGGCTTGAGGGTTTGACATTTTCAGAAGTTATGTTATTGGTTCCTGTGATGATGACGATGATGATGATGATGATGATGATGATGATGATGATTTTCTCTTTATTCCAGAGGAAAAATGGAGAGATGGACCAGGAGTCGCTCTCTTTAACAGAACAAGTTCTTGCAGCAAACCCAGATTTTTCTACACTCTGGAACTTTAGAAGGGAGATTTTTCTCTGCATGAAAGACGAAAAGTATGTATTATAATGAATTATTAGTATATTGCTAATAGTTTTCATTGGTTTATTTCAATGTCATCTTTAATAAGTGCATTTAATTAAAGCTAAATTGTTAAGAAATGATTTAGTTGTTGGGATTTGAAAAGGTCTCTTTGATGTGTCATGGGTAAAGACCATCCGCCAGAAATGTACTGACTGCCAAAAAAAATAGAATGAATAGATACATAGTAACTTTCACTGGATGAGCCTTACATGTACACTATGATAAACTCATGCCCCGTGTGTTGTGCACTCTCCACTTATCTTGTCTCTTAAGCCATGTAGCAGTTCTCTGCTACCCTAGGAATGGTTTTAAGTGCTATCATGCTTTCTTTTTTAAGTCCTCCAGATTTATTGCTGAAGCTTTGCCAGAAAGAGCTGTCATTCCTCAAGAATTGTCTGCAAGTGAACCCTAAGTCTTACAGTGTGTGGCATCATAGACAGTGGATCATGGAATACATGCCACAGCCGGACTGGAATGAAGAACTGCGGCTTTGCAATTTGTTCCTGTCTTATGATGAGAGAAATTGTATGTTCATTTATTATTATTTTCAAACATTTTGATGTAAATGTTGGAGATAAAGATCCCGGGCAAGGATGCAATGTTTCTCAAATTCATACAAACAAAGAAAACCAAATTTCTAACATTAGTAAAAAAGAACCTGGAGCATTATTAAATTTGGCTATTCTTGCCTTCTCACCTATTTTAATTTTTGAACCTTATCACCAATAAATTTTTCAGAAAATATCCAAAATACAGGCCCACCTTCTACTGAGGGTTTATTGGTTTGAACCCCCTGCCCCTCTGGAATTCCAATTTACCTTCATACTTTCTTTTCGGACTTTTGGCCTTTTAGAAAAGATATTAAGGTTACCGGTAATGAGAATTTCTATGCTTTACTACTGTAAAGGTTTAACTATAAAAATAATTCAAGGCGGATATTGAATATGTGTAAACGAGTGGATTTATTACGTTTGACAGTGTACTTTTCTTCCATCAGTTCACTGCTGGGATTACAGACGATATACTGTGAAAAAAGCAAACATATCCCCAGAGGATGAATTCAACTTCAGCACAGAGAAGATCAAAGAGAACTTTTCTAACTATTCTTCCTGGCATTATCGCAGTAAACTGCTGCCACTGATTCATCCTGACCAATCTGGAGATAAAGAACGTGTGGAAGAGAATGCACTAATGAAAGGTCTCTAGCAGAAAATGCTTGTTTCTGACTATGTTAAAGTTAATTTTCAACTTATGAACTAGTAATATTATTGTTCACATATTAGGTTTGTTGTTAAAATGACTGGGATCCATGTGGGATCAATTTACGATTCTAGGAAACTGCCCACCTACCCTTTCCCACTTAGGGCAAAATGCTGGTTTAGGGGAGGGGTGGGTGGGCAGTTTCCCAGAAACCTTATTTGATCTGAAATGTGCACTTACTTTGGTCATACATTTATTTCTGTTTCAGAATTTAATCTTGCTCAGAATGCATTTTTTACAGACCCTTATGATCAAAGTGCTTGGTTCTACCATAGATGGCTTTTGGGAAGAGGTAGGAATTAAAGCTGAAAACTATTTTCGAACACTCAAAAAGAGAAACTTCAATTTTGTATTATAATTAAAGGAGTAGCCACAATGTACATTTATCGTGGAATTAAAAAAGACTTACGATGATCGTAATACAAACCAATGCATTAAGTGACTTCCCTTTTGTGGTATAGTTACCATAGAAATGGATGCTTTCACGAACTAGACCACTTGGGGTATCTTGGCTGTCTTTTCCAAGTACAGTGTTTTAAACCTGGGAAAAGGTCAGTGATTTGGATAGGGTGGTCGCTTTATTGAGTTGTGCTCACGGAGGGGTGATCATACATCATGGGAATACAAGTGTGATAAGAATTCAGTTTCAAGTTCTGCATGGTCTGATCCTACCTGACCTGTGCAAATTGAATACTGGAATGCTGGTCAAACTTCTGATAAAGTAATAAGCTTTGTAGGTGGTCGATAAGATGGCAGTGCTTGTCTTGTAGCAATGCTTAGGATCAAAACCCACCAACCGTAAGTGAGGTTCAGAATGCCCCCATCACCTGTCGCCCGGCAATCACAGTGTTACTAATAATTGAAAAAAACAATGGGCTGGTGAAGACCGTGATTGAAACCTCATGATCAATAACAAAGTGACAGTCTTGAGACAAACTATAAAAGAGGCCTGACCGTACGAGCAATAGTTTTTTAAGAGGATTTTTTCTTTCTCTGCACGTTTTGCTGCATAAATTTAGCCATAAGCATCTCTTAAACTCTTACCCTAGATTCTATGACTCTAGTGAAATAAATCTGCCAACAGGCTGTATCGACCATTCAGTGTATATCATATGCCTTCTCTTCTTTTAAGGTTCAAATTAAGAGCATTAAAATAATTTTTGATGTTTTATTTACTGTTAGCAAGACCGTTAATGGATATTTCCTGCCTCTATGTGAGTTGTCATGAAACTATGGCAACAATCATTGTACAATTTTGTCAACCAATCCAGGTGAGTGTTATGGGCAATATTGCAACTTATTTTTGTAAACAATAATTTCGAGATGTTTGCAATTATTATACCCTTACCTGCACTGACAAGCCATATGAATACCATCTGTTGATGTAGGCTTCATCGCCAGTCACTGTTCTTGAACTCACTCTCATCTTGAAGAGCTTGGGTTATCATATTCTTGGTTTGCAACCATGTGCCGTGACAAGGCGGCCTTATTGGGGGTCAATACAATAGAATTTTTTCTCGAAGAATTTACATGAAAATAGAGTTAAGTTCTCAGAGGAGAGAACATGGCCAACATTGCCGCCGTGACGTCACGTGTAAGCCAGCAATTGTCGCTGAAGCAAGTCCAGTGATCTAACAGTGACTGCAGAATACCCCTCAACGTCCAAGCTGCATATAGAAGAGCTGGAATTGTGGACGCGCTGTTATTCCTTTTATATGCTTTTCTATTTTCAGTGGCTTCACGAACGACAAGTAGACTTTAGTATGTGCTTCATGTTGTTACGATGTTCAAAGTGGATACGCGGTCGCGCAGCTACTGTGTATCCACGTATCCCCGCATTTAGGAGAACGAATTTGGACCGAGATTCCTGCACAATCTCGTAGTAGCCAATGAAAGCAGCCAAGCGGCCATGGCGGTGCAATTCGACGCAACACCGACACAATCTCTCAAGCAACCTTTAAGGCGTTGTGTTACGGCTGTCCAGTTCATTTTCTCATAATTGCCCTGAACTACGCATCCTTAATTATTCTCTGTGGAACTTGACTTAAGCAAATAAATTTCTTGTAACTGACAAAATCACAACTTTGTGTCAGACAATTTTGGTCTGCAAGCATAATATGAAACGTTACAAACAACGAAAAAGAACTTTGAAAAACTGTTAGGCTAACAAGTTTTGAAAAACTGCAATTGCAATCCGTTTCAATCTTCTTCACGTTTGTCCATCCGTCCCTTCTTTGGTAGTTGCTATGTTATTTATACCTTCTTTTAAAGTTTTGTGCGTTTTTTTTTTTCATGTTTCACTCAATTTGGTGGCACTTCCCACTCTCTGAATATTTTTCATAAATTTCGCCCCGTAGCTCCTTTAAAAAGGCTGATATAGTGCCTACGGACTAAGAAAGATAATTTTTTCTTATTGCGTTTTTTTTTCTTTTCAAGGTACCTAAAGAAGTTCCATTTGTCTCTGTCAATGAACAAGAAGTTACAGGAGAATGGAACAATTCTTATCACAACAGCCATCCCTCGACAGTGTGGATATCCTTTTCGGTTGTCTGATTTGTTATGCAGGGTATAATTATATGTTCGGTCATGCCTCTTTAGCATCTGTGAAAGTCGTTGTTTTTCTTGGTCTCTCTCTCCCAGATGTATCAATATTAATGACCCTTATTCAGTTGCACACAAGAGAGCAAGAAAAAGGGCCTGTTTACGTGGAGGTGGGGGACCCCGGGTAGGTGAGGTTACTCGCTTAGATGGGGCAAAAAAAAAATAACCCGCGTTTATATGCAATGTTACAACCCCGCCATCTCAAAAAGGCGACGTGTTTTGGCGGTTAATACTCTTCTAATCTCACTTGAAAATGAAACAGTCGGCTTACCTCACCTAAGGATGGCGTCTATAGCAAGCTATGAACAGATAGGGGAAAACACTTCGTCGTTTGTTCGCTTCCCATAAAACATCGCATCAAGAATTTCACTTCGTAGTTTTGTACCATTATGGGTTAGCAATTGTTACAATTTGTTCCTATACTGTCTTGGAATTTTCCTTGGTTTGAAAGTGTTTTCCTTGACCGTTCACACATTTATAGCTGCAAACATTGCTTATCAAATGTCCCGGATGAAACCATTGTAAAAGTGACATTTATGAATGGAAAACTGGAAAAGTCTGTGGTGTTACCGAAAGGTTTGTATTTAAATTATTTGTATTTGTCGGTACATGTAATGTTTATGACCAAATTGCTGGATACATTGCTTGCATGAGTTGCTATGTAAAATCGCTTTTGCTGTCAAACTGTGTTTCCAAGTTTCTCGTCGTTTACAGATACACTGGTTTCTTCTGTGAGATAAAATGTCGAGTTTTTAGCCGAGGATAATGACTTAATATAAAGTAAGTTTAGGCAAGCTCTTAACTATAAAAGGTTTGCAAAACTTTGCACTTTGTATTTTGCCCCAGTAGAGGTAGATTTCCACTGTCGCGTTATTTATTTTTTGTTTTATGGGCGTACGCACAAAAATTTTACTTGCGTAGATAAAATAGGTAACCTCGCTCAACTTTTACGTTTACGCGCTACCTTTCGTACATCTCTTCTGTTATATTTACGCACGTTAATTTTACGTCGTAGGCACGTGGGCAGTGTAAACCACCCAAAGAAAGGATAAATAATTCCTGATCAAGATTTTGTTCTTATTTGTGGTAGATTCGTGTTGTTTTATGACATTCAATGGTATTGATCGCAACAGTGATTGTGATTGTGACCCATGAACGTAGATTTGCTTTGCATTTGTAGGTGAAAAAGAAGCTTGGACACTTGCAGCAAGTGACTCTCATCTTTTTAGGTAAGCTCTTACGGCCAGTTGCGATTGGTCAAGAACGTGCTGCGATTTTAGTGACGCAAAGTCAAAGCAATTACGATACTTCAATACCGCTCTAGGGATCGCATTGAAAAATCCTTAAACATTCTTTTGTTGGCGTTTTTTCTTAGAGCGGAGTTGACAGCAGTACAAAGTTCTGTCCTTCAACAAGAATTAGATTCCTGTCGACTTTTGTTGGAAGAGGAACCTAACAATAAATGTAAGTGCAATTTAAGTCCTAGAACTTGTTGTCGGTACTTTTTTCAAGGGTCGCACAGTACTTCATGAGTCCAGTTTACTGAGTACGTTTGGTTGTGTTTGTTTTTTTGTAATAGGACAATTGGCGTTTAACACTACGCGTTTTTGCGAGGAAAGAGTACAACGTGAGACCAATTAATTGAATATATTGTCGATGTTGTTCTTTTTGTAATCCAACAAAAAGGCGTTTTGCATTCCATCGACCTCTTTTGAACAATGAACACGTGCATGCAGCTGCCATCTTTGAGTTTTAACACAGAGGACGACTGGAGAAAGAAGGGCGGATGAGCTTCTTGTAGCATTCAACTTAAAGGATATAAAACCAGATCCGGAAACACTGTCGGTTAGGGTCAATCACTCAACCAACAGCCAGAACTGTACTTCAACCAAATTTCTGGACATTTTTCATTATCGTTAACCTGAGAAAACAACGGTCGATTCTGCAGAAATGCCATACTGATGACGTGTCACTACCCAGATCTGGGTATTGTTCTTATTGGTTAAAAGTTTGCTTCATCCAATCACGCAGATTGAAGTATTGTAGCATCATCGGTATGAAGTTTCTGCGGTCGTTCCTCAGACGTAATTTCCCGGAGAAACTAGTGGCGACCTCACAAAGTGCCGGCCTTTTTCTCTCGCTACACTACTATGAATATTAAAAATGGTACCCTGCTCAGCAGTCGAAAGTGGGAAAACTACAATCGTTGGGATAGGTGTGGGATGGGTTTAAGACTGAAAGAACGAAGGCTGGTGGGGATTGTGGTGGACATAGCCAGTGTAAATTCTAGTCTTGCGCGTGCGCCCAAGAAGCTCTTGCAATGCGATTTGGTGTAAATTAATTTTGGTATTTCCCCTTTGTTTTAAATTTTTAGGGACAATGTTAACAATGGTACTGCTGATGCGTGCTTTAGATCCGCTCAAACTCGAACAGGGAACAGAGACTTATTTAGAAAGCCTTACCCAAGTTGACTGTTACAGGCAGGGCTACTACGAAGACCTTAGTACGTTTAGTTAAATTAACTGTTTGTCGACTAGACAGAAAAATGTTTTTATGTTAACTTATTGTCAGGTCTTTTGTGTTAATCTTTCACTGTGTTATCGGTGTTTGAAGTACGTAATGACTGACTGACTGACTGACCATCAATATGTAAACCACACAAAAAAATCCATTGATTTGCACTCTAGAAGGAAACAAACGTCCAGGCTGACTGACTAACTGACTCAGTAACTGAACGACTTGCTGACTAACTGACTGACTGACTTACTGATTGACTAACTAATCAATTAGGTGAATGATCGACTAACAGCCTGACTGACTGACTGATTGATTGACATACATTTGTATTTGTAGGTTGTTAGGCTAAGAAAGTGACTGACTATACCTACCTGGACGTCTAACAAGCTTAGTTTCTAGAGACGTTGTGGTGTTGCATTGAGGAATTCGAAAGTGAGCCCTTCATAAGAAAGTTGGAATCATCAGCTTGTAATACTTGTTACGGTGGCCAATTTATATTAACTCAGTCGTTAATGAAAATCGACTGAGTTATTATTTGCCGTCGAATTCGTTAACTTTTCCGTCTGTTTCTTGTTAGGACGAAAATTCCGAGTAGAAAACGCTATAGAGAGGCACAGCTTAGTGAAGGTTTGGAACTCAATACCCGTTTTATTAATGCCACGTTAAGTTTTGTTCATTTGTTTGATGGTTAAGCTTTCTATTCAATATCCAACTTATGATCTCAAGTGCAGTCAACAAATGTGGTATTACCCAACCCAACTTACGTCAGCTTCAAATTGTGTTGTGTTTATAAAAAAAAAAACGAATTAATGCAAGGAGAAATGTTGTTTAGCAATAGTGGCATTGATAGCATCTGCAGTCTTAGCTGAGAGGAAACGTTTAGATGTAGGTATATTACTACTACATTCAAAACCCATGATAGGTTTCTGAAGCAATTGGTTTGATTAAGCAAAAGGATATTGCAAAACCTGGTTTTCACAAGTTTCAGAAAACTATACGGGGCTTAACCGTCTTTTCTGCTGGAAACTTTAATACTACACAAGAACACAGTATTTCTTGATCATCTACAGTGTACTGACTAAGTTTGATGTAATCAAGTGTGAGAGTGTATGTTGCTCATTTATAATAAAGATTTTCTTAACAGCCTGCGCAACACTCCTTGAGCAAAATCAGAGACCACTAATTTCTTGTACAGTCGAATCCCGGTAACTCGAACCCTCTATAGCTCGAACCTCTCGCTAACTCGACGCAAGTTACATTTCCGTTCAGGTCGTTTTCTATATAATTTACCCTCGATAAGACAGACGCCCGATAACTCGAACTTTTTTCTATTTTCCTTGAAGATTCGAATTATCAGGAGTCGACTGTAATTATATTAGAGACCGCTAATTTCTTTTTTGCAACTCTTCTCCTTGTATTCCAGGATGGAGGAAGCAGAAGTATTGATCTCTCCAACATGGTCAGTACATTGTCGTCCAACAATTGCGAGAGTAGTATGGAACAGACCGATTAGGCCTTTTTTGGTGTGTGCCAGAAAAAGCTATTTTGCCTTCGCCTCATATGTGCCCCTGACTTTAGAGATCGGCGCGGCACAGTCTCACTTGCTGAAAAAAATCACGTCTAGATCATCTTTCTTGTGTGTGAACAGAAGCCCTATCCGGTATCGTCACAAAAGCTATCCGGTATAATGTGAACGCAGCTTACGTTGTCTGCAATGGACAATGAAAACAGCAGGGAATAGAACTTGTATAAGTACGCTACGGTTCAGTGATTTTCACGTCGCAGGTGGCTTCATGACTGAAAAAAGTTTAATTTGAAAATACACTATGGCATCAATGGTGTAAAACCTGTCAAACCGGTCAAACCTTCTTACAATAGTACAGGACTCAATATTAATTAGATTACTCCGCATTTTATTCTTGCCATAATGACAAAGGGCTATGACGTCATCCGGCGTTAATGTTTTCCTGCGCAAAAAGTGCGGTCTAAACGGTGCCTACTATACTGCTTACCAGTACCCTGCGAGCAGAGGCTGTGCGAGCCGGCGTGCGAAAAGTAGGCGAAAATGTAACCTCTGCTCGCAGGGTAGCTTACCAGCAGCTGTTTAAAATTAACTTTAAACGTTTCAAAGTCAGTCAAGGAGAGAGGCCGCAGTAAAGTAGTTGATTTATGCCACTGAAACCGGTGAAATCTGACCCTGGGCCATCTGTGAATTAATTGCGACGTCACCTTGAGAGTTGATGATCCTAAAGCAGCCTTCAATGGCTTTTAATTGAGGGTCCACACAATTTTGAAGGCACCTTGAATTTGGACTGATTTACTTTCACTTGTTCTTATTTTTTCCTTTTTTGTTCCCTTACAGGACTTGACATTTTTGTCACACATGGATCAGCTTGTTCTTATGAAGGAAGTAAACCTTTCTCATAATCATTTATCTTCACTGGACGAATGTAACATGTTACAATGCGTAATAACCCTAGATGTCAGTAATAATGAACTGCAGCATATCACCAAAAGACATGCTTTAAGAATCAATAGACTGCAAGAGCTTTCTCTTTCAAATAACAGTATCCTTTTTTAAGAGAAGAAAGAATGTTGTGTTCACACCTGCACGAATCATGATTAGTCTTATCACAATTAAGGCGTTCATCACTTAGTTTTCTCTTCTCGAGACGGTCTTTGGAGCGAAACATACTCAGTAAGAGCATGACTTTCGACCTTGATCGAAACCAATAGTCCCTTTGCAGCTAGCCTTCCACGTGGTACACACCACCATGTTGGACTGGAAAAAGACAAACAAAGAAAATTACCATTTTAAGCTCTCTATTGTTTGACCATGCGGTCGCTTACGGGAGCTCATTCTAGTAAGCGACCAAGGCTAGTTACAACGACTTTTTCGTATTTCCGAGGTGGTCGCTTACGTGAGCTTCGACTGTATTTAAATCGCTACCAGCTCTGATAGTCTGCGTTTTGCACAGAGGAAAGAAGGGAAGATAAGAGACAGATAGAAGATGTTGCCTTTCCCCGTCGCTTCCCCCTTCTCTCAAGAGCCCCATCGTCTCTGCGTTTGCTTAATTTCCTCTGCTCCGTTTCCCTTTTGATTGCTTTCTATAATGTATGAGACGCAAGCATGAGACGCAGTGTTTCATCACCAGATGAAACACTGAGAAGAGAATTGAAAATACTACGAACTTCGAGGTGTTTCATCTGGTGATAAAACACTGTGTCGAACGCTTGATATTACTTCTCCAACAAAATAATTTTAGAAGGTGAAATTAAGGACGCGAAAATGAGCAGTTTTTCATCTGATTTCCAAACACTCCTTAAACATTTATTTCCTTTACATTTTCTTGATTAATTATTAATGCATTTGAGAAGTAATTGTTAAGTCTGATTTGCCCCTTACGCGGCATGGTGTTATTGTTTTTAACGCACTTTCCTTGACGCAATGAAAAGATATTTCTGATTTAGAAGTTTTGAAGACTCTACAACACTGTCCAGTCCTCAGGAAAATGGACTTGCGTGGAAATCCTTGCTGTCAAGCACCAGGATATATAGACAAAGTAAAATCTCTGCTACCGAGTATTCAAGAGTTAGATGGAGAGAAGGTTTGACAAGCACATTAAGACTGTTAGCAAAATCTCGGTGAAGAGTTTGTTTACTTCGATCACCCAACAAACTTGTTGGTAAAACTAAGTTTGTAGCATAAGCAAACCAAAGTCTAGTTTGACAAGTTGATGCAATAAGCGGAATTGCTTTTATACGAAAACTTACTTCGAATGACCATAATATGCGAAGGACCTTTACGTCTTTAACAAAAAATCCATGCATCATTGGTGATTTTGATGTAGCGCATGACTGTGTCTGTTTTTGTCGAATTGCACCATGGGACTGTCAAGAGGACGCTGTCACGCATGACTTAGCATGACTTAAGGGGACGCTGTCACGCATGACTGGGTCGGTGTTTTCTGGAAATACGTTATGAGACTGTTAAAAAGACGCTGTCACACATGACTGGGTCGATGTTGTGTCGAGTCTCACCATGGGACTGTTAAACGGACGCTGTCACGCATGACTGGGTTGGTGTTCTCTCGAATTGCATTATGGGGCTACAAAAGAACGCTGTCACACCTGACTGGGTGGGTTTTTTGTCGAATTGCACTGTGGTACTGTCAAGGGACACTGTCTTGGCCAGTCCAAGTCTTTTCTTCAACTGCAACCTAAAAATGGCGAGCTGCAAATGGTCTCAAAAATTATTATCAAAGAATTACTATCATTAGAATTATTAATTATTATTATTATTCGCTCTAATTTTTTTACTGCCGGATTACAGAATTTTTGGGGTAGGGGTTGGCACTTTTTACCGCGTTTTGGAATAAACATTTAAAGACCAACCTCCGAATTTTTATTTCGTTGCTTTTAAATACCCTTTTTTATGAAAAGTGTTCTAATGATTATAAAATTGTCAATATCTTTAATTAAAATTATGGCGATCTACCAATCCCCGAATAATTACTTGTTGTGAACTTATTTGGTGTATGAAGGGGTCTATTTATGGCGTTTTTTAATCAAAAAAATTATCAAATGAAAAGAACAAAAAGCCTTTTAAATGTTAATGCTAAAAGAGTGATTGTTCATTCCCATCAGTTGTCATTAGCAGTGACTGCCATTTCTCTTAAAAGTTTATGAAAGCGTGTTTCTCTTTTTCATTATAAAGCGTAAAGTGAATTTCATTTTCAGTTTGTATGGCTGTGAATTGTCCCGGAAATTATAAAAAGTGACGGACTTTTTTTATTCTGTCTAAAGCATTCTCTTTTTCAAAAGAACTGCAATGCTGTCATTAGTTTTGTGGAAAATGACTGAGTCTCTAGAATTCTCTCGAAATCGGCGGAACCTGATAGAAAACTTTAATGATTTCATTGCTGTTAGAATATTTTAAAAAGAACAAAAAAGGAAAAACTCTAAATATTTTAGCAAAGATCTTGAAACTTCTTTTTTTCTCGTTTTCAACTTATCTGGAACAGTTAATCGTAATTATATAAAAACGCAGAACATTCGAACTAGATCAAAATTTATCTCTAATAATGTAAGTGGTCGATTCTTATATAAAACTGTGTGTTTACCGCCATGTTGCCTGGTAAGCAAAATATCTAACAGTTTATAATATATCTTCAATGAAAAGCCAGTGATGTTCATTATTAAAATAATCTATTAAAAAAATAGGTTCAACAAGGGAATTTATCGAAATATAGGTGAGGCCCAAGTAAAGGAACCAAAATGAACAAGGGTATTTTGTTAAGTATTTTTAACAATAAACAAATCTTTGAAAAGCCGGTAGTCTTCGCAACAAATTTACTGTTTCTCTTATGCTTAATCACCTTACGCTTCAGCCTGAATTTCAGACGTCATCTGAAATTCAGGTTACCTACCTGCGTTTTTGCTATCCCGATCCTCTCGTTCACGGAAAACGCTCTGCACATGCACATCCATTCACGACCCCTACCAGTGCTAACGCTTTTGACTCCGAACGCGCGAAAGTCATGCGTAGAAGATCTTTGGAATCGAGATGTAATCGTGTAAAGTTTTTGTCAGTTGAACTTGCGCCGTATGTTGCTAGGTACAGTTTCGAATACAATCCAAATGCAGTTGCCTAGAGGCTCGTTTACAGAAAATATGTGATACACCATTGGATGGAAGTTCTAATGGGAGATTCGTTTGCACTGAATCTTCTTTTCTTTTTCTTTTTTTTTTTGGAAAGGAAACGTTTGACGCGATTAAGGCAGGGCCTTTTTTTAACAGAACGATACTGAAGAAGGCTGTGTCTACAATATAACGGATAGCCTTTCATGTCGACCTCAAATTTATCCTGTATAGAATGAACAGCAACTACCCGGGACACACATCGAGTATTGCGCCCGAGCGATTTGCCTAAAGGGTTTCGTGCAGCAAATCCTAATGCTCACTCCTGAATAATTACTATCGTCTCAGAGGTGTCCAGGCCTCGCTTTTACTTATTCACTTCTGCTACTGGCCAAATACCTGTTCGCGTTGCACCAAAGTGTGGCACTGAGAACCTATTCGATATGCCTGCGACTCTCCACTTTCAAGATTGGCGCGGCTAGGCCTCACTACGATTTATTTCAGAAATCGCAACAGGCGTGAATCCACACCCCTTTCCACTTTTTACGGAAATCGGTCAGAGTTTTCATTTGACAGCAAATATATAATATATTTTTATTTTAAAAAAAAAAGAATTATTCAATTCGAAATCTGGAAAATGGTTTGGACAATTTTTTTTTTTCAGTTTCTGAGCATTAGACGCGCTAAGAGATTTTTCAGCTGGATTTGTAAGGTTTCATCCGAGGAGAAAGGAACTGGCCAATATCCTGTCTGAATGACTCAGAAACCCAGGAAAGGGGACTTCAGGGAGTTAAAATCGAAAACATTTCCCTGGGTAGCATGTCTGGACTCCACTAGAAGGTTGCGCCTTCGGCGCTCGTTTAGGAAATCACTCAGTATTTATCCTAGATCCGCGCCTGCGCCCTATACGATCAGAAGCGCCATCCGGTATGGTTTTCGCGCCGGCGCAGTAGATATCCGGTATAGTGTGAAGTTAGCATGAGGCGCGTCTGGCGATTATTCAGTTGAATGGTGATTGAAGTACCGGAAAAGTAATAATGACAATGTCGGCCCTAATGGCTGCGCTTCTCTCTGAAACATTTTCTTGCTTTTCAAGTGTGCACTTCTAATAAAGACAATTTGTTATTTAGTCTTCTTATCCATGAAATTCAGTCTGAAGACTGTGACTCTCCGTCCGCGTGTCACCGCTTAGAAAACTAAACGGTAAGTTTGCTAAAATCTTTTAGCTTTTTGCTCTTTAACTGTTTTCGGTATATTTTGAACAACATACTTGCTTAAACGTCTAACTGTTGCAAGGAAAAAGAATTGTTTGTTAAACCTGAGAATATAAAAGAAATTTTAAACGAAAAAAACAGCTTAGTTCACGTCAGTTGTTTGTTTCTTGTTCGTTGATTCCTGGTGTGTAGTGTCTGAGCAGATGTATCTCATGACTGCGTGTTTTGGGAAGAATAGATTCCGTACATATATTTTTTTCTTTTTTTTTTTTGTGAATCTTCACTCTCTCCACACTATAATCAAAATACTCCGAAAAAGTTGGCAGAAACATTCGATTGAGTTACAGCAAAAAACTGTATATCATGTACTTACTTATGTACAATGTAATGTTGAAATAAAACTTTCTTTTTCTAACTTGATCAGTTTAAAACAATGAAAAAAGGAAAAAGCTCCAAGTAAATAATATATGAACCCCGACTCCTTCTTGCCTAAGGTGTTTATTTGAAACCGGCTTCGAAAGAACTTTACAAAAATGGCTCTATTTTCGGATAATCATTTCATTTTACTTTATTACTTTATTTTGCCAAAAAGAGTAGAAGGTGTTGTCTGTTTGGCTTGGACCTAGATTGGACATTTACACAATTGTATGCAAAGTACCTGCTCATGATGCGACTTTCATAAACTCCTTAGTCGCTGGCCTTGACAAAAAAAAAATTGAGCGAATTGGAAAACTTGTCAAGTCCTTCCTTGACAAGTTTCCTGGCTTGATTGGCGTGCTTGGGTTTAGAGGAAGACAGTTGTCAATGAAAGACTTAAGACATTCGTCAAGGAAAAGCTGAACGTTATGGAAATTTAGTTCATTATTAGTAATACCCTCCGCACAGCGCAAATGAAAACACGACATATATGGAGTGTGACTCTTGCTGAGTGCCTAATGGACACAATGGATCAAAGCGTGCTTTACTGACAAGAAGTCTTAGAAATACAGTTCAACAATACAAATGATCTTAAAAGTAATATAAAAAAATTACGAAAATAATATAATTTCTACATAAACGAACATTTAAATAATATTGAACGCGACAGAAAGTATAATCAAAGGAATGATACACCATCCGTTACGAAAACCGAGAATAAAAAACCCATTGGGACAAAACAAAAAAAAAAAAAAACCGGGAACCTACTCCTTGATCGAATGCAATGTATCGAGCTCAAAGGATTAGAGCTTTAGACTAACTTAGGAACTAATAATAAGTTTGGTCACCGACAAGACAACGACTGTCCAAAAGGCGAGATATATAGCCAAAAACGCTTATACGTCGATATTTATACAAATATTCATAGCGTATAATTTAAAAAAAGAAAAGAAAAAAAGAGGAAAATAGAAGAAAAAGAAAAAAAATATATAAAACAACTGATGCCAAGCTAAGATGAAGATTTATGGAAACTTTCGGGGTCAGATGCCCGCGGCCCTTGATTTCATTTTACTACCGTGATGCAACATTTTCTACCTTGATATCATTTTACTGCCGTGATGCAACATTTTCTACCTTGATATCATTTTACGGCAGTCAAGATAGAAAATGTTCCACTGAGGGCAGTAAAAAGATATCCAGGTAGAAAATGTTCCATCACGGTATCCGAACGGTAGTAAGATGATATCAAGTTAGAAAATGTTGCACCACGGCAGTAACAAGATATTAATCAAGGTAGAAAATGTTGCATCACGGCAGTAACTGAAGATATCAAGGTAGAAAATGTTCCAGCACGGCAGTAAAAAGATATCAAGACGAGAAAATGTTTGATGACGGTAGTAAAATGATATCAAAGGTACAAAATGTTCTATCACGGTAGTACAATGATATCAAGGTAGAAAATGTTCCATCACGGCAGTAAAAAGATATGAAGACGAGAAAATGTTTGATGACGGTAGTAAAATGATATCAAAGGTACAAAATGTTCTATCACGGTAGTACAATGATATCAAGGTAGAAAATGTTCCATCACGGCAGTAAAAAGATATGAAGACGAGAAAATGTTTGATGACGGTAGTAAAATGATATCAAGGTAGAAAATGTAGCATCGGGGCAGTAAAAAGATGTCAAGGTAGAAAATGTTCCATCACGGCAGTATGATATCAAGTTAGAAAATGTTACATCACGGCAGTAAAATGATATCAAGGTAGAAAATGTTACATCAAGGTAGAAAGAAGATATCAAGGAAGAAAATGTTCCATCACGGCAGTATGATATCAAGTTAGAAAATGTTACATCACGGCAGTAAAATGATATCAAGGTAGAAAATGTTACATCAAGGTAGAAAGAAGATATCAAGGTAGAAAATGTTCCATCACGGGTAGTAAATGATAGAAGCCGCGAGCTATATTGTTTTGACTGTTTTTACAGCCGTTTTGGCGATCAAGAAGTGCTTTTGCCAATTAATTTCGACGGCAAAAATTCTAACATGACTCCGA